GGATTTCTTTCTTCAAGGATAGAATTTACTAAGGTGAAACTCATCGCCTGTAGCCTTCATTAAAGCACTTCTGACCTTGTTGGAAAGTGGACCTTAAAGGAAAGGAGCAAGAAGATTTATATGAAGCTCTGTTCAGTAAACTCAAACAATAAGCACCACTGATTTTTTTTTAATATAATACAGATGGTACAGTGTCCCTGATGCTAAAGGAAAAAGTATGCACAGAATCTGCTTCCTTACTTAAACCCAAAATAAAAAAGACAATTCAACTGGAACCAAAGTCTCTCAGCCCCTGTGTGACAGTATCTCCCCCTCCTATTAGTGTGTGTAACCATAAAGATGCAAGACAAAGGACTGGAGCTCACCTCTTCCAATAGCAAGTGTAAAGGCTTCTTCAGGAGAAACAGGATTAACTTAATACGAATTTTACAAACAACAGTAATGACTTAAGAGGTGGCCTGGAGGCAAAGCCTGCCACATTTGCATTAAGCAGTGGGACCAGTGTTGGCTTCAGTTTGTTGGACTGGTCTGCCATCTAGTGGTTTAATGACAGGCCACAACATGGTTACTTCCCTTATATTAAACCAGCTTTCATTTATCACTTGTCCTTTAATTTGACATTTTCTATCATCTCTGAAGCTCATTGTTACTTTTTATTTTTTTAATTTGGAGCATAAATTAGATAAAATGATCTGGGTAGATTATAGAACACTTTCTTTTCATTAAATATATATATATATATAAATAAATGTACACACCACACACACTAACACACACACACAGACCTATATGAATCATTCATGTAGGTTTTTACACCTTCCTGCTTCACTGAAAACTTTTTTAAACTGGTCTGACTGAACATATCCTCCAGCTGTGGTCATGACCACTTAAGGCCATGGAGTGATTCACTCATTTGTTGCTCTAAAGATCCTTTTACTTGTGAATCTTAACATTTTGAGCTCAACTTCAGCAGTCTTGGAAGTTGGAGGAATGTTAAGATTTCCAGATCTAATCTTGTTACCCGGTCATACATCTCTTCTGTGTGAGCGTTCCTCCATTGCTCGCTGTTGGGTGGGACATTTTTCTCCTGCTGAGCGGGTTGGGGAGGTGGGGCCTTCAGGATGGACTGCACTGTAAACTGTTCAGAGTCTTCTACTGGATAACACAGTTTAGAAAATCTCTTTGCCTCGCCCTGAACTTCAGTGCAATAATAAGCTAAAATACATCCTTTTCTGCAGTTAATATCAGAGACGATAGCAATAGTTAAAGTGAAAATTAAAGGTAAACTGAGTTAAGTAGAGCATTTGCTAGATGTATCTCCCTGCAGGCAGAGTTTTTTCTGTGGGTGTTTCCAACAAAATGTCATAAAAACCACATAATGGTGCAGAGCTGGGGGGGTGCTCAGCTCAGATGAAGTTATTCTTCAAAGATTAAGGACCAGACATTGGCAACGAAAAGTGTTCAGCTAGTTTCAAACAAAACTCCATTCAAAGATTTATGCAAAAAGTTATTTTGGAAAACAATACAGATTATTTAAACAAAGCATCCAAATCAGTGTCTGAGTTTTATGGTGGCTTTGAGGTCAACAAAGAATAATCTGAACTCTAATATTAAGCAGAAAGTAACTACATCTGCTAAACAGCCTGCTCTGCTGTCATACTGACATCAGTTTTCCTGGTGTGATGTTCCTAAACAGGTCGCCTCTTCCTTCACTGACTTCCATCAGCAGACATCAGAAAAACCACCAGCTCTCCTCATTTGATTCAAAGGAGCGGTGGTCTCTGACAGCCATAGTGATCCTTTTCATATCCATTTAATCTAAAACATTTAAAGTGAAAGAGTGCCATGATTGAATCAAAGTAGCTGAATAAGTATGATCATACCTCTTTTTCTTCCGCTTCTTCGAACAGAGGAAAGTTGTCAACACATTTTCCAGATGGATATCTGGTTAATGGGAGGGAAGTTACGGCCATCGTGAGGGACATTGTTATCAATGCGGTAATGTACACTTAAAACGCTCCAAATGATTAGACAGATATCCAAAAGCTCCAGTACTGTCAATCAAATCCATCCAGGTCAGTTGTGTGCTATCCTCTCCCAGCAGAGGATGGGAACTTTCAGACAAACTCTGAGCAGCACTTCACTTTCATCCCATCACACAGCACAGAAAGCATTTCGTAGTCATTCATCTTCTTCAGCTCCATGTGATCTTCCAACAAAAATCCCAAACTCTTCAAGGCAAATGAAGGATTGACAACTGACAGAGGAAACAGTTGATGGAAAGAACAAAATAAGATGAGTGAAAGACAGTGACTTGTGGAGTTGAGCATCGTGCCTTCTCTCAGCCAGGAGGGTGAATGAAAAGTGTGCCTGTGCCTCCCTTTATACTCTCTGTGTCTCTTCTCTTGCTGCCTCACTTTGGCTTTTACCCTGGCTTCAATGTGTGAGTGTGTGTGTGCAAGTGCGTGTGAGTGTGCAGAAACACGTATGTGTAGAAAGAGACCTCTTTCAGAGCAGCAGGAATATATTATAACCCAAACAAAAGGAGCTGGCTTATTGTTTATGAATTAGAAGCCTTCCAAAGCCAACAAAGGCCTCTATTTTCATAGAAAACTCCATTTTCATTTCAGCTCCATTTGATTACCAGAGCAAAGAAAATAAAAGGGCTTCTCTGGTCGCAGCGTCCCAAAGGGATTCATTCCTTCTACTTCCTCTCATTCAACTTCTCTGAAAAGGTTTCTTTATTGCTTTCTTTTCAGGAATGACATTAAAATGGGCTTTTAGGAGTAAACCAATGACAAAAAATTATTGCCTGGCTATTTGGTACAATAACAGAGTTAGAAAAAGAGAGCAGTCCTGTGTTGTCTTTGTCATCTTTCTTTCCCTTTCTTCTCCTCTCTTTCTGCTACTGGAGAGGAAAATTGCTGGGGCTGAAAATAAATGCCAGGACTTTGGAGGGAAAGAGACAGGAAGACAGAAACAATGCAACAATACAAGTCAAAAATGAATTATCACCAGCTATTGAGCACAGACGAGACAAAAGTCCTCTGCAGGCAGACAGAGGGCTTTGAAAAGTATGTGCTGTGGGAATGACCCGTCACAAATCAGAAACCTGTTGGATCCACATCCAAAAACATGTACAATGGGGCTGTCGACACCACGTGTGTCATTTCCAAACCTAAAGGTGTGGAAACAGAGCAAAAAAAAAACAATATTGCCATAATAGGTTGACTGTAAACCTGACGACACTCTGTACCCTGCTTTTTTGTCCTGAATGAATATGTGGCTCAAGACAAAAGGTGAACTAATCAATTATTCCTCTTGCAGGGCCCCGGTGCTGTTGTGAAAAGCGTTGACATTTGAGCTTTCCAGAAGACATCTGCAAATTTATATGCCTGCCATTGTGTGAGGCAGCCCGCCTGTATCAAAGGCTGTAAAAGGCCTTGTCAATTTCGTAGGGACAACTCCACAATGTCTCCTTTCTTCTCTGTTGTTATGAGAATAATGCTTTTCACCGCTGGCCTGCCAAAACCTCTTGGCAATCTCACCATGTGATGTTATTGATTGCATTGATATCAGTCATCTACCATGGAAACCGTCAACCTGATGTCCCTAAACATCCCAACTTCATATTTGATGACCAGATTCAAAACAACCTTATCAATCAAGGCTTCAGACAGGAAACATTTGCAGCTGTTTTCCCCCCCCTCAACCAAACGAGACTGCCAGAAAACATCTGTCACATTCAGATATAGCTGGGTTTTTTACCTGTGTAATTCATCTGTTGTGCATGATAAGACAGGGCTTTTCCATGCACTCAGGCTGAATTTACACAGCTGGGGTCACTATTTCACAGCAGTACAAAGTGCTCTGTCAGGAACCAGAGGTTCCAGCTTTTTCTCGGTTCTTGTTGTCAGTTATTTTATGACCTTCTTGCAACTTACTGAGAGCCGCCATAAATCTAACATGGTAGGTCTCCTCAGCGTTCGGATAAATGACCCTACACAGTAAAATAGACCTGCTGCAAGGTGACTAGAACAAGAATCAAACATTTAAAAAACAAACAAAAAAGCTCCTTATTTTCCCTTTTCTACATTTATATAAAACATATTGATTTAATATTTTTGTACATAGATGTAAATATGGATTTCATATGTTAAAATATTTGCTAGACCACAGAAACAACAACATGTTAATGCATATCTGTGGTCATCTTGTCTCTGATGCACATCTCACGCTTTAAATCAAACCACATCAACATTCAGGAGGAAGTTGTTCCTTTTGCGTTGGCTGAACCTTCGTTAACCCACCAAACCAGCAGCGGCTGCAAACTTTGCATTTTACTTACGTTTGCGCCGGAAGTCCACCCTCCTGTCTCCAGTGAGCGTGTTTAGGCTCCAACAGCGTGTTTGGTCCATGTTTTCTGCAGCAGCACCGCGGAAAAAGACGTTAATGAAGGAAAACACGTCGCCAATGGCCCTTGTCTAGTGTTTACACACGCTGACGTAATGTTTAGATATCTGTTTATATTTTTGTTAGCTTTGACATGATGTTTTAATATGCACATTACAATGTACTTACTTTTTCCAATATCTCCTCGTCCGTGCGTCTTTCGGAGCGACTCAGCGCGTGCCAATCAGCCGGGACCACTTTCAGGTGCGGCCAACAATTTAGGATGCGCTCTGACGTCATCACATTCGTGGTCTTATGAAGCTTTGCTCATCTCAATGCCCACATGCCGCATTTTGGTTCCCCGCCGCATTTCAAAATACCAAGACGGAACCGTTTATGATCATTTACTTTGGTCTTTGTTTCCTCTTAATCATTTGTTACTGTTTCCACTGGAAACATCTTCCACCTGGGCTCCCAGAGGAAAACGCGAGAGGAAGTTCTGAAGATGAAGTTCAACCCCTCTGGATTCAGACAACAGGATGCAAAGTTTCTAAATACGAACACAAAATGCATTATTTGGATCAAAAACATGTAGAGACTCAGTTCAAGCTTGATTCAATGTTTTATTCAATAAGAAAAAAAATCGCATAAATAAACAAATGATTCTTATCATGGCAACAACTAGAAATCACCCTCATCACTGACGTCTGAACACAAAACACATTCACATCAAGTCGCTTTTAGTTAAATACATAAGTTAGAGCCGGCATACTGGATCATATAACTTACATTAGTGTGGTTTTAGTGTCAGTGTTATCAACTGGCCAAAAAAGGAATGTTCTCCCAACAGCATGTCTCTGGATGTACAAATCAGGCCAGGGCAAGTGGGAAAATAAGTGTTACAAATCAAAACCATCCTAAAAATACAATGATAAATATAAAAATTAGAAATAATTCTGCAATAACTGAGATCATAAAAAAAGACTAATTCCAGTGTAGTATTGCTTTGACTTTGGTCTTTAGAAACAGAAATCACTGAGCCGTCTCATCCTGAATGACAAGACAGAAGAAAAGGGTAGAGACGCGGGAAAAGTTGTGTGATCCGGCCACCGTTTCAGGGATACCGCCTTTTTTCTTTTTTTTTTTATCACTAAGCTAAAGTATGAGTTCAGTTTCCTCGGATTGAGATCAAAGTTGCTGCCTTGGAGTATGAAACTTATTAGTTATTAAGTTTCAAAATCAAATTAGTGCCCAGATCAGCACTTCTCACTTTTAAGTATCACTGATTTGTGAAGTCAGCTGCATTTACACGTTTAAGACACTCTCGATAAATAGTTTGAATCACTTTGATATCCCAGTATTATGTTCACATCGTTCAACTTGGGTTCTATTTTTTTTCAAACACGGATTGATGAATGTGACTAAAGTTGTATTTGGCTCAAAGGCAGTGATTGTGTTGGAGGGCCTACCGTTTTCAGAGATGTCAGCACAATTTCAGTTTCATAATTCTGTTTGACATCTGATGGGAGTTACGGGACGTTTTTGCTCTTTTTAATCCTGGATCCATTTATTTAATCAGAGTTGATCTATCTTCAGTTTTGGCTGTGCAGACTACAACAGAAGGCCTGAAACTCTTTGAAATAGAGAGAAGAAAAAAAGATATAAACATTTCCTGAGTGGGGCTTTTCATGATGACGGTGAGCTAAAAATAGTTTATGGCTGACTGAATCCAGTACCAGCATGAACTAAACTATTCTTAAGTGCAGAGAAACCTGATAAAACATCTGCTCAGGAAGCAGAGCAGTAGCCTTCCGCTGGGATTTTCAGCTCTCTGACAAATCTGGTCCACCTTCACATATTGCTTTGATGGTAAAACGTAGAGCTGGAAACTTAAGCTATTCAGTGTCAATGTTTCAGTCCTGAGAGATTTCTGAGAAAAAAAGACAGGATTTCTGATGATAACAGATTTCTGAGAGGTTTTGATCGATGGGCTGAGGTTTTTTATAGCTTTTTTTTTTACACGCCAAGTCCATCAATGTTTCTTTTAGGTAAAAGCTGGTACGACTACATTTCATTTGAGGCATATTCTGATGTGGCATCTTAGTAGTCTGTTATTTGAAAATTGCATCATATTTGCTTTCTAATGAAAGGAGCTGTGTGTTTTTGAGAGGTGTGTAACTTATGTACTACTATAGAGTCTCCTAGATCTATCGTATAATGAAACACTGACTTAGCAACAGTAGAAATTTGTTCAAAAAGTAGACAGAGACAGAAAAAACTAAAACAAAGGTAAACCAGAAAAGTGCCATTGCTGTAATGATGGCACATTTAAAAACAGGGAGTATGGCAGGTGGTGGGGTTTTCATGCCAGCCAGCTGTCATGGCTTCACAGCTTTTTGGTCAGTTGGGATGGCTTCGCTGATAGCTGACAGGCATCTCTTCTTGGTCCACGTTTTGGCACACGGGTCAATGTCAGGGTTAAAGTTAATGCAAAGGGATTCATGTTGAGGTGTAACAAGAATAACTGGGAACTGTTGTGTACACAGTCTGATCAGTTCTCGTCATTCGGTCATTGAAAAGTCACAAGTGCTTCCTGGTTCAGACAAACTGATTTCAGAGGTTAGTCTCATCCCAGGTCGGGTCGTTCATGTTCTTCAGAACTCTCCTGACAATCCTCTCCAGCTCTTTTCTGGCTCGCTGTTCTTCCTCCAATGTCCTCTTTATCCTCTTGTTGTCCTGAGAAAAAGAATAAGTGAAAAAAACTTCCTTGAAATAGTAAATAGTAAATAATCATTATCGACGGGCCGCAGCGTAGCCTAACGGTTACCCGTTTCCTGCCAAGCTACTGTCGTTAAAGGCCACTAGAGCCAACAAAATCTTGAAAATAAATAAATAATAAATAAAAAAATAAAAAATAAAAAGTTATTATCGAATAATTGAAGCCAGAAGTCAGCCTAAAAATAAACTACAGGACTGCTTGTGTCTGAAGGCTAACAGCTCTGGATGGCAGTGACAACACAGCTGCTATTAGCATTTCTAACAGGCTGTCTCTACACTTAAGTGATGTGTTTCATGTTATATTGTCTCATCATATTAAAAGCAGGACCCTGTCATATGTGCAGAATTGAGGAAAATCCTAAATGAAGTTTTTCTGGGTACAAATATGTTTTTGTTATTTTGGAGAAGGACCTCTCAAACCTCTAGCTTAAAAATGTCTGGATCAACAAATGGCAGAACAGTTCAAGTTTGACTCTTACAAAGCCCCCCCAATAGTTTCTTAAAGGAAAAAATTCATTGTACGAATGGAAACAAGTTTCTGGTTCACATTCCTCAGGAACCTTGAGCACACAACTTTTCACAATTAGGCCAAATCTTTGGTCTAATTTCCAAACTTTGTGTTGTATCTGATGACAGTTATCACATTTGATGAGTAATGAATAAAAAAAGAAAAAATGTCAAACTCACTTGTTTGAGTTCCTGGACTTCATCTTTGAGACTGTAAACAGTGTCCACCAGACTCCTGAAAGAAAAAAGAGCTTATGATTACTTAAATTAAAGCAAATTCACCATCTCTTGAAACAAGGAACAACTTTCATTTAATCACTCACATTGGCACATCAACTGGTTATATTGTTTATTATTTAGTGTCACTAATACTGTATGAACCCCTCCTTGCAGGCTATACAACCCAGATGTATATTTTAAGCTTTGATAACAGCCCCAATAACACAAACACATTGTTATCTCTTACCTCTCCTCCACCACAGTTTGCCCATTGCTCCTCGTTTCCTCCACAATAATTTTCTCCTCCTCTGGGAACAACACCTGAACATCCTTCCTACTGGAGCCTGAGGAAACATGAACATAAACCAGTTACTGACAGAAGAAAATCTCACAAACATTTTCTAATCTCATTGGGTAGGAATACAATAAAAATAAACACAGCAGAGGGAGTTAAATGCTTTACAAATCACAAGCAAACTCACAGCAGTTGATGAACTTTGATCTTTGACATTCACACTACAAGGTCACGGCTGAAATAGCCTGATAACATTCTTCAGCAATGTGTTAGACCCCTTTAGTTCCTTTGTCATGTATCAGGTGCCTTTAAATTGCTCTGCGTTTTCCTCTGCACATCAATCTAAAAGCAACTCTGTTTTTTACACATTGGAATGACCACATACAATTGGATTATGTATTTTTAAAATCTGCCTCAACAAAACATGTTGTGGTTTTATTTTTCTGAGCCAGTATTAACTTGAAAGGTTAACAAATCCAATGAGGCACCAGGACGTATTCTTTACTTTTGTGAAATTATAGATAAAATTAGAAGTGCAAATGTACATTTCACAAGCTGTTATGTTCACCAACCACACTGTCAGCTTCTCTGTTTTGTTTGCACGCAGTCGAACTCCCACTCAGTTGCTAAATCACAGAAGGACGTGTGCTTACAGAAGCTTCTGTCAACATTTGGGAAGACGCACAGGCTTTCACAAAAGGGGGACTACCAAGTATGAAAAAAATAGACAGACGTACAACACAGAAAGACAGCGGCTTTAAACGGCTTACAGATGTAAACAGACATATCTATCACCAACTGGAAATTAGCTGGTGATCACAACACCGGTATCTTACGAGAAAATGAGGCAGTCCTTTGACTAGGGGAAGTCCAGATACTGTCATAATCCGAGTCTTCCGACTGGTCAGAACATGGCAGGTTTCCGGGGACACCAACCACGTTGAGGCTGGTGTCCGCCAGCACATGGTTGTGCATGAGGTCTGTTCCTTGCCAGGCTTTACAGTGCCATGACGTTACCCACAAAAGAGGAGGCAAATCCAAACAAGGTCGGATAAAGGATGAGGGACGCACCGAGCAGCATGTGTGGGTGGTAGTTATCAAACATTACGACACGAGATGACAAACCAAGGAGAAATCATGACAGACGCAGACAAAAAACAATTGATTTGCGGAGGAGAAATCATAACAAATATACACAAATATGAAGAACAATGACGGCAATAAAACAAAAACAAGTCCATGTGGATAAAGCAGGGAAAAAATAAAATAATAAAATGATGAGGAGACACATAATGAGGTAAGACAAAAAGAGAGGAGAGAGATACACATTGTTAGTAAAGAAAGCAGAGAAGACTCAGATTAGCTATAAAAAGTGTTGAGGTGTGAGCGCACTTATGTTTGTTCAAACTCACTTGAGTTGAGGGTCTGTCGGGTCTTGGCACTAGTACAATAAGCCTCAATCACTTTCAGTATCTGAGCGTCCTCCTCCAGAGCTGCTGTACCTGATAAATAAAGACAAGGCTGTTTGTTTCTCCTTTGTTTGTTTGATCTTGGTACGGGCTGTACTGGAAGTCAATTTCTCCCTGGAGATCAATAAAGTATATTCAATTCAATTCAATTCAATATAGAATGACAATGGGCGAATATCAAACTGGCTGTTGATCAGAGCGTATGAATTAGATTAAAGTCTTTGCTATTTGGGAATCATGTGGAAAAGCTATGGGTAGTTTGTGTGAAAAAAAGAAAAAGGACACTAAATTGATGATTGGCACATGAACAAGATCATCACACTAACAAGTGCGACATTTCTGCCAAAATCGAAACAATCGTGATTTCACTGTTATCTATTAAAGAACCACTTAAATCTATGTAGTTATCACAGTCATGTGGCCACAACAAGTTATAAAGAGCGATTGCGAAGCATTTAATGGAATCACTGACTCAGTAAGATCCCACATCTGACAATGCTGAAGATTCAGCCAAAAGTGGATGAATAATAATAATAATAATATTAATATTAATAGTAACAATAACAGTATAACGTATTTTTTTTTATCTAAATGCTGTTGGACATACGGGAGCCACATTCACATGGCCTTTGGGCTGCTTTTTGAACCCTGGAGTTTTCTTCCTCTGGCCCGTTAGATTTCCCTCTGTACTCACTCTTTCTGACAGTGAAGTCTTCCTCTGAAGGTTTCCTTTCTGGTTTCCTCTTAGGAAGCAGCTTCTTCATGTTTTTTGGGCTCTTACTCATGTCCTTTAAACAAAAAGATAAATAGGAATAAAAATCTTCTTTCATGTGTCATTTGATAAAACAAACAAAGAAAAAGAAAACATGCACATGAGGAAAACTTTGTCAGGATAAATGACTGAAGTAAAGAATTTTGAGAAATCTCTTGATAAATAAGAAAAACATAGAGGTCCACATATTAAGTTTAAGTTTGGCCAACACCTCCTTGAAGCAGAGAGCTGCAGAGGGCCGCAGTGGAGGTGCCGGGCGTAGGCAGCTGAGGCTCCAGGGTTTAGGGGTGCTTGGTGGCTCCAGAGGTCCCCACATGGGGCTGCCACTGTGCCCCATCTCAAATGAGGAGAGGTGAGGCAGGGTGTGGTAAAGTTTTTTTTCACTGACGCCCCCACGGGACTCTGAGAGTCTGGAGGGAGTGATGGAATGGGAGGGCAGCTGAAAAGAGTCGGGTAAAGAGGAGGGAGACGAATTAAGATCGGACATCTGAAAAATAAAACAATAGTCATAAAACGTGAAGGCTTACCGTGTGGCAGGGAGACTGAGGCTTATGCGTGTGCATGTGCACAGGAGGTGTGGTGTGTGTGTGTTTGGTGAGCAGGTCCAGCCAGTCCTGCAGATCACGCTGACTGTTACAAGCTACCTGTATCCGTTCACATTGGCCACCTGCACAAAACAGTATCTTCATTATTCAATACATTTTTTTACAGCGAATTTTTATTATTTTATTTACTCAGCAATATTACCGATTAATTGTCAATTGTGACACTGTAGGTTCCCTGTAGACAGTAAGTTATTGTAGTTTTGAAATGCATTCTTGATTCTATCTTTTGTTATTATTCAGCATGATCTAAAGTGATTGGCTTCCATGTCTTTCAAACACATGTAGTTGTCAAAAGACCAGAGATAATGGGGAATGCTGCCTGAATCTTAGCAAATCTTAAACCCTTCTTGTGATTTACCCTTGACGGTATGTAGGGCAGAGGTGGTTAAATCATGAGATTTTAAAAATACATGCAGCTATGAAGGCTGACCAGATATTTCAAAGGCATTCCTCAAGTTTTCTCCATCTTCGATTCTGGAGATGAGCATTCCTGTCAATGGCATCCGCCCCTAGAGACACAAACAGCGTTGGTCAGTGCTCCAAAACACACAAATAAAATTACTTAAATATCTGAAAGCTTCAAGAATTCAAGAATTTCTGCTAATGTTTCTCACTCATGAGTGCAAGTGCAACTGTAAGAACTTGGTTAGACCGCAGGTTTACACCACATGCACTGCAAACTTTACCTGGAAGATGAATCCACTCATTCTAAGGCTGGCAGAGAGCATGAGCAGAGTGTGAGGGAAGAGGACCAGGTAGCGTTCATTTGATTCCTAAAAGGAACACAAATGAATAAAGAGATTCAATACACTCTAATGGGTCGAATCCAAACTGTCCACATAGTGGTTGGTAGACCATGCGAATAACTGAGTTCACACCTGGCAATTCTGCGTGTGAACTGTGACCTGGGACATGTGGAGAACTGGGCCCAAAGTTCTGATGTCATCTCCCTCCCAGTTTCTGATGGGCTCTGTTAAAATCTGCAGCTCCAGGTCTTTCCTCTTTCTCACCTCTTGACACTGAGCCTGAACACAAATGCATGCACATACATGAAAATACTGGAGATCGTGAAGTTCGAAGTACCTTCTGGACAGGTCCAAATCAAGTGGTCCAGTGGGTCATGGTAAATGGAAAGAAAGGGGAGACTGAATGTCCTCTTTGTGTGTATCATACCGCAAGGCCTTTAAAAGCTGTCATGACAACATGGAGGTCAGCTCTATCAGGATGTTGTTCCTACAAGACATGAAATAAAAACATGAAAAAGGTTTTATCTACCGTCATCATGTTTGTTTTGAATTAAAAAAAAAAAAACACACAGAAAGAGATTCATTCTTACGTCCATGTGTCTGTCCAGTTCTTTGAGGAGTGCAGGGTATCTCTCCAGTCTGGTGAAAGGTCTACTCAGACTCGTGGTGAGTGTCAAGATACCCGGACATGACGCCCCCTTTGACTCCATGTGTTCCCCCAACTCCTCGCTGTAACACGCAGACAAAGAAAACCAACACACCCTGAATGACTGTGGTCTGGGTTAGTGCTTTCAGCATGCACACACTGTGTTCCTCAGGCTTTACCTGTGCTCTGTGAGCACATTGACAGCAGATGGGTGATTGGAGCAATAGGCCACATAGATGATCTTCATCTGGGGCATCAGGCTCAGAAAAAACCCTCCAATCCTCTGCTTGGTCTCAGGGAGTCTACACAAATGTATCATTCATTGTTCAATGTAGGATTAGGGTTAAGCATCATAAAGCTCTAAAAGACACTATTCACAGCACTGCTGGGAATATAACTTATGAAAAAAGTCATCCTTTCATCGTCATCTGATTAGTTACACAGAAAAAAACACTGATCAATATAGCGTGTTTATTGATAACGTTTCAAGATTTTAAACAAATTAACTCAATCACTGCTCTCTTCTGTTTGCACAGAAAAGACAGTGTGGCTTTGACCACCAGAAGTCACTGTTGTCATGATAAATACACACATGACATCACTTCAGCCACCCGTCCAGCACCTTTCGTCTTTTTTTTCCCTTTCAGTAATAGTGTGTGAACAATGGTACAGAATTAAGTTCGTAGCGGTCTAAACGATGGTTGTACTAGTTCAATACTGAATCATCACCCATTTACTTTATTTATTGATCAGAATTTTGGTTTATAAAATATAAATAAAAGATGATAAAGTCAACAAAATGAATAAATACAAAATTAGATAAAAGGAAAAAGAAGAGTTGGTAATGTTTCTGTATGAAACACTCAATGTGAACGATGCATAACACCTAAAACAGTTAAGCCAGGTCCTGATGAAAAACACTGTATTTCAATGTAGAGGACTGAATATATACTGACTTGATCTGTTCATCCAAAGATTGAACCAACATCTGTTGAAACGTTGAGATCTCCTCCAGATTCCCCTGAATATGGCTGATATCAGCATTGCTGAGTCTGCAAAACAGAAGAGTTTTTCAGATTATCACTGACTGAATCCCAGTTTATTTCTGATAACTTTGTGGTTGGATTGGGGCTCCTGTCTAACTACATCAGGAAGGACAATAATCTTCATTTACTTTTGTATCTAATTCTATTAACCTTGTGTAACATAATACCAATGAATTCTGTAACTTGCAAAAACAGATCTTGTTAATTTTACATCTCATATCTGTGCACCACACATTTAAAAAGATTTTGTCCGAAGTGCCTTAAACAACTAAATTCTGCACGCAGAGCCTAAAATAAGATCTAACTGACCTGACTTAGTTTGCTGTATGCAAGCAAAACCTGTCCACCTTGCGGGAGCCTGAGCACTTTTGTTTTGCAAAATGGACAAAAATCCCAGAGGCTAAATGTGGCAAGACCTAAGATTTGGCAGTTCATCTGCAGCCAACAGTGGGTGGCTTTGGGGGGTGGACAGTTATTCACGCTGAACATTTTCTCTTTATTGTATAGCGTTCATTCTTATTGAAATTTTGACTATTTTTATTGCTAATGCAAAAGACAAACTGTGTGTCTGTGCACTGCACTTCTTCAAATATTCACTCCACTGAATAAAACAGCAGGAAATGTAAAAATAACTACCGGTCTGTGGGATGAAGTGAGCGAAGGTATGAACCCAGCAGACTCTGTAGCTCCCTTGAATATTCACTTTCTGCCTCCAGAATATTCTGCAGCACCTGACAATGAAGACATCAAACAATGATATGGTGGGGGGGGGGGGGGAGCACCAAACACATGAAACAGCCCAAAGCCTGCATTTTCTTGCTTTTCAAGCTTCTGACCTAACGCTTTGGGGGCTCTTGTACAAGCAAAGCTTGTATCTATAAATGTCATTTTGTAATGCACTGTCTGGAACAGCTGTGACTTCAGGCAGGTCTTGTGTGCATCTGCAAGACAGGCTCAGGTGCCTGGCACAAAAATGGACTGCCTAGAGACTCTGTGACATCTTGTTACATTATTAAAACACACTCCATAAACACTCATCTGCACTCACACCAGGAGAGAGCCAACCCTGGGGCAAGGCTGCCCCAGAAACCACTGGATTGGAAGAAATAACCTACATTAAATTCGCTACACTCGTGTCGGGGTGCCATGCAGGCTCCACAAACGCCTACATGCTTGCGCATGCACAGACCCTACTAACTGATTGTTAACTAGATGTGTGCACTAAGTATAATTGATTGTGACAACCTACAAAAGCAAGCACACATGTGACAGTAATCATTTAGCCCAGGTCACTCGACCAATCTAATTAAATATCTGCATCAGAGGACGTACAGAAGGTAGAGCTGTTATGGTTTATGCCCTCACCGTTTAAACTTGATAACACCCATGTCTTGAAGACAAACATCAATCCTGAGCTAAATTCATTTTAAGAGACCAAACCAACTGTAAACTGTGTTTCTTCAGACGGCTTTCGCTCACCACATTGTAATAGGTCTTGCTGATGATGGTGGTGTCAAAGCCTTTGGGCGGACTTTTCAGTGTCCCAGATTTTGGCTTGTCAGCCATTTTGTCTAAAATGGAGAAAGAAGAAAGATTTACTAAGAACCACAGACAAGAACATGCTCTAGGCGAGTCTAATCAACAAATGATTGAAAGAGGGAGTTTCATGTCACTGGTCCTGTTTTTTCTTTTTTCAATTCAGGGGAAAATGTTTTAAAAAGCCATCACAAGTATTTTATCAAAAAGTTTATTTAATATATTTTTATAAAAAGAGACAAATCTCATCACACCATGCATTTTTTATGAATCACACTTCAGTGTATTGTTCATCTTGTCTCAGAGGAAAAAACACCAATTCCCACCCATCAGCTTCCTATCCACAAAGGGGACATTTCCCAACGTCAGGGCAATGCTGAGGCCTTTACAATATGTAGGACAACAAATTTTTTAAAGCTATAAATCACTGATTTCCCATTTTCATGTCATTTCTCCTAACTAGCATCTACTATGTTAATAAGCATATTGTTATGTATGCCAGTCAAAAGTTGAACTCTGCCAGATAATGAGTAGCATCAAGCACTTTACTACGGAAAATATAGAGCCACTTAGAGTCTCAGTAAAAAACTATTCTTCAGGATTCAAAGTCTCTCTGCCTTTACTTTGGGTGCATTTGTTATAGTTATTGTTTTCTGCAGTGAGCTTTAAATCAGGAAGGTCTTTTTTGTACGGCGGGTCAGGAACTTCCTGTCTTTGTGAAGCTTCCTGCCTTCACTCGTCTGAATGCAACGCTCTTTACCAGGTTGAGCCAAAAAGAAACACAGCTGGCAGCTGTGAATAGCTTCACTAGGTTCAGAAATACAGATCATAAATTTGTGTTTAGCTAGCCATCCCTTATAAGCACTTTGGGGATGGTGAACATTTCAGTGATTATGTTCCTTGAAGCAATTGTTTCCTATTTCTGCAGGCAGAAAACATTCTTTCATTTGATGATTTCAGGCACATTTTTATTTTATAATCATTTTAGTGGACCAGTAAATCCAACTACGTGTCTAATCATTTTAGGTATTACAACCAGGCATGAATAGAATAAAGCTTAAAAATTAAACAATACATTTTTTCTGAACTGAAATATGTTTGAAGACATGAAAAATAAGTTAAAACTTGAGAAAAATGGGGGGCGATTTCCTGGTCTATGCAAACAAATCCAAATTAAATGGCTTTAAGAATTTTTCTGAGCTAAAATAGGTCAGAAGGTTATCAGTCAAAACAGACTTCCATTGATTGGATAAGTGATTTGACACTGTAACTCCTTTGGAAAACAAGCTAGTTTACACTAGATGGCTGTGTAATGTTTCATTAATTCAACACCCCAGTGTTTATTTTGCTGCCTTTCGAATCTGAAGCTGAAATAAAACTAGGAACCAATAACTTCCAATATTTCAAAGAAGCAATTCCATTTCAAAGCATGCTGCTCTGAGTCAGCTGAAGGAGGACAAGACAAAAATAGAGCAAGATGACTGTATCAGAAAAGTTAGACGTGACTTAAACAAAAAGGATCTATTTTTCTTCTCAGGCAACTGCTCTGAAAAAAAGAACTTCAAGCATGCACAAGATAAGAGCAGCACCCACCGCTTCCTTTCAGCTCCCGTACATAGTTACTAGGGAACCACCCAGTTTTGCCATTCAGTGAGCCTTCCCACCAGCCCCCCTCCTCCTGCCTGCTCACGCTGATGATGTCTCCCTTGGAGAATGAGAGCTCGTCCTCGTTGGTCTGCTGGAAAGGAAAGCGTGCTTTGACCAGCAAGTGGCCACACCCACTACCCTCCGACATGTCCTGTGAATGAGGAGAGCAAGCAACAGCAATATGAAAATGGACTGTGAGGCCACTGTCCCAGCTTGAACTGTGTCGCTGTCATGGTGACTCACCAGGCTGCGGTACTGCGGCTGCAGCAGCTTTGAGGAGCGACTCTGAGTGTTCAGGGAGTCAAATGACTTGATCCTTAAATTTGAGGAATGAGAAACACACACGCTATCTCCAGAAACGCCTAAATCTGCAGGTAAATAAGTTTTTGGTTTAATGATTTTAAAATAACAATATCCAACTGAAAATGATTAAAAGTGTAAATACCATGATCTTACTTTCAGTGGCTTTGTTTAAAGCAACTAAGGAGTTCAGAACCTTGGTGAAGTTCAGTCCCTGCAGTAGGTCACTGACCTCAAAAGGCTTTAAAACAAAAACAAGAGGAAGGATAAAATATATATGTTTACACATATGTATACCACATGTTATTTTGATAGTTAATACAGGAGCTGTTCATCACAAATTGGCCTTCTGATTAACTACAGCTCATCAAGCTAAAAATAAAAGAAACATTGGGTGTAGTGGGGCTTCACATCCTCATACCAACTGCAGGCTGGAGCAGGATTACTTAAAGTCTGAGCTGCCCCCTTTAATCTCCCACTCACACATAAGCGTGTGAGTGGTAACACACAGAACCGGAGTCAAAATACGTCTGAAGTGCCTAATCTTGTATATACCACACATAGCACACAGTAAACACCTTCAGTGTTCCCAAAGCATTCAGGAGGAGCTTTTGGGGGAGCGGATGTCACTGATTCTCCCTAATCAAAAAGATCTAAGCTCTACTACCTATCAACCACTTCTTGAATTGTGCACGCTGAGTCTCTTTAAAGCTATGCTCTTATTAGTGACCTTACTCAAAGGAATGCAGAAGGCAGATTTTAAAGCATTGGCTAATTACCAATAAGAACAGTATGAACCAAATGGTTGATACATACTTCCAACTTTCCATGCTGGATGATGACTTCATATGCTCTGCTGCAGCTAATGTGTATTTATATATATGTGTATATGTATATACACACAACCACACATGTGATTATTAAACCATCTTACCTGACAGTGCAGGATGTATTATTCAATGGTGGAGTGAGTGCACTCCACATGTGCCAAATCATTATGACATCCAACTAACTCTCACTGCTAGCAGAGGCCATGTGCATCACTGTCATCGTTATCTGATTGATTGTGCAGCTCTCGCTGCACAGGATTCGTCCACACTCGCGCTGTCACTTCTCATTCTCTCTGTAATCCTGCTCCGTTGGATTCAGCCTGGCTTGTCCTCTGCCTGCCCGATGACTGTCTGGGAGAATTACTACAGACTGCTGGTAACAGAGACCTTGGCTTCCAGCGACATGGCTGACGTGACTCTAATCAACCTGATTGGAAAATCCACTGGCTGCTTGTTGGACTGCATTACATCAGTCCACTCCTCTCCTCCCCCTCATGTCATCTTTTATGCTCCCTTTCTCCCGCTCTCTATTGGTCCTTTGGGATTAATGATAATTTCAAAACCCCTTAGTTTTCATCCGTATTCCTTTCCAAGTGCTGAGCAAAAACCTTGTTATGCATCTACGTCCAGGACTCTGAAGCTGCATAATGAGCTCTTTCCCATTATGAGCCCATGGCTCTATCCATGGCTTAGATCAATACTCTGTGTTTGTGTGCAGTCATTTTGTTCATTATTCACTACATCTCGCCTCATGCTCCCACAGGGGGTGGGTCCTAACCTGGCATGACCCACTTAAAAGCAAACATACACACACACACCCTGATATATGCTTCTGAACTTTGACAGCAAGACAGACATATAAAAAACTTGTAAAAAACCTCAGCATTCAACAGAGCTTCAACATTTTTAGCATCATATGAGATTCTTTCAGTGCCAAACAACGTTTAAAAATGCGATTGAACACTTGAACCAGCAACAATCCAAACAACACATGTCTCTACAGTGAATGAATATTTGTCCGATAAGCATTTCGTTAATGATCAGCTCACACAGCCCAGACTACCTGAGTAGTATCTCTCACTGCAAAAGAGGAGACCAGGAACTTTCTGAACTAAACACAAAAACAAGATCCAAGCATTCGTCCACCGCTTTCACATATTTAAGACAACTGCCAAGTTGTCAGAGATGAGAATATTGTATCCATGAAAATCTCTGCCTCCTGTTTCCATAACTACGAATGAAATACAGTCAGTAATGAAGAAATTCACCTCTGTCAGTCTCCTGGGAACAGAAAAAGAGCAGACTGAAATTTTGCACTGTTTCAAACATGCTGCAAGCATATCTTTAACACATCTTAAGCTGCTCAACTCATTCATTTGTCAAATTTAACCCTATATTTCGGTCAAAATAATACACACATTTCTCTTGTCTTAAAACCAAGAACTTGATATTAATCAATATTAGCTGTAACAGACTGAAAAAGGTCTAATATTGAAAATAGTAAGGCTGAGGTAGTTAAGATGAGGGCTGTTTGAGAGGATTCTAATATAAAATGCATCTCTGTTCGCTGGAAATAAATTGTGAATAGCCATGAATTTCAGAACCCTCAAGCATTGCTGCGTTAAGAACAGACTTGGTGATATAGTGGAAATCAGTTTGTGATCGCACACTTCCAAAAACTAATGCCAGTAAACACAGTTCATCACTGCATCCCAAATGAAGCTTCAAGATCCACCATGCATGATGCTGCCACCAGCTCATTAAGGATGGACTGAGATAGAGTGGAAAACTGCCATGTGGTCCGATAAAAAAAATGTCTTTGTACTAATCATGAAAAGGGTAAGATGAATAGGAACCATCTGGTTTCTTATCAGCCAATAACTCAAAAGTCACACTCTGATTGCACTGTTAGCTGTTACATCTGTAAAGTCCACATACAGACAGAATACTTTGTTTGGTATTGGGTTACTTTCACCAAAAATTATGCCAAGCCTCATTCTGAATGCCTTACAGCTCCATCGTAAAAGAGACCAGGTGCAAAACTAGGTCAGTTTATTCTCCAGAACTGCATCAAACTTAAAAAATATGCAAAAGAGCCCCTGACCTGTATAGAAAAATATTTTGCATTCTGAAAGTGCAATGTGCCTCTTTATTTCCCCAAAATCTTATGAATTGCTTTTGGCATCAGGTTCGAAACACTTGTTGAATCCCTAATATTTCCCACCACTATTGTCTTATGCACTGATCTGAGTAAATGCTAATTAAATGACCAGATTTCCGAATGTGATACAACTTTGTTTATTTAATGAGTTGGTCCAAAACAAACAGATAAACATAAAGTGGTTGCATGTTCCATCCTTATTCCTGATGAGTCTCCTGACTTGTCTGAAACCAGATTTACATTGAACGCCTCACAGTGCAGTAACGGTTCCTTTCTGGAGCTCAACAACCCCCAAAACAGTCCCTTACCAACCTTTATCCAAACACAAGTTTCAGAAACCAGGGCTGAACGATAAATGGTATCATTTCCCGACTTATTTCCGAGTGTCCCTGTCGTGTTTGCATTGTAAAGGCGTAATTGATGTTGGAGCTCACCTCCACTCCGAAAGCCTCACAGCCTTTAACAAACTCTGCGATGTTTCTCTGACTCTCGCTGTCGTTCCTCGGCTCCTGGAAAAACTACAATGAAAAAAGACGACTTAAATTACTCAGCTGAAACAAATGTTACCTATATATGTCAACGCTGAAGATTTTTTAGGCTCAGGAGCACTCTTATTGCTGGCGATACTGCTAGTGTACTTCAACGCTTTCCAGGATCAATTCGGCTAATGAGCCTGACGTCCGGTTTCAACCTTCAAAATAAAATGCAGGCCAAATGCGCTAGATTTTAAGTTAATTTTTAGCCGTTTCTCAACTACTTTACCTAAAAAGCGTTTTGGGAAAACAACTGTTCACGGTCCATGGCACTGCCACTTTTACAAATAAGTTGAAGTTATATTTTGTGGGCTATTTAAGTTGCCAATAATAAAAATACAAGACGTGGGAAAACAGCCAAATCTGTTAGATCCTTAAAGATAAGGAATATACATTAAACGTCTGGGTGTATCGACACGTATCAGCAGATCTGCTTGTGGAAAAAAACAGAAAATACTTTTGGGGGATGAGATCTGATAATGAGGGGGCTGTGCCTGTATTTTGAAAGGCAGATGTGTGCACTGTGTTGTGTGTTAAATTAACCGGATCCTCTTATAAAAAGTCCTCAATCCCCAATGGAAACTGGATAAGCCCAGGGAGGATGTGACGTGAACAGGTGCATGGTCTATTGTTAGTGTGTGCGCGTGTGTGTGCAGCTGTAGAATAATTATAAAAATGCGTGGATATACTGCACTGCACTGGTTATTCTAACAACTTTTAGCAGAGTAATTTTTGTTCAAAGTTAACCAACAGCACCTTTTTTTATATTAAGTTTTATTCTATCGCAATGTTTCATTGACATTAACACTATAACAGCAATGTGCTGTTTGGGGGAATCAGGTTATTTTCAGCATACTTAGTACATTGTGTTCCTATTTTTATCCTTCTTCTGACATATCTAAAATAAGTAAATCCATGATGCTAATATACAGGAGGAAATATAAACCTAATCAGAAAAAAAAAAACTATTCCTGATCCCTGTTTTGGGAAACTAACACTGATGTTTTCTAGTCTCATGGAACAACAGGCCTATATCTGGACAGCGTCATGCTGAAGGCCCAGATCCGGTCCTACATGAGACTCACAGAGCACAGCCGAAGGGGAACAATTTGTCATTGTTCTGCCTCTAACTGTGTTTCCTGATTTATTACATACTTTGGCTCAACCTAATGATACTTTTGCCTCCTTTTAATGTTTAAGGTAATTCATGTCAAATTTCTTCTAGTTGTTACTCATTTTATAGCTTTTAGTGGATGTCAACACTCACAGTCTGTTTCTTATTACTCTGTGATCGGTTTGTATTGTTTAATATGGTTATTTTTTAAGACTGTGATCAATTAAACCAAATGCAAGTTGTTGTGAAGCTCTGTTTGTGCATTGAACTCTGTTTTTAAAGGAATTAAAAAAAAAAAAAATGTCAATTTTGCACATTTTCCATCTTATTCATAACAATGGATCGTTTTTCCGTTAACTTGCAACTCTTTAGGCTGCACGGTGCATTCGTGTTGGAAACATAACAGACAAGGACCAGGGCCCCACATTTAATGATAAATGATCATTAACAAGTACTCACAAAGAAGTCATCCCTTAAATTTAAAAAAATAAACACTCTTGTTTATCATCTGGCAGTTTTCTCTACATTTAGGCCATGACCTGTTAATTGAACTAGTCACTGCGTTCTCTCTTTTTCCATGGACCGATGCCCCCCCCCCTCCGTCCACTCACTTTGTCCAGCGTCCCGGGTCTGAGTCGCTCCAGCAGCCTGCAGAGCACCGCTCCATCCTGTAGAGACGCCTGAAGGAAAGCCTCTGGATCCGAGATGCTTTTCTTGGGAGACTCCAGGACCCCCAGCGTGATAAGCCATGTCACCGTTTGCTCGGCTGAATTCATGTCTGCTCCTCCAAATCCCACAAAACAGCAGCAGCAGCACTCCGGCTCCGGAGGGGCAGCACCGTCCTACTGGTGGTTCGTCCAAATTGAGACAACGAGCTCAGCCCCGCCTCGTTTAAACATCACAGTCCAACTGCCCTGATCCCCAGCCTGTTTCACAGCACAGAAGAAAAGAAATGGACTTGGGGCATGAGCTCGCTCCTTCCTCTAAATGCACCGCATTGTCCAGCGCCCCCCCCCCCCCCCCCCTCCCTCCATCAGAGGATGTGGGCATCACCTTGGCTCGTGCACAGCTGTCGCAGCCTCTCCGGAGTCAAGGCAGATGCTGTGGGACAGAACTTCCTTCTAGAGCTTATAAACTAAAAGCTGGACACGCTCCTGGAGCTGGAAGTGCGGCTTTGTCTCACTGAGCTGGTTCCTCGTCTCTGTTTGTCAGCAGCACCTTATCTGAGCTCTCAGGCTTTTGGAGGTCCTGGGCTGCACCTATTTTGTTGGTTCGAGAAACTGTCCGCGCCCCAGTTCTTTCTTTCTCTTGTGTTCCTTTATAGAAAAAAAAAAGATAAGACCGATTTCAATCATAATGGTGAACATCTGCTGTGAGACTTAGCTGCACCAGTAAACCAACAGGCAAGGTGCTGGACTGATTTTTAAAAAGCATGCTGTTTCTTAAGGATTTTAGAAATATTCCAAAAGCAATGAAGAGGAGCAAAAAGCTTTTTGGTCAACCATCCAGGCAGATGGTTTGTTGAACCTGTAGTGTGAAGCTGCAGCCCCTGTTCTGCTGTTTTCAGCCGGTAACTTGACGGCAGCACTTTTCCGGACCGTCCCACCAGTGACAGACTGACCAGACCAGGCAGATTTTTAGCAACGTGTTCGACAGATACAGATTTTTATTTTTATCCAAATCTGCTGGTTTGAAATTGCGATTTTTTTCTAATCGCTGTCAAGTTTTGCATCACTCATATGTTCATGCTGAATTTACATGACAGACTGAGAGTTTCTCCTAACTGCTCACATAAACAGAGGACTTCTCGTCTTTTTCTCCTTCATCAGGAATACCCGCGTTACGTTGGTTCTTTCCAGGGACATATCTTTTAATACAGTGAGCAAAAATACATATCATTATTTGCCACACCAAACTGGGTTCTCTACCACCCTCTGTTGGTCACCTTTTACTATTGATTGGTCATACTTGTTTTGTTTTTTTTATCATGACATTTTATTTTTTTTTTACAAAATTTGACTCACCTTATGTGATACTGTACAACTTACCTAACACATACCTTAAGAGTTACTCACCAAACTAGATCTGTAAATGTAATTTTATGGTCCGATGAAGCTACATGACTTTCTGTCAAATCTCAGATTGATGTAATCATATCAAACAGATGTGTTTCTTTCAAATCAAGAAAATAAATGCTTCTGCCACATGATGTGAAATGTTCTCCTGTTTCTGTTTGCCTTTCCTGGAAACGCTCAAAATGGGCCGCTAAATTAGCTGCAAGTGCTACATTCACGAGCAAACTTGGCCAAGCTCAAGGTGCCAAACGCCAACAGAAAAAGCACAACAGGGTGTGACTTAACAACTTCTTAAAGCATTGAAATGTTTAGTCGCTTTACTGTGTGAAGTTTTGCAGTGGCAAAAATGCTCTTCGTATATTTCCTTTGATGCACAGACATCCACGACAACACTGGTACCTGCGGATGGGAGAAATGTAGTGTTGTAAGGCATTTCAGAAAAGATTGCTTCATGTTTTAAGACATTTAAAGCTTTGCATGTCACAAATATACAGACTAGTCAGAGACTTCTTTTGATGCATTACTGTGGCATATGGAAATTTCAATATACTCTCTATTCTGGAGACACAAAAGCCAATCAGATCAAGCTCCATGAAAAGACTGATACTTTGACGTGTTAAAAAAATGGAGGAGCTTCATGAAGCCCACATGCCAAGTGTCACAAAATAGCCCCACACTCGTGCACACTCAGTGAGACAACCACCCCGTTAGAATTTTAACTCCTAAAGCTAAAATAAGAAACTAAAGAAGATGTTGCTAATACAGAATATTATCTGAAACCAACACGAGATTTGAAGTTTGTTTGAGTGTTTTCTTTTTACAAAATAATCTGAATGAGAGTATCCAGTTTGTGTGGTAGATCTAGAATGGGGCCAAAACTTTTCAATAGATTTAGCAAGAGGAAGTGAATGTTGTGTGACCACACTTTTTTGTGCAGTGGTGCTAGACTGTGCCACTGCATGTGAAACGGGGAGTGATACAGTGGTTTCATCAGTCACGTCAGTTGTTCAGTAGCAGCTCCTCAACTTCCTTGTTCAGCCGTCAGTGCCGTTTCCTCTTTCGTTAACTGTTGTTATTCCTCTTTGCCACACCGTTTGAAATGAATTTGCTGCGTTAATCTGAAAAAAGGACACAAATCTGCACTCTCCAAAGGAATGTGAACACTGCCTGATTCTGGTGCAGAGTTTTGCACTGGTTTGAAGCCCGGCTGAACTTTTTTGGAGCTTCTGCAATACTGGTTAGTCCAAGGGAAATGCATCAGAAGGTGAGTCACTCACTGTGTGATTGGCTCCTAAAACATTGTTAGTGTTTAGCTAAGGTTAGTGTAACGTTTGTGTGTTTTCAGTGTTAATGGACCACTTCGACATTTCTGTATGAGGGGGAAGAAAGACACAAAGTGAAGCGGTGGTAACCATGTGTGTGTCTGTGCAGTAGTGTGCGAGCTGTGTGGGTATAAGTGTGTGTGTGAGTACGTGCGATGTCGGGTGACACCAGAACCCTGCTCTGGAGAAGCATATCCACCACCAGCCAGTCGGAGTCTTCGGATGTGGCTCCTGCTGTAATCGGGGGGAGGGAAAACTTTGTCCCAGTGAAGATCATCAAAGTGTGTTTCCTCAGCAACAGCTCCAACCTGGGCAAGAACTTCAAACTGGTCCGCTGTGAGGAGGGCTGGACTGTGAAGGTACGGCAGTCCACTGCTCTTTCCAGCAGTGCTCACCTTGTTGAACGGCTATTAATTATTTCCCCTTCTGAACACTTTCAAACACATTTTTGTACCTATCACTTTACATTGTGTGCTGTAGAACTTCATTATTTTGCGTTCTACTAGATTACTCTCCTTAATACATCTAAATCTCCTTCTTGTCTTCTTTCTTTCTGTAGAACATTGAGCTCTATTAAATTGCATTGCGTCATGTTGTTTGATTGGGTCTTGTCTACTTAACCCCAGTTTAACCAAAGCCTTTTTCAAACCTGAGAACCTTCCGCCTGTTCTGCCTGTGCACGTGTGGGTTCTGTTCAGGCATCCTGATAAAATGACCAAACCATAATACTGCAACCAAGAGGACACTGACCTGTTTAGCAGCTAAAAAGGCAGCGCCAAAGTGAATGGAAAACATTTCCCCCCCATAACTTCAGTGTTGTCATTAAGTGATGGAGCCAAGATGTTTCGACCTCAACTTCAACGTTCGAAATGTTGCTTTTATGTTCCTTATAACAAATTCTGGTTTTTGAAAGGCTTTAAACTTGCGTCGTGAGCTTGCAAATATCATCATGCTGTTCATACTCATTTTACAAGTATCTGTGGTACTTTTCAAAGTTGCAGTTGGACGTGTTTCCCCTCAGCTGGGCTGAGGTTGAGCTGTGCCCATCTGAACCCCACAGTCTGCTCTCAGTGTCCTCCTGTAGGTTTTTCAGCAGCATTTTTCCGCTCTGCCTCTGAAAAACACCTTCCAATATTTTCAGCTTTATTTGATCACTGAAGTTTGTTTTAGGTTTCAGACTGCAGAATGCTGGTAAAGCCGACACTTCCACACACACGGCTGAGAAACCTGTGTCGTTCATGGTGCTTCGCCTGAGCAGTCAGGATAAATCAGTATTTCCTGTATTTTTCTGAGCTGATTTGACAACCTTGTTCTTGTTCTGTGGGGTGTTTTTGTCTCTATCTTAGTCTGTCATCAAGACAGTGCTGTCCAGTGGCTGTGTGGGTCCCGACATAAAGAACAGCCTCTCTTACGGCATGCTGCTCAAACACCTGAAGTCCTCAGAGATGCACTGGCTGCACCCAGATCTGACCATCTCTGAGCTCACTCAGAGATACGAGCAGCAGCACCTTGAGGCTGAATGGAGGTAATCCAGAGAGCAAATGCTGTCTGAATAAAAGTGGAGGTGGAAAGCTTCAGTCAGCATCAGAAACATCACAACAGAGCCTTGAATCCCATATGCCTCAAAAACTAAAAATGAAGCTCATCAGACGTGTTTGCTTGTCCAGATATGACCTGAGGATCAGATACATCCCATCAGACTTCATGGAGACGTTCAAAGATGACAGGACCACCATGCTTTACTTTTACCAGCAGGTCAGTGATGCGTCCGTCCTGCTGTGTTCATCCGGGAATTCGAGTGTCAAATCTACAATTAACTGAGTGTTTTCATCTGCAGGTGAGAAGTGACTATATGCAACAGTACGCCTCCAAAGTCAGCGACGGAATGGCCTTACAGCTTGGCTGTCTGGAAATCAGGTAGCCTTTCCCTCACGCTGACACCCATCAGACACTGCACCATGAACGCTGCACGAGTTTTCCTGAAAGTTACGCTGGTGCTTGCAGGAGATTCTACAAAGACATGAATCCCAATGGACTGGAGAAAAAGTCCAACTTTGAACTGCTGGAGTAAGTGGAGTGTTATTTCTGCACGTTTGTCAGCCTTCTGTGTAGATGTGATGAGAAGCATGTCATACCACCGCGCGGTGACGAAGAATGAAAATAAACCCACTTCTGGTTAACAATAGAAAAAGCTGCAGAGCCAGTCTGTACCTCAGAGATGAAGCTTAACACCCACACTTGGCATTCAGTAGAAATCAGGTATTGTTGCATAGCAGCTGGAGTGGCTAACTGCTCTCCGTCCCTTGGTTAGGAAAGACGTGGGGCTGGACCTGTTCTTTCCCCGAGAGCTCATAGACAGCATGAAGGTATGAGCCCAGACATGCTCCCTGAGCCCGGCCTTTGTGTGGAGGCGATGAGGCTGAAGGTTTGCTGTGCGGGTGTGTTGCAGCCCAAGCAGCTGCGCCGGCTGATCCAGCAGACGTTTCAGGGCTACTCCACCCTGCAGCAGGAGCAGTGCATGGTCAAGTTCTTCAGCACCCTGGCGCAGTGCTACAGCTTCACACAGGAGAGATACGCCTGCCAGCTGGTGGTGAGCGTCCGCTGTTGCCTGTCACCACTTCAGAGAGCGATTCCTGTCGTCGTGTCAGTGGAGTGTCCCGACGTCTGTCTGTGTGAGCCGAGGCCAGCTTTAACCTGACCCCTGTGTGTTCCTGTCTGTCTCTCCGGCCTCTGTAGCATGGATGGAATCTCGCCATAGACTTGGTCATCGGTGCAGATGGAATCAGTCAACAAACGGAGAACTCAACAGTGAGCCCAAATATTCTGTCACTTCTGTTTTGGTTCAGTGTTTAAAAAAGTGTTGCCGTACATCATGACGTTCATCTGCTTTTTTTGTAGCCCACCTGTCTGGCCAAGTTCTCTCAGGTGCGAAGCATCTCCTGTTCCGGGGAGACGGATGGCCGAGCCCTTCTCATGGTGCACATAGAGGGAGCCAAGCAGGTATCAATACACTTCCTGATTTAGCTCATTTTCATTCACTATGCATTCATAAAAACACCAGACAATAATTCCCTGATTTAGGATGCTCCTTCTGGACTTTTTCTTTTTGTGGAAGTTACCATTACCACATTTAGGGAAGTTTTCACTGCCAGAGGAATGACTGCCACTCCAGATAAAATGTCTCATCTGAAGTTGAAACTTTCCTCTATATTTCCCATTAATCTTTTAATCTGAAAGAAAAAAAACAATCAATCTGCTGTCCAATCAGAGCACATTGTGTCTGTTTTTTTTCTAATGAGGGATGCATCAAAAAGGCCACAGCTGGATCAGAGTCCTTCTGCCAGAAGGCAAAAAGAAAACTGAATTCTGCTCTTGTGAATGAAACTAACATGATAAAACCAATGTTCCTATCTCTTCAACACTTCCAGCCCCTCTCAGTGAACACATCCTCTCTAGCGGTTGCAGAAAACATGGCGGACCTGATTGATGGTTACTGTCGATTGGAAGGAACAGCTGAAAGTTCCCGCATAGTCCGACCCAACAAAGGTACGCCAAGAAAATAATGTATACAATATTATTCTGCTCACCTTGAACTTACATTCCTTTTCCGGGGGTAATTTGCATTGCGTTAGAAGCATTCTAACCTAAAACCACAAACTTTGACGCAATAAACTCAGAGGGTGGTTTTCATTTAAAGTGGGCTGTTTTCACACTGCTCTCTCTACAGGACATTGAAAAAAAGGTGTAACAAACAATGAAAAGTTTGAGCCAAGTATGTCTCATCTGAAATGTTCTTTAGATTAAATCTGTGTGTCGTTTTTACAGGAAGAGACACCAGACTGAAACTTCCTGACATCCCGAAATGGTTAGTAATGTTGAAAAGCCCTATTTCTAAAATCTTCATTGAGAAACAAAACTCTAGAGATGTTTCAATTGAGATTGGATTTTCTTGATATTTTACATATTTGTGGTTCTGCTTTACAATAATTATCCCTAAAAAACTATAGAGTAGTTGTTATGTAACCGGCTGAACAGACTCAATAAGATAAATTATCATTTTTTTCCCCTCCCCCTTACAGTGCTGCTCCCAGTGGCCCTGTAAGAAACTTTGGTACGTTCCATCACTAGTTCACACATTTCCAAGATACAACTGATGAGGGCCTTTTGATGTAGTTTTATGTGGGGCTGATGTTGAATACATAAAAAAAAATAATCCTGCCATGTCATCATTCTTCTTCACTCTCAGGTTCTGATATATATGCTGAGATACCAGATGGCAAAGAGGACTTTGGTGGTGAGTTGTGACTGATTTGAAAAACAAAAAAAGTGAAATAAAGATACCCAGTGTGTTAAAAAGTGTCCCTAAGCTGGGAAATAGTTAACCTAATGGATAAACCTTAAAAACTACACTTTCCTGTCTCAGATTCAGCATTCACTCTTCACAGAGTTATTTGTTTTAAGCTTTCTTTTTATTAAGAGATGTCCACTTCATCTCAGTGGTTCACTGTTTTAGATTGTTAAAAAGCATCACCCTCTCCGTTTGTTTCTTACTCGGTTTGTGTTCAGACAAACACATCTCAATCTCCAGAGATGATGTTGTTGTGGGTCGAATCCTGGGTGAAGGGTTCTTTGGAGAGGTGCATGATGGAGTTTACAAAAGTCCAGTGAGTTAAACTTATTTCATTAGAAAATCTCACCATCACAACCTAATGCACAGACTTCACTCCCGCTGTCTGTGTGTGTGTGTGTGTCTGTGTGTGTGTGTGTGTGTGTGTGTGTGTGTGTGTGTGTGTGTGCAGAGCGGGGAGAGGATCCGCGTGGCAATCAAAACCTGTAAGGACGGCTCAGCTGATGTGAAGGAGAAATTTCTCAGTGAAGCCGGTGAGACTGCTGCAGGGATTACTTCCTGCCTGAACTCAAGTGTTGTGGTTTTATTCAGCTCTGATTGAAAGTCGGTGATGTAACTTTGTAGTCTAACTTATGGAATCTTTTTTCAGATACATGTGTGACCTCATTTATTAGTGCTAAATTACCAATGTGGTAAATAGAAAGAAAAGTGTCTTTGTGGTTTGGCATTTTTCAGTGGAAGACTTTTTGGGTTGACTTCCTGTTGTCTGTTTGTGGCTTTGTCTGTCAGAACAGAATGGAACTTGTGGTAGACTGTAGGCTACTGTGTCATGTGAACAACAGTGCCGAAGATAATTAGGTCGATGGTTTGTTTTACTTCGTTTGCTCACCTACTAGTAATCTGTTTGTTGGGTGACATAATCTGTCTTGAGTTTTAAATATTGTTTTTGCTCTATTCTGAAATTCACAGTGATTGCTCTTATTTGGCCTCTGGTATTAGTTTCCTTTAACTCCTAATAGAAACAAATACACAATATTTGTTCAATATGGTTTCTAAAGCTTGTGTATGTTTTTTGGGGTGTTTTACTTCAAATCCAGGCATGTGCCCACAGCCAGGAAACAAATACTCACGGCATAAGGGGTCAAATGAAAGCAGAACAACAGGAATCCCAAAACATTGTTGTTCTGTCTGTGAAAAAATACTGATATATCAAGGAAAAAGAAAAAAGTTTAATCCGAAACAAATGTCCTTTCTCTGTCTATTTCAGGTCTGATGAAAAATCTGGATCATCCTCACATCGTACGGCTCATCGGAGTCATTGAGGTCGATCCGGTCTGGATTGTCATGGAGCTCTATGAACATGGAGAGGTATCTTTTCTTGTTTTGAACTGTGATGCTGTTTAAAAAAAGCTTTAGCTGCCATTTTGGTTCTATCACACCTGTTTTGAGACAGCCACAAACTAATTGATGATGCAGTGTTCTGCTCCTGACTTGCAAACTCTTGGGTATGTTGAATGTTTTGAGGTGAGTTTGAATAAGTGGAGCTGTTTTCATTTGTCACTGAAAGCTTGGAAACTATCTTGTGGAGCAGCAGTACATCTTGACCACGGCAACGTTAACCCTGTACTGCCTACAAATCTGCAAAGCCTTGGCTTATCTGGAGGGGCTCAATATGGTGCACAGGTAAGGCAGTATTGTGCATTTTTAAAATAAAAAACTGTCTGCCTCCAAAGCCAATTTAATGTTCGAATAAAAATATCAGCCAAGAGTTTCCACAACTATCTAGTCTCTGCAACTATTTATTTGCTGGTTTTATTTCAAATCCTGATCCTGGTTTTAGTGTTAGTGATTATTTGTCTTAACCTTTTGGTCCCTGTTTTGTTGCTGTTCTGTCAATGCTGCAGAGACATAGCTGTCAGAAATGTCCTGGTGGCCTCTTCTGACTGTGTTAAACTCGGTGACTTTGGCCTGTCTCGCTATGTTGATGAGCAAGAGTACTATAAAGGTATGCATGCACACACAGTGGTATTTCTTCATAAAATTTCCATCAACCTTACTTCATATTTTTAAAAATTGTTTCTAAAATAAAGGTGCATTTCGTGTGTCCATTTTTACGAGCAGCCACTGTTAGTCGATTACCAATCAAATGGATGGCACCAGAATCCATCAACTTCCGGCGCTTCACCACAGCCAGCGACGTCTGGATGTTTGGTGAGAAAACTAGTACATGGTGTCCTTAGTCTTTTGCTACTGTGTGGAAAAAATACAGTCAGCACAGTTTCAGACAGAGGGAAAATGGCTCAGACACTTTATGAAAATATGGAATGTCTACCTCCTATTAAGGAGATTGATGCTGTGCTAGGGTCTTTTTTAAACCTAAATTTACAATCATATCAGTGGATAGTGTGATTAAATTAATACATATAAGCTGTAAAACTTTAAAACCTTCTTTTCCTTTGCCAAATCTAACAGTTTTGTTCTCATGACACAGACCACACATGAGTAACACAGAAATCAAACCCAGTGGTGTCCGTTCCGGGCTTATCTGCAGCCCACCATGTCTGTGTGTTCAACCAGGTGTGTGTGTGTGGGAGATCTTCTCCATGGCCCAGCAGCCCTTCTTTTGGTTGGAGAACGGGCAGGTCATCAATCAGCTGGAGGCAGGAGTTCGCCTCCACAAACCGCAGCAATGCCCCCCCACGGTTTACAGCCTGCTCACCCGCTGCTGGGCCTACGAGCCGCACGGCCGGCCCTCCTTCGGCCAGCTCGTCTGCTCCTTCAGGTGCACACTCCTCGTCCAAGTGGCCTATTTTTTAATGTAAAAAAAATGAGGGGTTAACCCATTTTGATATGCTGTAACCCAAAAAATAAGGAAACAACATAGGGAAACCAATAACACTGAAGTTTGTGTGTTTGATAGTGACATCCAAAGGATGGAGCTGGAGCAGGACACTGGAAAGAGGCAAAACAGGCCCCCCTCATTCACATCCATATTTGATCCCAGCCACACAGATCCTCCACCAAAGGTAGCACACACGTGAATGGTGTTCATGAGAACTTCAGCTCAGAATAAATTGTCCTCTGTGATGGCCACATTTAAACAGGGTATCAACTTGTTGTGCCACAGAACATTTAAAGTAGAAATTACCCACAGAAGTCCTCACCACAAATGATCCGACATTTGTTGGAATAGAGGCGTTCAAGGCATCAAAGTAAATCGGAAAATTCCTTGTTCCAGGATTTGATTTTTTTGAGGACTCGAGGATTTAAGGTTGAAATTGATTTTAAAGTGTGTGGTAAATTGTATGGATATAACACTTTTACATCAGTCAACTCACTTTCTTTCTGCATTTACCACAACGTTTTTTAAAACATTTTTCCATTTATTATGTGGATCCTGGCAGCTGAGTGAGACTTTATTAGTATTCAATGTATTTTCACAAGTGGGTAAAATAGATATTCGTCCATGTAGAGACCTTTAATTAACCACATGTTCCCTCTGTTTCTCCCTCTGTCTGCATACAGCCATCCAGAATACAGGGCAACACCCTCCCTCGGATCACAAACATAAAGGTGTGAATAATCACATGTGCAGAAAAGCAGGAGAGCATGCGCTCACATCAAAGCTATACATTTGCGGCATCCCCTCTTGATCTCTTTTCTTCTGTGACTTTTAAACATGCTACCATTAAGTCATATTCAAAAACTTCAGATCTGTACATTAAATTGCTAGAGCAAAATGGACTCAGATAGGAACAATGTAAATTGAGTATAAGTGCTGCTGTTCTTATTTGGGCTGTGACCAAAGCTAACCACAGTCAACTGACGGAAACGAGTCAACATGCAAATTAATTTCTTCGAACCGAGCAAGAACAACACAGGCAACAGAATGCTTTAAACAAATGAGATCAAATCTAAAGAAATTTTCTTAAAATAGTTTGACCTTTTTTGTGCATTTATTTTCTCAAGCTCATGTTTGTGGTTTTAGTTTGAATGGTGCCTAACTTAAAGTTAGGATGTGACTTAGCTGGCATACGTTGACATGAAGGATTAGCTGCACCACTCTTTGAGCCTCTTTGTGTGTTTGTGTTTGGACAGGGTAAAGGAACAAATGACCCATCTTTGTGGGAGAAAGAGCGAGTGGAGGACACTTTACAAAGACAGAGGAGAGAGATGCTGATGGACAAACAGTGGCTGGAGCAGGAAGAGAAGCAGCTGGTGAGAGATGGCATGCACACGCAGATACCTGGGAGGAGGACGTTCAGATTGCAGTTTATTGCTGTATAAAAGAGATAAAGTTGTGTAGAAGGGATGCTCATCGGCAGAAAACCTTTAACCATTTCTGCCATATGGTCGAACCATATCTGTGGAGATCCCACCAACACATTCACTTCTCACCCACACCTTCACTGAGGCTGATATGACACTGTTTTTTCCAGGACCCCGCTGTGCGTCAGGAGTTACAAACAAAGGTAAACTTTGCACTCTCTGTCCAACACATTTAATCATTTTAGACACACGAGAACGCAAACAAAACCAACATGAAAATCTAAAAATATCAACCAATCAATGTGCAGCCTGGTTCGCAAAAAGGTCCCAGCAACATGTATTATTCGGTTCTCTATCTTTCATTTTCTTATTTTTAGAAGATCATTTGAGTATTCCCTACCTTAAACGTGCAAAACTGGGCAGGTGGAAATATTCAGATAAGGAAATAAGATAATAAAAATGTGTGATGTTACAGAACAAAAACAAACATGCTATACGTGAGGAAAAGCACTGATTTCTGTTTTTGAGCAGCAATTTGCACTTCATCATCTTTCTGTATGCACTAAGAAAACATAGTAAACATTCAACAAGACCATGGCTGCTAGAGCTGAAAGCCATGAAACTAACAAATATGTCCTGCTTTCTGTCTGTCTCTCTTATTTGCAGACTTCTGAAACAAGCCCAGAAAATGGTGAGCCCAGTTTCATCCACAACATGCATTAGCTTTTCCAGGTTCTGACTGGCCGCCCAGAGATGTGCAAAGGAGGGAATTAAGATGCAACACCTTTTGGCCTATGCATGTGTATGGATTTAATTGTATGTAATCTTATTTGTGTTCCAGATCCCAAAAAGAAACCCCCCACAGATTCACAGGTAAAAAGGACTGTGTTTTCCTGACAGAATCAGTAAGGCGTTAACCGTCCTTTTGTGGTGTTCCAGCCTCGGCCCACCGCTGAGATGGACCGGTCGGGGGATCGAGTCTACACCGGTGTCATGGCGATGGTGAAGCAGGTGGTCCAGCTGAAGAATGATGTCAACACGCTGCCTACTTCAGAGTATCCAAATGCTGTCAAGGTACCCCCCTTACTGTCTGTAAATACTGATGCACTCAGAGGCCCCTAACAGGAGAGGGTGCCACTGCGCCAGCGCAAACATGCCTTCGACTCATCCAGCTTTTGTAGTCCCCGTTTGGTCTTCTGCTTCTTTCCTCACCCTTTCCCCTCTTCTTTCAACCTGCCTCTTTCCCCCCCCGCAGGCAGTGGGTGTCACTCTGCGCAGCCTGATCCAAAGTGTGGATGAGATCCTGCCCTCTCTGCATGAGTCCGTCACCACAGAGGTGGGTTTGAGCCCCGCTACAAGAATTTGAACACATTCATTTTTTTCAAGATCTAGGTGTTTGCAAAATCATGTTGGCATGACACCCAGGTTTGACTGAAGTGTAAATTGTATGTAATTACCTGGGATTAACTTCGGATCTCCACCTTCTGTCAGATTGAGGGCACAAAGAAGCTGCTGAACAAGGATTTGGGCGAGCTGATCAACAAGATGCGACTGGCCCAGCAGAACTCCATAACCTCCCTGAAGGAGGAATGCCAGCGACAGATGTTGGCAGCTGCCCACACACTGGCTCTGGACTCCAAAAACCTGCTGGATGCTGTGGACCAGGCCCGAGTCAGGGCCAATTTGGCCAAGCCCAAATCTGATTCACAAGAAGAAGATTAATGTGAATGAAAATAATGCAGACTTCATTTGTGATCATTTGGACATTAAATCTGTGACGGCTTTCCTTCTTCAGGACATCCTCCACTTTAGCTCTGGAACTGAGAACTGATGTATGTTTGCTTGTTAAACAAACGAACAAACAAAAAAAATCCAATGCTGCCGAACAAGAGCATTATATAAAAGCGAAACTCTTTGTACTGTTTGTTCTTTGATTAATTTGAGCTCTGTGGTGTTCTGCACCGCCTGTACTATTTCCTGACATGTCACCACTTATGTCCTTGATGCCAGTGTGCAGGAGCAAATGATGAAGGTTTTTCTGCTGGCAGAATTCAGAAGTGCAGCGTTTTGTACACATGGTGAATGGAGTACCATTATGTTGAGTTTTCATCTGTCTCTGCTCTTCTGATGCAACCTTTTAAAATATGAAGTTGTATGCAATGAATTTGATGGCATGCAGTTTACATAAGTTTGCACCAGCCGTGACATACTTGGAGATGCTGAACGAAGAAAGAAGCCTGCGAGAAAAATGCAATGTAGCTTAGAGGAAAGGAATAAAACAAAAATGGTTTTGCTAAGTGTCTCTGTGGCTTTTAATACAGGAAATCCTGCCGCCCGTCAATCATCTGGTTGTGGAATAATCCTCTTTCTGTTGAGTTCATCATCAGACTCATACACAAAAATCTTTTAAAATACATTCAGATATGTACCAATGTTTAAAGCCAGCAGATTTGCATTCGCCTATAGAGATTCCACAAGGGGTGGGGCTTAGCTCAGGTATATAAAGTGCTTTTAAGTATTACTCTCATATATCCTTTTGTCTGGACTACTTTTGCCCAGTAGACTCTACTTAGTCACGAGTTATCAGTTTGATCACCACTCCAGGTAAGCGTTTGCATGTTAGAATGTGTGGTCATTTTAAAACCTGCCACGTGAGATGGTGTGTATGATTTAATGAGTTTTTTGCTGTTCATATGCAAAATTCGGTAACATGATGGCCCTTCTGAAAGCTCGTCTGACTCTTGCTGCTTTGAAACTGTTTATTATTGTACCTGACCGCTACAGAGTCAGCGAGGGACTGAGGGAAGCCATCTCACAGGGGGGTTTATTGCGTGATGTGATTTACTGCAGCTTATTGTGGCTCAATGTATTTGAGAGTTGTCGATATACTGTTCTGTTTGTGTATCTGGGATTCATTTGTCATTTACTTACACATTTTGCATCCCCCATAGCCTCATGACTCCACAAGAAACTGATACACGGCTGCCCACAATCACAATCATTGTTGAGTTGTTCAGATTTCTCAGTGGAGTCGTTCACCCAGTGTGTTCTCATTGCCTGTATTTAAACCCTCTGCCGTGCTGATGCAGCCTTTTTTTTGTATCCCGTCGATCCTTTATTTCACATTCTCTAAAAACAAACCTGACACTTGTTGAAGTCTAGCCTAATCCCACTCATGTAATGGTGCAGCCAGAAAAAAAGGTACGACTGGGAAGCACATGGGCAGGGAGCTGCCCCACAGCTGCCCCCCCACAGCGGCCCCACAACCTTTCTCACATTTTGGGGCTGAATGTAGGATGAAGAAGAAGCTGATAATCGACGTGGACACGGGAGTGGATGATGCTCAGTCCATCATGGTCGCCCTCGCCGCCCCAGATGTGGAGATATTGGGGATCACCTGCTGCCATGGCAACACGTCACTGGAGAATGTTCTGAAGAACACACTGCGTGTCCTCAAAGTCTGCAACAGGCTGGACGTAAGACTGAGGAGTGTGTGTGTGTGTGAGTGTGTGTGTGTGTGTGTGTGTGTGTGTGTGTGTGTTTCCATTAGTCGTGTGGATTGCATAGGCAGGCATTGGTGTCATCAAACAATCTGTTGTGCAGATTCCAGTTTACAAGGGCTGCCCGAAGCCTCTGCTGGCCGGTAAACAGAATGCGGGGGATTTCCACGGGAAAGACGGGCTGGGGGACGTCCCGGATCCAGATGCTCCAGGCCTGGACCTGCTGCAGGAGAAGAGAGCCGTGCAGGCCATGCTGAAGATTGCCAAGGAGAATGCGGGAGAGGTGAGCCGACAAGGAGGGAGTATGTTACACACCCACCCAGAAAGCACATGCACTGCGACAGGTGATGGTCAGATCAGTGTCGTGACAACATGAGCCCCCCATTTTAGGGCGGCGGGAGGAAGCTGAGCAAATGGCGAGCAATAATCATTTTTCTGTGGTGATTTCACCCAAGCCCAGATCTTCATCAAACAGGTTGACTGAACACATCCAGCGCAACATGCGTTGCCATGCCAATGCCCTTTACAGGTGACTCTGGTGGCCACCGCCCCCCTCACTAACCTGGCTGTTGCTGTGCAACTGGACCCTTCCTTCCCTAAAAAACTGAAAGGACTCTACATCATGGGGGGAAACACTGAGTGTAAGTTAGCTGTCATTCGTCCTGGATAATCTATTTATGACATGAGTAGAGCATACATGCATCATATGAGCACCTTGTTGCATGTCTTTGGTCATTTGTTATTTCATCTCCTTGTTCACACAGTAGATCACTGATAACCAATGTGTTGTGCATCTGTGTGCACAGCCAGAGGCAACACCACGCCGTGTGGGGAGTTTAACTTTGTGGCTGACCCTGAAGCAGCCTGCATCGTGTTGGAGCGCTTCACTTGTCCCACCTACATTGCCTCCTGGGAATTCAGTTGCAGGCGGAGCCTTCCCTGGGTGAGGATGGGAATATGCACACCCCTCATTTCTCAGTATTTTGTTTCTGGGGAATCGCTTTAGTTTTGAAAGGTTTCTGAAGTTTTTCTCTTGGGTACGTTTGCTTCAACAAGGTGGTTCCCAAAGAGCTACTCAGTAAAAAAGTATGTCCTGGAAGACCATGAGCAAATCGGACTAGTGAGGCACAAACTGAAAGCAAAACCCCTAAAAGATATTTGAACACTTGAATATATCGTTGGAGCAAAAGATAAAGTGCTCATTTGTTTGCTTTCTCTTAGTCTTTTGTTGATGAGTGGCTGTCCAAGGACACCGAGAAGGCTGCCTTCATGAAAAAGATTTCATCCCTGTCTATGACGGTAAGAATGTGGACATCTGGGAAGTTCTACAACACCTCAGCATCATCAGCTGTTGTGCTCCCCATTGTGGGTTTGTGCCAAACAACAGTTGTTAACACAACTAATAAGCTGACTTTACAACAGTGCTCAGACACCACCACAAGAGTTCAGCAGGACTGCTCCAATGGTTTTTTTGTTGCTGTTTAAAGGAGCCCTTGTGTTTTAGAGCAGGATCTGTGATGCAGTTTTAACCGTGTTTCACTAAAACATCTCCAGAAAGCACGATCGGCCGAATACCAGAAAGAGATCACCGCAGGAAAAGGGTTCAATCCCTGTGACGTCTTTGCCATGGCCGCTGCCCTCGATGATTCGCTCATAACAGACAGCGATGAGGTGAGGCATCATCCATTCTGCTGATGCTTCCAGCTTCAAAACTAAGTTAAAGGAGTGCCTCCCTCAGGTTGCTGTCACAGTGGAGCTGGCAGGGACCCACGCCCGAGGCATGATGGTGCTGGACTACATGGAGCTGCTGAAAAAGAGCCACAAGGTTGTCATCATGAAGAATGTTGACTCAGAGAAATTAAAGCAAATGCTCATTAATGCCCTCAAATAGAACAACCATACGAGTTAATGGGGTTACCTAAATGCGTTTGACTTCTCCTTCCGCTTTAAAGTGCCTTCAAATCACTGTGGTTTGGAGCTGAATCCACTTAATTAAACTGGAAACGTGAATGAAAATGATGTTTTGGCGAGGAGTTTTTTCTTGTGTTTCAGCATATCAAATCATGCACAGACAGTTTCCATAGTTTGGTGTCAACCTGACAGGCCAGGGCAGATTCTCACCTCTCTCACAAATGCATGGATGTTTATTCAGGGAGTTTGCTTTTCCCTTTGGGATTTTCTGTCTGCTTTCCTTTCTTAATTTCATCTAATCCATTATTTGATGTGATAAGACTTAACATGCTGACTCATGACTCTAACCTGATGCCCAAAATTCTCCCGTGTGTGTCATAATTACATGATTTTGCAGCCCGACTCATGGAAGCAGGCTTAACATTTGTTGTAAATACTGCACAAATAATGACTGTAAAACATTGAGAAAACACTCATGCAAATCAACAATTTTCTAAAACCAAGATGAGAATGAAAACAAAGCAGATGATCTGCAGTGTTACATTTGTTGAGACAAACAAGCAGATTTCTTCACGTAAAAAAAGCTCTTTTTAGGAAATAACAAACATACCATGTGCAACAAATAGTTTGTGCTTGCATCAAATGAGTGATGAGGAGCTGGAATGGGAAAACATTGCTGGACAACAATCCTATTTGGATTTCTAAACAAAGTAGGACCTAAAGCAGTAATAAAGTAAACATCCTGCATGTTTTCCTCATGAGTTCTCCCAGATGGTGAACTTCCCTTTTAGGACAGGACATGTCATGAATTAAGAAAGGTTTAGTTTTGACAACTCAGAAGTTGTTTGTTTTATTGAGCCTCATGGTTTTGAATACGTTTTACAGACAGAGAAGGATTCTGCTTGTCTAATCACGCCGTGTGATGAAATACTGCTCAGATATTTCAATAAGAGGTCTGCTTTCATGCAACACAACTTGAAAAAACTATGGAGATTGAGATTGGCGCACGCCACAAAAAAAACCTTTCCGGTCTGGAGGGCAAACGTTCTGCTGGGGATTAGGAACAGTGAGACAATGACTACCATAAAACCCTTTATTGAAAGTGCTTTGGAATGTACACAGTAAGAAAAAAGAAAAGGAAAAAATGCTTCCATCAATTTTTTTCTCCTCCTTCTTTATTTCTCTTCAATAAGCAGGATTTGATTCTTTTCTTTGTCCTTCTTCCCCTAAAACAACTCAAAGAGCAAATTATTCTCCTTCAGGAACAATCCTCTGTGTATATATTACAACCTGAAAGAGAACTATTTACAAATCATACAAAAAAAAATACCCAATAAAAAGCTGTGTGTCGTTAGTCGTCTTGTTTCTGCGGGAAGTCCAATTGAATTTCTGTATTCCGACTGTGGAGCTCCGGTTCAACATAAGAGCCAAACAGAAAATCAAGACAAAGCTGAGCAACAGAGGGCCCAGAGGCTCAGTTCACTGGCAGCCAACCAGAAGTCTCTCTCTCGATGTTGACCAGCAGTGGCTCTAAATGGAGTCTTTACCCTGCAGGTGTGAGCTGCGGACAGGTTTGGAGTCAGCTGGAGTCCAACCCGGGCGCCAAACACTTCCTACTGGACTCTGTATTTGTAAAACCAGCAGAGACCCTGAGTGAAGTTCCAACCCAGTGAGACAGAGAGGATGTAGATGAGGCTGAGCAGAGCGAAGGGGTAGAGCAGCACCACGGTGTTTGTCAGGAAGGGCAGAGCTGAAAACCACAGAGCGATTAGGGGATAGAAGATACTTTAAGCGGAGGAAATCTGTACAATCCGACTCAATTCTACATGCCTCACCGTGACTGAACAGAAATGCACATGAAACTCCATAAACTTTCGAATTTGTTGGGGGTTTTTTTGTGTAATTATCAATATACGTTCTTAACCACTAGATGGGAGCACTGACTGTGTAGGTCTGGATTTCCTCATGTAGTCAGGACATGCCAATATCTACACATTGCTCATTTAAGTGTGAAATCATTGCTATATAGCATGTTGTAGGAGTACATCTTAATATAAGTGATCAGCTATCAACATTTAAACCTCTTTGGTATCCTTGAGCATACATAAAGTGCCAAACAATTTACATGTAGGTTTTATTTCTTAAAGCGGAGTGGAACAAAAAGGTTTTTCATGTGCTGGGACTTACCGTTGTATCCTAAGAAGGTTATGTAGAGATAATAACTGATAGCAATCAGCCATAAAGTATTTCCAACAAAGTAGCCCAGGAACCAATTTGAATTTATCACCACAATATCTGAAACAGAAAAAAAAAACACATTTTCAGATTTATGGTCTGATTTGGGGAGTAGAATTTAAGACGTGTTAGCAAGGGATGCTCCCCACTCACGATTAATGAAAAAAAGCTGCAGAAAGTGCAGGATGACCAGGAGTGGGTAAAAAGCATTGAGATGAACATCAAATGCGTAGCCCCACTCCACATCAAAGTTTCTGCTGGGATGTTTCAGCAGGTATTTGTTGCTGATTATCCTGGGGGAAAAAAGAGGTCAGACAAACTGTCCTCGCACTGTTTATTTAATCAAGACTGCAAACCAGCAACTCACCACATTAGGGTTGATATGAACAGACCGACCCCTATACAGTCAACACAGACCACCCACAGCAGCAGCTTCAGAGTCTCCAGCACTCCCATGTCCAGCACAAATCCAAAACCTATTGTTGACACTGGACAGCAAACCCAAACAAAGCAGACACAAGCAATTACATGGATGTAATACTCAAAGGTCAAGCAAAGTGCTTCCATGCAGCTACTTGAATCGACATCCAGCTTGGACTCACCACACAGCCAGATGCTGAGCAGGACCAGAAAAGCCGGGTCGTCCCTGGCCCACTGGTCCTTGGTCTGTTTCCTGTAGTGGAAGTTCCGGTAGACCCTCTGTGGTGACGTGAACAAGTAAAGCATCTGCCACAGGGCAAACTCAAAGTCCATGTGTCTAAAATGAAACAGGCGCCGTAGGTACTTGTAGCGCTTGGCTCCCGCCGTGTGGCGCGCAGCGTCCCTGGAGCCGAGAGCGCCATTTGGCGAAGTGGTTGGTAACATGGTGCTGGAAAACTAGATTACAGAGCAAGAAAATTTTTTATTAAAATGTACAATTATTGTACGTCTCAAAAAATCTGGGGCTTGTCTTAACAAACTGAAATGATTTTAGGTGCTGACTGTACTTACTGTTTAATAACCCACTGAATGTATCTTTTAGAAATATTGTTGAGCATAGCTCTAAATATGAGGATGAAATGGCAGAGTGACTGTCAATATTTATCAAACGTCCTTTTATTTTAAACCAGCCTGCCTTTTCTCATGGGTGTATGGCCAAGTCTCAAGTTTATACCAAAACGAAGATATATAAAAAGGTCTAGCAATAGGTTGATTGAAGATGTGATAGTTTTTTTAACACGGTTTCATGGTGAGGGTTCACAATCCATCAAATCTAGTTCCAGATTTTGATGCTCTGCACACCTATGGCTTCTTTATAAGATGAGTTGGGTAGTGTGTGTATATCTTGGTATGTGAAATATAAACCGCTTGAATTTAAATCTAAACTGAAGAATAAATGCATGTTTAAAATCGATGCTATAATTGTATGACTGAAGAGGCCAAATAAATCCAGCTTAAAAATGATACACATTATTTTGCAGACCTGTTAAACATGTAAAGAGCAGCACAAAATACCAAAAGATTGTTGCAAGTACATTTGTATGTACACTGGTTTATTAGATTATAAATACCACCATACCATTTACACCCTTTACCAACAACAGTAAACAAAATATACTTGTTAATTTAAGCTTTGTTCGCTAGCAAACACTTAGCTTGCTGCTAACAAGTCCAGTAAGATAAAAGGTCCGTTCACTTTTGTCAGCAACACACAGCATAAAAACACTAAGATGACAGTCATTACATTAAAAACTACTTTCACAACTCTGAGAAAGAATTACCTTCTTCTGCTTTACTCCTTTACATGAAACAGCAACTGCTGTTTTTCGACACAATTGCAGCTTGCAAATGCTTCCTGAACTGTCGCGAAAATGCACACGTAGTTACTTCCGGAAAAACCCAGTTGAGCCATGGGAAATGTAGTCAACATGTTCCAGTGTCGTCATGATTCCACGAGTTAGTTAAATTCCTGCTGAAAATGCGATCTGTAAAAAAGAAAGAAAGAAAAATAAAATAAAATAAAAAGCTGAGGAAAGATAGTGCCTCTCGATTTCTAAAACTGGTGTATTGCCCGGTAATTTCAGCGTGTACAGATACAACATATATCTATAAAGAGCTATCCCTGTGAAACAGCTGTTACATTGATGATCTGCTGAATCGGGATCATAATAGAAAGAAAGGGATAACTATTAGGTATAAAACAGTTATTGATGCTTCTGTTGTGGTAAATGACGCTTAATTTAACGGAAGTATGACTATACGTCATTTCCCCTAGCGGGTTAGCTGTTTCACAGGTGTTGTAACTGACATATCCCGCTGTTCTGGTCAAGAAGGCCAAATAGCAGAAGGTAAGAACAATATTAATACTTTTCACTTGTGCATGTGCTAAGTGATATGGTCGCAAAAATCCAAGAACCTTTTTACAAATATGTGTTGGACCATGTTACTTGAGTTCCCTTCTGACCATGTCCGTGTCCTTGAGTAGAACTGTTAGCTAACATTATTAGCCTGCAAGCAAAGAGTCCTTGCAGCAAGGTAGGATCTGTTTTGTTTTTTTAGTGTTTATTCAGTAATGACCTAAGAATGTAAAAAATATCAGTGTATATGTATGTATAATTCTGGATTTTAAAGTATATCCGTCGTGGTACTGACACATTTACTAAGCTTGTGGGGGGACACCGGCTCTTGTTATTGTTGACGGTTAGCATTAGCCACTGTGGATCTGATTATATATACACGTTTCTCAAAATTCAGCCAAATTAAAAATACGAGGTTTTCTTGGTTTTTAAGTTTTTTTTAGGTTATTGGTAGCTGCAGAATATACATCAGTGAAACTGCGTTGATATGTAATTAAATAACAGGTTATGCATTTTTTTCATTGGTAGACTAAATAAACCAGCCATGTTTTCCGAAGTTTATTTTTTAGTTTAGTATTGATAATGATGATGAAACATTCTCATATCTTGTTGGTGCATATTCTGTGACCTAACTACTGATAAAGCCTTGACTAATTTGAAAATATCACAATGACTTAAATAGTTTAAGGAGAGTTAAACTATTTTTTAATTTCTTTGGTTAAATCAGATTTATTCAGCAACAATTCTGCTAATGACTTTTTTTTCTTTTATTTTTATAACAGGTCTTTTCAAACTTGTTTGATATAGTTTGTTCGGTTCGTTTTGCTCTTTCTAAAATTTGTTAATAACGCTGTCAATCAAGAAAGAATCTTTTGCTTTCACAGCGTCATGCTGCGACTGCCGACTGTTGGCCGAGCGCTAAGGGGAGCTGCCAAGGGCAGCCTGGCTCCTACTAATGCTGGTGAGATCCTGGGATGCTTGTCAGTGTCATGAGAAGTGTCTATATTTATTCTGATTGTCTGCAGTGTACAAAGGCTCCATCTCACATCTGAATATCTGAACATCTGAATATTTCAAACGTAATATTTGACACATATTTAAGTCCTATGATGTCAGTTCTGCCTGTGATATAGTTACGTTGCGTTTTATTCAAATAAAATCTTTTAAAATTGATCTTTTATTAATTGATTTATAGGCTGAGTACTGGTGATTTTTAGTAAAGCTTTTCCTTTGTTTGCTTTTTCAGTGCGCACACCTGTACGTGCTGCCAGTAACATGGTGGAGGTGTTTGTGGATGGGAAATCAGTGGAGGTAGAGCCTGGAACTACAGTGCTACAGGTAAGAAATGTCCACATTTTTCCCTGCTAACTTGAATAACTAAAGCAGTCTGTAAGATGTGCTCTTGATGTTGTGCGCCTGGTCACGGCCAACGGTTTGCTGCTCAGCAACCTCTTGTGGAATAAATCTTTTGAATGACTTGAAGGAAACATGGAAATAACTTTGTGCTTCACACTGGCAAAGTTACTTATCATAATAACATCACAATATACACATTATCACAATATTTTGGACAAAGACCACTATTAGAAATTCATCTTATAGTGTGTGGTTGGTCTGTATCTTGTTTCTTTTTCATTTCCCATTCAGGCCTGTGAGAAAGTGGGAATTCAGATCCCTAGGTTCTGTTACCATGAGCGTCTCTCAGTGGCAGGAAACTGCCGTATGTGTCTGGTGGAGATTGAGAAGGCTCCAAAGGTATGTCATACCAGAAAGCTCAAACCGTCTTGCTTAAAGAACATCATTTGGGTTAATTTATGTAGTGATGCTTTTAATAGAAATAGCTGCCAGTGTCCAAGTAAGTCATGTCTGTGCTCTGCAGCCGGTGGCAGCCTGCGCCATGCCCGTCATGAAAGGCTGGAACATCCTCACCAACTCTGAGAAGACACGCAAAGCCAGGTACACATTCCCGTTAACACGATGTGTTTTTTATCTGCGTGAGATCCAAACTATATAAAGCTACAGTCAACACACATTTGGACCGTGCGATCCTCAGGGAGGGAGTGATGGAGTTCCTATTGGCAAACCACCCTCTGGACTGTCCTATTTGTGATCAGGGAGGAGAGTGTGACCTGCAGGTAACTCTACACATGTACACGCAAAGGTTGTCTGAAACTGAACAGTCTTCCCTTTAGACAAATAATTTAAGTTAACGGGAGAAATTCAAGAAAATGTCATTCTGTTTGCAGGATCAGTCCATGCAGTTCGGTTCAGATCGGAGTCGCTTCACAGAAGGGAAGAGGGCAGTGGAAGACAAAAACATCGGGCCTCTGATCAAAACCATCATGACCCGCTGTATCCAGTGCACGCGCTGTGTCCGGTGAGTGTGGCCTACTCACTCAGTGCGACATGTGGCCATTAACCTGGTCTTTTGGGAGAAAGATTCACGCATTAACCTTCCGCGTGTGTGTTTGGCAGTTTTGCCAGCGAGATTGCAGGCGTGGAGGAGCTGGGAACGACAGGGAGAGGAAACAACCTGCAGATCGGGACATACGTCGAGAAGATGTTCATGTCTGAGCTGTCGGGCAACGTCATTGACGTGTGTCCAGTCGGAGCCCTCACGTCCAAACCCTATGCGTTCACCGCACGGCCATGGGAGACCAGGTGGGGAAGACGGTAAACGAGTCTGAAGGTGGTGGAGTTGGTCCATTTTCTTCAGCTCTTTTGTGGTCTGCACAGAAAAACGGAGTCCATCGACGTTCTGGACGCTGTCGGCAGCAATATTGTCGTGAGCACCAGAGGAGGGGAGGTGATGAGGGTACTGCCCAGGCTTAATGAAGACGTAAATGAAGAGTGGATCTCTGATAAGACCAGGTGACACACAGACAAACTGAGACCAGAAAACGTTGTCCTGCTTGGTAAAAATACATTTGTGATTTTGTCATTAACGACGTGTGTATTCGCAGGTTTGCATACGACGGTCTGAAGAGGCAACGTTTGACCCAACCAATGGTAAAAGATGAGTCAGGTCAGCTGACCCCGACCACCTGGGAGGACGCTCTAACCCGTGTGGCTGGAGCAGTAAGTGTGTTTTCCGTCTTTAGTTAATCTCTGTTCATCTTCTTCTGTCCGTGGCTGCTGCCTCCCCTGCAGCTGTGGTTATTTCAGTGGGGTCATGCTGCAGTTAATAAATGTGTGTGTGTGTGTGCAGCTTCAGAGCGTGCAGGGCGCTGAGGTGGCAGCCATAGCCGGAGGAATGGCAGATGCTGAAGCTCTGGTCTCCCTCAAAGATCTCCTCAATCGGCTGGACTCGGAGAGCCTGTGCACGGAGGAGGTGTTCCCCATGGCAGGAGCAGGGTGCCAAAACTTCTGTTCTCCCTGAATTCACCACCAGGCTGCGCGTGGCTTCATCCGCTGACACGCCTTTGCTCCTGCTCTCTCCTCAGCACCGACCTGCGCTCCAACTACCTGCTGAACTCGCGCATCGCCGGCATCGAGGAGTGTGATCTGCTGCTGCTCGTGGGAACAAACCCGCGTTACGAAGCCCCGCTGTTCAACGCCAGAGTCCGCAAGAGGTCGCTAACCAGGATGCTCTTCAACTATCACACCAGTTCTTTTTCCTTAAATGCTGCTTTTTTTGTCAGACTATAAAGGGGACAGTTCTTTAATGACATCATTACTAATCAGCCAGAGGTGTCAGCCCATCCTCTGAGCCACCTGTTACCATTAGGACACTCTTATTTTAAACTTTGTGTTTAAATAGGAGGGCTTTTCCACTTACTTTATTTCACTATAAGTTTTTTCTTTTTGGTTTCCTGTCTATTTGTTCTCAGTTTGTGGAAACTTTTTGTAGCTTTTTGGAGGAAGTCATGTTTTTCCTCTCCCTCCCTCTCCTTTCAGCTGGCTTCACAATGAGCTGCATGTTGCCCTGGTGGGGCACAGCGTGGACCTCAGTTACACCTATGACCACCTGGGTGAGGAGACGGCAGTGCTTAAGCAGCTGGCTGATGGAACCCATCCTTTCTGCCAGGTGACGACTTCAGACACACCCACAGTCTTATCGGTCTGTTCAGACTTTCTGCCAGTTATTATTGAGACTTTTTCTGTTCCTTTTGCTTGTGCAGGTCCTTGCATCTGCAAAGCGTCCCGTGGTGGTTGTTGGCAGCAGCGCTCTCCAGAGGCAGGACGGAGCAGCCATCTTGAGCACCGTCTCCACCATTGCCCAGAACGCCAGAGCAAGCAGTGGAGTGGAGGATGGCTGGAAGGTCCTCAATGTCCTGCATAGGTAGGAATTTACATTGTTATTGACATGATAGAGTTTACCAAGCCGAGGTGGTCTCCATATAAAAAGTATTTGTCTATTTGCAGAGTGGCTAGCCAGGTGGCTGCATTGGACCTGGGCTACAAGGCCGGCGTGGACGCCATCAGGAATAATCCACCCAAAGTCCTCTTCCTGCTGGGAGCTGACGCTGGATGCATTACCAGAGCCGACCTGCCTAAAGAAAGCCTGATCATCTACCAGGGTACAAACACAAGCAGCCAATTCTGCCCCTCATTTAATCCCACGCAGCGTGAAAACCTCAGAAATGTTCATTTCTTTATCTTGACCCTTTCCAGGTCACCATGGAGACATTGGAGCACCAATGGCAGACATCATTCTCCCTGGCGCTGCATACACAGAGAAAAACGCCACCTTTGTCAACACAGAGGGCAGAAGCCAGCACACCAAGGTGGCTGTCACCCCTCCTGGGATGGCCAGAGAAGACTGGAAGATCATCAGAGCGGTGTCAGAGGTAAGGAGGCGCTCACTCGCGCTGATTCACTCTTGCGGATACTGAAAATCCTATCTCCTTGTATGTGCAGCTGGCTGGTGTGACGCTGCCCTACGACACCCTGGATGAAGTTCGATCCAGGCTGGCCGAGGTCTCTCCTAACCTGGTTCGATACGATGACGTGGAGGAGGCAAACTACTTTAAACAGGCTAATGAACTTGCAAAGGTACACACACAGTCAGCTCCACTCTTTTTGGACTTGATTCAGGCCATCTCTTGAAGATGTGTCATCTGTTTCCTTTATTTGTTTCCCTCAGGCTGTGAACCAGGACCTAATAGCAGCTCCTCTGGTGCCACCTCAAATAACTGCAAAGGACTTCTACATGACTGGTAATTGTGTTTTCGTACGAGCATTAATGTAAAAAAGGTCTCATTTGCCAGGATCTGATGCATGATTGTGCTGTTCCTGTCCCCAGACTCAATCAGCAGGGCTTCCCAGACGATGGCAAAGTGTGTCAAAGCGCTCACAGAGGGAGCTGCTGCCGTCGATGAGCCTTCAATCTGCTGAACCCACAGTAAACCTCTGTCCAAAACAATGTCATGCCTGTCCTTAACGCAACACGCTTCTCTGAACAAACTGTGTGGCTCCATAATTTAAGATTTTCCTTTTTGCTTGTATACATTAAAACCACCTTGCCTATGGGAACCAGTTCTGTTAAATATTGCTGAGGATCATATGAAATATAAATAAAATCTTAAAAATGTTGTTACTCCAACCTGTTTTTATTCATTGACCAAAACGATTCTTCACCTAACAAATCAAACAAACTTACCTCAGATGCTGAATGCAACTTCAATGGTTAAAATGAATCGTACGGACATCCTACATTACAAACTAGAAGGTTTTTTTATCATTTCGTTGTCCTGCTCTCCTTTTTTTTTCATTTCCTGACAAATTTAACCTACCAAATTAATCAGAAATGACCTAGCATTGAAATACAGTGTGACACCCAGACATCCTGAGTCATCATCATTATGATATACATCATACATCCAGTTGAGCAGAAGTACGACCAAAGTGGAAAATACAGACTTCAAGAAAATATAAAAATGTGTTCTGGTTTAAATATCGCTGCAAACCTCTGTATACTGAACACTGATATTTCAACATGTTTAATATCAAATGGCTTTCATACCCAGCAATGAACTGAAAGAGGAGTTAGAGGCAGGATCTTTTCAAATGACTGAGCATCTAATCTTTAGTCACTGGTAGAGTGAGTTTTCATGGACATGATTCCCTGATTTAGTCACTTTTCCAATGGTAAAATAGTCATGTTAAGATGCACTTAATAAATAGAGGTTCTTTAAAATGTCATTTTCTTTCATGATTAGGATATTTAATGCAGTAAACCCAACACGTCTGGATTGTTCTAAGTTATAAAATGAAAAGGTCCTGTGTGCTCTGAATGGATCTAAACTTGGATCTGTGCATGGAGGGAATCCATTTCCTCAGACGATTGGCTCGTATATTCTGTTCCCAAAGAAAGAGAGCCTTTACAACCAAACACAGCTGAGAGTCACACAGACACACAAGAGCAGAGAAGAGAGAAGAGGGTTTCATTTCTCCATTCCCCGTCTGCTTTATGTCTGGGGCTGATAGCTATCTCATTCCTTGAGATATTTATATATTTTTTCTACTTTAAGGGAAGTTTTGCTCTAAAATGTCACACAAGTGGTAAGTTGATGATTCAGTATGTTCAGAACTCCAGATATGTACTTATGCTGCTCTTTGCTTCTATTTAAGCTGCATGCGTGCCACCTTTTTTAAACTTTGCCCTGCAGGGCTTTTTAATGAAGGAGAGGACGGAGGAAAATAGCAGCTCCAGCAGGAAAATGGTTCCAGTCAAGCTACTCATTCTGGGAGCTCAAAACACAGGAAAAACAGGTAACTGTGGACAAAAACTCACTAAACAATCTATGTAGGACAGGAGTATTTCAGTTGTGCTGAGGAAAAGAGGAGGGTTAACTTCTAGATAGTTGTTTTCTATCTAAAATGGATACTTTGCACAGTTTGAGACATCTTTAATGAAGTATAAATGTACCTGACCAACTCTGTGACCTCCTCCGCTTAGTGCATGTAGATGTGCATCTATATTCTATAGTCTTTATTCCTTTTGTATAAAACAAAAACTAAAGTTAACTTGAATTTGCATCACTTTGTCATTCGGGTTTTTCTCTTTCTGAAAATTGTGGAGAGTAAAGTGTCTTGGTTTTCCTCTTCTTGCTGGTTACTATTGTGAAAATTGTTGTTAATTATTTATGACTTAAACAAATTTTCACCATCACATATCAAATAGTGACATCTTACATGTTTGTACTATTTTTTGTAATTTGAAAAAGATTGGGCTGCTTTCCTGTAAAAGAAAACTAGAAATAAACTTTACATCTTACATGAGATGGAAGCAGAAATATCTTTTATACCGGTTTTGAAAACGATCTGCAAGATTTGACAGAGTTTCAGTTGCTGAAAATGAATGAAAACTCAGCATTTCTCTGCCACCTTTACATGTGACCCTCTGAAATACAGCAGGTCCTTCAGCAGCAGTCAGAAGTCAAACAAACACGAACCTTCCAGATTCCTCTCACACAAACTCATGGGCATTTATTTAAACAAGACAGTGACACATAACAGTGACATGTTACATGCACAGTGTACACGTGGGACGCTTCGGGGGGCAGATCAGATGCAAACCCCACGATAGGGAGACTATTTGTCGTGTGTGTTTTCCTTCGTGCTCCATTCCTCAGTGACCATGTCTGCTTTGTGTCTCCAGCCCTGTGCGTGCGTTTCATAACCAAACGCTTCATAGGCGAGTACGACCGTAAAAAGGGTGAGCCTGCAGGAAACACTGTTTCAGAACTATTTGACCTAGTGTTGTCTACCTACATCACTCTCGGATGTCTCCACAGAGGTGACATACAGGTGTAATCGAGTGGTGGACCAGGACACTGTTGATCTGGAGATTTTGGATGTACCTTGTAAGGTAAGCTTTGTTTAGATTTTTGGATACAAATTAAATGTTGCAAAAAGTCTGACCAAGAGCTCCGGGCAATAGCAGGCCTTTAAATGCTCATAACAAAAGCCTCTGGACTTTAGAACCCGTCAGGGGCCAAACAACCTGTCTAGTCCTCTGGTGTTTGTACTACACGTTCATACTTTCCGGCTCTCTCCTCCAGGATGGCTCAGGGGCTTCCATCGAGTCATCCATCTGCTGGGCTGACGGCTTCTTGTTGCTCTACTCCATTACACAGCGCCTCAGCTTCCTGGAGGTCCCTCAACTCAAGACACTCATCGACAAAACCAAACAGAGTCTCGGTACGCAAGAACTCAGGCTCTTCTAAGGGAAATAAGCAGCAAAGGGTTCTGTTTTTTTCAAACCATACATGTACTGTGGGGACCTTAACGACATCCATTTAAAAACAATAAAGAAAAATAAAAACATTTATTTTTGGAAGTGATAGCTTACATATTTGCAGAAGACCTATTTCTATATTTGGTCTAAGTATCCAGGACTTAGACTACCATCTTACTTACATGTGAACTCTACACAAAGGCTGCTCACTGATTCAGGGTGTCTGTGTTCCCTGTTTGACATTTGTCTACTGCCACTTTCCCACGTGTAAAGATGAAGCTGAGATAGCTGCATCCCTTGTTTGGTGTCCTCTCCTGGGCTCTTTACGCAGCTTGTCTGGACTGCATGCCGCAGTATCATCCTGCTGTGCTTTCTCTGTGTGCGTCAGTTGTTCCTACGGTGCTGGTGGCTAATAAGGCCGATCTGGAAATTGGCAGAGAAGTAACAACAGAGGAAGGACAGAGGCTCGCCAAAGATTTAAGGTTTGTGTTGCTTATGTTTGCATGACTGCACGGTGTTCACCGGGGTGTAGTGGTGCAGACCCTCAGAGGTTGGGGTGATGCTTTTTTGGGCCTGTGTTGCTGCCGTAGGTGCTGTTTCAGGGAGCTGTCTGTGGCTGAGGCGGTGTTGGCGGTGGAGGCGGCAGTATTCCAGCTCATTAGGTTGGTTTCTCCTTTCCATTATCAGTTCAAGGGAGATCTTCTCAGATTTGCCTCAATCAATGTTAAAATTCAGAAAACACGAGCAAATTCAAAGGCATGCTGTCCTGTGAAGCCGCGGGAGTTTTAGTGAGTTTGTTGTGCACTGCTGATGTGTGTGTGGCAGGCTGGTGCTGGACCAGCAGCGCTCTCCTCCCGACCGGCGCTCCTACATGCTCACCGTTCGCCATGCTCTCACCAGGAAGCTGACCCGCTCAAAGACCATGCAGTGGTGACCCCAGCAGGGAAACAAACAATCAAATTCAGGTGTCAACTCAGTGGGAATATGGTGGGAACCACACATTTGTGTCCTTTTAAAGGTACTTCAATCAAGACTTTGTTATCAATGTGCAAGCTACGTTCTGTTTCCAAAGAGGAGGACCCCATGTTCTCTCATTTTCTGCACTTTAAAAAAAAGGATTAAAAAGAAAAAAAAAATTTAAGCTGCATGGAACTGACCAATCACCACGCCTGACTTTTGGAATTAACCAGAGTCTTTTCAACTCGTAACAAACAACGTGGCAAAGAACTCATTTCATACTATATGTTTCCTCAAAAAAAAACAAGAGACAGAACACAGAGAGATCCCTCTGGCCCTTCAGCTGTGCCCTCAGCTGCTCACCGGTCTGTGAGCATCAATGGATGGAAATGTTGTGACAAAAAGCACCATGAATGCGTGCTTTTGCAATCCAATAAGTTCATTTATATCACAAATAAAATGTTTGGCTGTTGCTGTTAGAATCTGTTGCTTTATGGTTTGTTTATCAGGCAAAAGGCTCTGTGCAGTTTGGTGCTGGTTATGGTGTGAGTCATCCTCCAGAAGAGGGCAGCAGCATCCTTTTCTGTGGTTTGGAGCGTTCATAATATCTCTGTTCTGGTGAGCAGGGATTTGACTGGCCTGACCGCAGCCCCTGGAAAGCCTGGACATGACAGAAGAGAGTTGTTTTTGAAGAAGATTAATGTCACAAATTTGGAATAAAAAAAAGGACCAAGAGTCCCATTTGATTTAGATGAAATGTCGTATAGCTGAGTGAACCAGGTCCTGAAGGTCCTCAGCCCCTTTTCAGAGTAAAACAGCGAAAACAGCTGGAGTGTGTAGATGATGTAACTGTGTGTAAAGAATGAAGCTGGCTTTCATTACAGTCTTGGCCTTTCTCGACTATTTGCCTGTGTTTCTACGCATGCATCTCTCTCTACTTTGAACTTCTGAACTTTATGAGCCTGAGAGACATCTAAAAAAAAGAGACGTGGAAAAGCAAGATAGTGAGGAGCAGAAAATAAGTCAGTATGTGATGGGGAGGGACAGTGGGGCTTCTTTGGCATCTTGATAATCTGACAGCAGTACAGGAAGAAGAAAATGAGCTGTATTGTTCCAGTTACTTGTAGATACATTGTGGAAATTTGGATGTGTGACAATTTACTGTTTTCCATCTCTATCTACCCCAATGATTATTTATTAAATGTACACTGCACACTGTTACCACCAAACAGCCGACCAACAAAAACACTGAGCTTAAGTTATAAATACAGATTGTGAAATTGTGCAGATTTCCCCATGTTACACCTCATTTATGTAATATATTATCTACACAGCAACTGGCATTCAATTAAATGCCCTCCTTCATGTTGGTTGTCTCAAATGTGGATTTCATTGTTTCTCTCTGGAATGTCTGTTACTGTCTGTCTTTTGTGATGAGTTGACAGCTGAATTAGCTAGATGCTGTTGTGTTGTTTGTGAAGGCGGTTGAGAGGGACTTGCTCCTTGTGCCACTCATTAGCATTTTAGTTCTAAAAGATGCTTGGTAAAAATCATTATTACCTAAGCATGAATTCATATTCACGAACATGAGTGGGTGCTACGGTGAATTCATTCCGGCCTGTTAAGCACAGTGGGGGCGAAAGAGCAATGATGTGAAGACTAATAGTAATTGTGTGTAAGTGGCGGTGCGGTGGGGGTGATATCCTTCATTGACTCACACAGACACACATAAACTGAGAGTTTTCCACCTTGGAGCTTGATTCTAATGCTCCCCTCGCCTGTGTTGGTAACAGAAAGGGATTAGTGAGACAGATAGAGGGAGACAGAAGAGGATGATGTTGATCAAGAGGAGGCAGTGACATCACAGCGGTCACCAAGGAGACAAAAGGTCAGGACCCCATGTCAGCTTTTTGGCTCAGAATAGAAAATGAGTCATACCTGCATCATTGCACCAACAGCCAATCAGAGGCTGTCAGTGTGAGTATGCATCCACAAATGAACAGCCAATCATCAAGCACCAGGATTTAAACTGACTAAATGCTTTTGATTCCTGACATCTTTCATCAAATAAATACTTTGATATGACAGTTTTTCTCAAGCCCTGCCATGAACGTAGAGTAATAAGGTGTGGAAAGTTAAACCCTGAAGCAACATATACATGATAAGTATGAGATCCCCATCTCTTTCTGATCCGTGTCTGACAAAGTGAGCGCTTACCTGGATCTGCTCAGGAATCCAGACATTCCACCTCATTTATTAGCACACATTTGTCCATGTCTGGAAATCACTACACCATGCTGATGAAGGATCACAAATAAGTTCAAGCATAATTAAAACTGTCCAAAAACTTTCTTCAACCATCTCTCCTGCAGTATGTGCAGTAGCTGTTCAATCTACCCCACTCCACAATTCCAATAAAACATTGATGAGCTGAAGTAATCAGTACCAAAGTGATCTCAGAAGAAATCACAAAAAAAATCCTGAAGGAGTTTGAGAAGTGGCGTCCACTCAGGTGCACAAATGACACACATTTAATGTTGATTTTTTAGTTTTGAGCTGCTTGTGTCTGTGTCTGTGCAGCTGTCTGCGGAGCGGAGCGGATTGTTGGATCTCTGCTGAATTTCTGGGTATGAGATCATGCGTCTTGTTTTGTTTTTTCAGCATGCTAATGGTTTATCTGACCATGGCAATACTGGGATTAAAGGTCAAATGGTGATTGGCTGAGAAATTGGTTTTAGCCAAAGAGGAAATAACTTTATTTTTTTTAAGAGGTTAAAAGAGAAGGTTGCAAAATGGTTATGCTTTGAGTAACATTTGCTTGAAAAATCTCCCATTTACCCGCCGCTCGTGCTCCACAACAACCTCCGTCTGTCTTTAGAATTTATAAGGTCTAGGCGGGAATAACTGCAGACAATGAAAGGTCACCAGTTATACAACGCCAACGTGTGTGTGAGAAAAAGGCACAACTTGTCCCTTGGGGTGAGACACCTCTGTAAACTGATATGTGAGGGGAAGACAGAGGGTTTGGAAGCGGAGAGGGGGAAAGTAACTGATGAGGAGGAGAGGGAATGCAGAGCTGGGAGGAGAAAGCCTGATGAGAAAGATGAGATTGTTGCACAGCAAACTATTGGAGCCTAAAGTGTGCTCACGAAAGGTGGATGACAATAAGGCATTATGGAGAGTATTTTACTTTAGCTCCTCCACACCCTCTGCACTGACCTCAATATGCTTGGATGAATGTAATTGAACGGTGTCATGAAAGTGAAAGCCTTGGAGCTCAGCGATGCTGGACTTACCAGTCACCTAAAAGGGAGCCTCATAGTGCTCCATTTGCAACCCAAAATGTGCTCAAAACCGAATTTGAAATGAATGATTAAACTCTGTGGAAATGAATTCTCAGATAAAGCAAAAGCAAAGAGTTCAAGTGAACACAGATATGCACCTGTTATATTCACAACACAATGAGCAAGGTTTCTGCTGCTTTTCAAACTGTCTTTATCTCCTGGGAGAAGAAATCCGTGTCACAACAGGGGGAGGAAACAGTTAGCCGAGTGTTCATGAGAGAAAGATGTATTGGTTTCACTCCTATTTCCTGTGAGAGGAGCTGTACGCAGTTTCATAGGGTGTCAATATCATCTTTATCTTGCCGTCGACATTTAGGGAGGGAAACATTTTTGCTTTATGTACAAATGTGAACAATGAAAATTACACATCTTACTTTTATATAACTGGGAGAAAGAAGGGAGTGTTATTCAGGTGATGGTATTTAGGTGCCCATTCTATGCCTATGGTACTTTAAATGAGGCCTGTAGACAGTGCCCAAACTACTGGATGGATAATGGTATGAGCCTGGAGAAATAAGTAGGTACTAAACCACAAAAATGTTGGCAGTCAGTAACAACATGTGTATTTTTCTCTTCTGGAATCCAGAGAATCATTTTGAGGAGCCATACGAAATGCAATGTGTATTTGCCTATATTTGTTACCATATTCAAGGGAACATATTGCAAAAAACTTTTTTTTAATTAGAGGTCCAGACAAATTATATCACTTATTAGCATTACCTAACTTTTAACACAAATATTCACCCAAATGAGTGAGTTTCAAACACAGAACTGTGAAAACGCTATCATGCACCGACTTGTTCGTATTCATTTTGGCTGATCAAGCTTCGTCTTGATGTAAAAGCGAACTTAATGTGGATTAACAAAGACTGAAAACAGTGTTTTGATTTTCAGATATGTCTTTTGTTCAACCAAATGCCGGAAATTGGTGAAAGCACTGATTAGATCTGTCAGTCCTGGAAAAGCAGCACTATGAAAGACTACCTGTTGGAAAAAGTTTGCATCATTTCCAAATGATTCTTTTAGAAGATTAAGGTAAGGTAAAGATCCCCACATGATGTCAATACTGTCTGATATCACGTGTTGAATTGTTGCAAAAGTGCGCTGCTTCTGTTTTTGCTGTTTCTAGCTCTTCATCATCCCACTTCTGAGGGCCAGCTGCATCTCCTCGCCGCTTTCAGTGATGCTCGCTCAGCTTTACGTCCAGCTTCATGCTGCCAACCACATTTCTGCGGCTGATTTTTCTGCTGAAATCATGTCGTGATTTGAGGGGCCTGATTGGTTTCGGCGGGGCGTGGCTTCGCTGAATATTCATTGGCGCGTGGCTGACAGCGCGCGCGAGGGGAGCGGGGCTCCTCACCAGCGACGTCTCCGCTTCAGCGAGCTGCCGGTGGAGGATGTGTGCTTCTGTCCATTCTCAGCCCTGACACCGACAGGCAGCCTCCGTCGGGACCCAGCGGGTTCACGCAGAGAAGGTGGGGACCAGAGTCGAGCCCTCATTTGAATGAGTTGACTTGCAGAGTTGAAACTCAGTCGCAGGCAGTCCAGAAACCGCAGCGGGGCATCTGTCCGGAGCAGCCTCCGTCATGATGGAGTCTATTTTAGACAGTTTAACGGCAGAGAAACTCTACCCCTCCGGAGGGAGCAACCTGTTGGACCTGGAGGAACTCAGCGACGGCGACTTCCTCTCAAATGTGGTGAGTCTTTGCTCCGGGGAGTGTCGCGACAGGCGGACGGACGTGTGGGTCTGGGGGGGTCCCTGTGTGGCCGCCGGTGGTCAGCCGTCTGTCTGAACCAAACGCACCCTCCGGACGGTTCCGGCCGGAGCCGGACCTCGGGAGGGCGGTGGAGTCAGCAGATCCTGCCACACATCCGGGGCTCAGACCCTGCGTGGGTTGTGTTGTGTGTGTTTGACTGTGTAAACTCAGACGTGAGAGTAAAAAAGGCCGGTGCAGGCTGGGGGATATCAGCAGTTACTGGTTAACCCGCGTGTCCAGCAGCACACCTGGCCTCTAAGGTCCATTAATCCAGCTCACTGCTAACTCCTCAGGTCAGAATCAAGAGCTTAATCTTCAGTCAAAGCATCTTTCTCCATCTCCTCCCTAATGTTTTGACAACTGTAACTGAATGAAGTTCACATCCTGAGGTTTGATCTAACAGCGCATCAGGAGCAGTGAGTAAAGTCAAATGATTTAAATTGCAAAGTTCACCATTAAAAAAACAAAACACCTGTGTCCACAAATGCCTTCGGACCCTCCTCTTGTCATGGTCCATCCTCATGCTCCCTCCTACCAGCAGTGACTGTCAAGATCAACAGGATGAGTTTGTGATAATCATGCTTGTTAATCAATATATCACATATTAATTAAAAGTAGTTAAATAAAAAAAAATAAAAAAACAGTAAACCTCATAAGCAGTGACAGGCCTCTATGGGCAACTCTCAGGTTGGCTGCGATAAGTATTCCTTCGGGCATACTTTTTGGCAGTAATGACACACTGTTGCATGTTAACACAGATCAGATTTTGAAAGGTGCATTGGATACACCCCCGAGAGCAGTTTTTCTCCTAATGAGAGGGAAGACTGAGAATGGCTGCACTCTGAGAGGTCAGCATTTGAAGGATTTTTTCTTCTTATCTCAATTTCTTCTCCTTGACTTATTCAACTTAGTGTCATCCACTATTCTTTTTTTAAAAGTATATTTTAATTCCTCTATACTTGTCTCTGAGTCAGCTGTGCAATATGTTTGTGGTTGAAACCTCCCCTGTCTGTTCTAAATAAAGTAGTCTGCTCTGTGATGGAGCCCTGAGGCTGGGCCTCTGAGGACATGGGAAAGCATGGCTGACAGTCTGACTCTTTAGTGCAATGGGCTGTGTGATTTCTGGAAATATTCCTCCAACTTTGTTATGCAGAGTTGGTTGATGAATATGCATTTTACTGTTAACATCATAATTATAGGCATTGCAATAATATTTCAAAAGCTCCTGCAGCATCCCAGTTGACCCTGACTGTGTCTGTGCCACTTAAGCATCACTATTTAGGTTTAAGTTCTTTGTTTTTTGTTCTCCGACAAGGTTATTTGATGCCAGTCTTTCAAAGGTCTCCTTAAGCAGCAATGATACAGACGAGGTGGGTTGCGGCTTTGAACGCAAGATTTCGAATGGATTAGGTGTCTTCTGATATGCTAGTGCTGATGATTGTTGGGGACATCTGCAACCATTTGCTGAGGAATCTGGTCTTTGGTCGCGGGGGCATCCAAAGCACACCGCTGTGCATTTAAGAACAGCTTTAAAACCAGGCAGTCAGCCACAATAGCAGGGGAGGCTGGCCTGCCCGATGCGTCCCAGTTCAAGGGATCGGTTTTCAGCATCCTTCCCTGGCTGATCAAGATAAAGCTCCAGGTTGTTTCAATGGGATTTATAGGACAGTCGGTCCACCTGCACACCTGGCGGCTAATGGCCACCGCCTTATGAATGGCAGCCGTTTGTCCAGCTGACCACAGCTGACCGCTCCCCCTTCACTGTGAGGGGCCACATCCTAGCACAAGTCATGACCTTCAACAGAAATATTTAAAAACAGAAATTCACATTTTGTCAATGTAATATCCTTATTTAATAGTTTCAATATCTTTTAACCCTTTGGTTGTCCTTTTTGCATAACTATGGATTAAAATTATTTCTACCTCCGTACAGACATTTTAAGTGGAAGGGACGACCCAGTTAATTTATACTCCTCTTCAATATGGCATCAGTGTATCTGTGCACTTCTTTCCTCTCTGCTGCCTACTGCTGAATAAGATGCATTGGTTTCTCTGATTAAGGTATGTTATATGAATTGGCGCCATAATGATGATGAACGACTCAAACGTGGAGAATCAAGATTGTTGGACAGTAGCAGTGAGCTGATTTTTCGTTGTCTTGTATTTCTGGCATAAATCATTCTTCTGCTTGGTGTTGTAATTATCACAGATGTTTTAACTCCCCAATGTGTGTATCCTAGTTAGTCATAATAATAGCAGTCATTAATAATTAAACCCATAAAAAAATGTTTTATTTCACAGTTTGTTGTCCATGAGCACAATTGTGGAATTTCAACTTAGTCTGTGTTTTCCTGCCAGCTTGTGTGATTCTTTACTAATTGTCAGGTTTTGCTTTCCACTCTTTGTCCACAAACACAACCCTCAAACAGTCACTAATCGGTATCCATTTCCAGGTTTAACCTGCCACCGTTCACTGGTTTTTATTAATGGTGCACTGTGTGGTGCAGTTCAGCCAACTTCCTGCTCTGTATTTTGCTTTCCTCTTTCAGCACAGAGCATGCCCTGTTGGTACCCAGAGGGAGTACAAAAAAAAAGGTTTGTGTGGAGCTGTTGAAAGCAAACTGTCATCATTAAACAGACGGCTTCTGTAAAAGAAACTGTTCTTATATTTGATCGTGATTGAGTACAATCAAAAACTCAAACTTGCTCACCTATGAAAATCTCCAAACACTACCTGGCACGCCGAAACAGTCTTGACCAAAATTGATGGGGATGTTCAGTAAAGGCTGGAAATAGCCCAAAGGTGCATGCCTGCTGGGCAAAACAAATTCAGGCCTGAAGCCACTGGACTCGTCTGTTTATTACATCATGCACATTGATATCACAATTGATCAGATGCTGGGAGCTCATTGCAGGTTAGAACGGCTCTGATAAGGCGTGAAGGAAAACGGGGACTGGAACTTTCATGCTGGATTAAAATGTAGTTCATTTTGGCTCTGAACACTTTCAGACGTGAAGTGAGAACCATTACCGGTCAGTTTTAAGCATGTTGAACATGAATGGGAAAATGGAGACATTCCAAAAAAGTATTTATTCCCTCATTTGTTTACAAAGAATCACAATAATTTCTCTTCGTTTGAATAAAATGAAGAGCAGGAACTAATTTCTTGAAAATTTCTATAAATTATTGATCCAGTTCATTGTGTGATTTATTTAATTTTTTCCTTTGGTTACCCCTTTTGTCAATTCTATTTATATTCTACTTCTTTTACACTCCATCTCTATTCTATTTTTTTTAGTTCTACTCTCCATTCAGACCCTGTACTCCAGCTGTAAAAAGCCCCACCCATCTGATTTGCATACCAGTCACTGATTGGCTCCTTAGATGCCAGAAGGAATGTATGATGGCATGCAGCAGTGTGTGTGAGAAGGAAAAATACTCTTCCACTGTTTTATTGGGAAGTGTAACTGTTCACTTGTGTCTCACTCCTCACACACTTGAACCACCTCGGCTCTGGTGTCACACTCTCAAATGTCGCTCAAATGAAGGCAGATCCAGCCAACCCACCACAGCCACACACCACACGAAGCCAAATACAGTGGAGAATGTTTTCTCTTTCTTATCTGTGGCAGTATGGATTACAGCTTAATTACAGGACTTTTTCAGGTGGCTCAAATCTGCCGTTTTGTGATAAATCAAAAATAATGAGTTTAAAAAAAAAATTCTAAGCCAAAAATAACACATGAGATTAAAAGATTAATCTGCTGTTTTTGTCTGTTGAAAGAGCATTTAGCTATAGATAAAAATCTATCAACTCTCTTTGCTGTGTGTCCCACAGATAGAAAGTAAGTTTTTTAATCTTTATTGCTTTTTAAAAACATTTTTTACATGAACAGTTTGCATACTAAACGATTTCTGTTAAGTCTAACAAAGGCAGATGACTAGGTCTCTTTTTGGTTCAAAATGGTTGAAGTGTCGTTTTCCCACTCAGGTTCTGCTCAGGCAGAGGTGTGGAATAATCACAGGTTTTTCATCTGGGGTCCGCTGGAGTGGGTTTTAGCTGAATCGCTGATGGAAACTGTGTGCACAGGTCCAGAATGAGCAACAAGTCCGGGGCCCATTGAGTTACTTCCATAAAGTCAGACAATTGGAGTCAGCCATCCTTTTGATCTTTCTACTCTTCTTCTTTGGGAGGATGGATAGTCTTCCCAGGGGAAAGAGCGCATACTATAAATGTTGTATAATTGTTCAGATCCTGGGTTTGGCTCCGCCAGCACGTCCTGGTGGAAAAGCAGCTCAAATGATGACCCTCATGGCACCACACGTTTTTTTTATCTCAATCCATCTTTCACCTGAGCCAGTAGAAGGCAGCCAAATGCAAAGAGAGTAGAGATGTGTAAAGGTTCAACATGCTTAATTACAGGCAGAGGAGTCACTCTCTGCATTTCTAATTACCCCTTGCATGTGTCTCTCCCAGCTCGCTTTGTGTGGTTTACATCTCAGCTCCATCCCCCTTAATGATACACCACCACTGAAATAAGATGCCAAAACTGTCAACTGCTGCGGGACACATTTCTCTTGTCCCTAATGCAACTCTTTTTGGTAGTCAAAAGGGACGCCTTTCCGAGGTTAAGAGGTCCAGTTTCCAGTTCATCTGTTCACACTGACTCATCCGGCTCTGCCAGCGTCTGCTATGCTAATGTTGACAATGCCAACCTTTTCTGCTGCATGACTTCTCGATTTTTCTTCCTCATCCGTGTCCAATAGGACGCTTCACAGGACAGTGAAGTAAACAATTACAAGGAAGACATTTAGGAGAAAATCCAATCTTCCTGTTACACTTCCCATAAGTGCATGTCAGACAGTGCAGGCGTGACGCAGATAATTAGCAATGCCTTCCCCAACTATAGTTTTGTCTGTTAAAAACGATGAACTAGTTTTGTTATGCATGATTAGGAGGAGATCTGAGTTGGTGGATAAAGAAACCACACATGCACAGGGCCGTGCTGCTGCACAGTCTGTAGCCACTGGTGTGACAGACCAACAACTGCAGGACAATTTGATGCTTCTTTGTTAATTATAACGTTTGAGGAATTATTTTTCTGATCGCTTTACTGCCGCGTGTCCTTTTATGGCCGGCTTTCCGATGACGCAAGACGAAGTGACATTTCGGTGTTTTTAGTGGGAGGCATCCTCAGTCGTCCACCCGTTTACCAGCAGCCTATACAAGGCCTCCGGCTCCATGTGATAGCCAGGTGAAGTTTTTTTTTTGTTTTGTTTTTTAATGATGAAACGGCTGAATTTTTCATTTGTGTTTGGTTTTGTGATTTGTGGGTTGGTGCATTTTACTGAAACATTTTGTGCGTGTCCAGGCCTGAGAGGCGGTTGGCTTTGCAGCTGGTCTACCTGAACGTGCAGGTTGTAGGAAAAACACGAAGCTGGGTGATGGGTTACAGAAAAAGCAGCCTGGAGCATGTTGTTCTAGTAGGAGGCGGGAGCTTCATCACAGCCTCCAGATGTGTTCAATGCAAATGGGGAAAAAGATTAGCTGGATAAATGGTAATGAACAGAGTTAATACTGGAGCGGGACACACAACTGAAGTCCAGAGTTGAAAATGTAGCTACATTTTACAATAGCATGAGGAAGTGACAGAGCTGCACCGAGTTTAAAACCAATGAATGCCAATACCAGTGAAGCCTTTATTTATTATCTTTAACATGCACCTTTTTTTTGTTTTTGTTTTTTTTTTGTTAGAGATTTCCCTGATTTCTCTGTCTGCATCTCTACCATTATGACACTCAACAGGAGATTTTCTAACAGTTTAAATGTGACCTATATTCCCAGTGGAGCACGTTTAAAAGGCACAGATCAGATTTTCTTTGACATTCAGTGTGGCAGGAGAACAAGGCTGCTCTGTCTGGATAGATGCTTCTGATTGTGTCTGTGCTTGTTGCTTGTTTAGCAACTATTCACCTGTGTGTGTGTGTGTTTGTGTGTCTGTGTGTGTGTGTGTGTGTAAGAGACAGAAAGAGACAGAACACACTTTTTTTTTTTAATAGTTGGTTTATCCTGTAAAGAAGATTATGGCAAAAATGCAGCACATCCAGAAATGGAAGATGTTTTAAAAACAACTGATGGTTCTCCATTTCTCTCAGCACAGGTGTTTAGATGGGTGCAGAAGATGCGTGTGTCCATTTAGGCTGGTCTCTGGGCAGTCATCACAGAGGTGGAGGGGCACGACTATGGGGCAGAAAAGGGCTCTCAGACGCGTTTGTTTGGATGAGTAACGCCAAACTGAGATAACAAGAGGGTGATCTTTATTGTTCATAGTCTAAAAAGAAGGATGGAAATAGTTCACAATTCCAAGTGACTCAGTTCTAAATTATGGATCCAGTCAAAGAGCAGACTGAGGTTCTATGAGTCCCAAAGGCAACAAAGTCTCCACAGTTCCTTGTCTGTGTCAAAGATCCCACACAACTCCGGTCCCATGTATGAAGGCTAATCTATTAGAACTACGTTCAAGACATGAAAATAAACGTGCATGCATATCTTCATTTTTTTTTGTAAAAATGCACTGTTAGTGATGTGTGTCTGGCTCTACAATTAGTCACTCAGTAATACGACATGGAACTCAGTCTGGGACGGTGGCTGGAACTGATTACATTGTTGGTTTGACTGTTTATAGCAATAAATCCGTCATCACGACTACTTTGAAATTTTGTTAACTTTGTATAGTGACAATAAAGGTTTCTTGAGTCAAATATTTTCTGACAATGAATGGTTTGAGGTGTCATTTCATGTGGGGAAGGTTGTAAAGTATGACGTGCCGTAAGCAGAGGTTTTTTATGGAGGAAACCCAGGTATAAGACAGATTTAGAGATTGTGTCATCTGGCTGCTTTGTGCAGCTCTCCACTCCAGCATCTCCAAAGTTACACTCCAAATCCCTCTTCCAATGTATTTCAAAATGTTTAGATTGAAAAATGTCTGTCGAACCGCTTAATCTTAGACCGTCCTCCGTGGTGACATTTGTTTGGTTTGGTTCTTCTTCATGTCATATCTCCGTGTTTATTCTTCCTGTGTGTGTAAGTGTGTGTAAGTGTGTGTGCGTGCGCTGTTTCCACATGTTCCCATTAGGCAGCTGCGTGTGTCCCACAGTTTCACCACTGACACACTTGACCTCACACACGCATTCAGAAATGTCGACACAAAAACACACACACTGAAATAATAAATGTGTGAATGCTTTCAAATGGAGTTGTCTGAACCTAAACACACCAGTAGTGATTTCTCTGACTCATGCTGAGCATATGGTCCCTCAGCATTTCAAATATGGCCTGTCTCTCTCTCTCATAGGATCCTTATAAAAATCTATAAGCCCAAACCATGTAAGTAAATACTCTCCCCTGAACATTCAGATATTTGGCAAATGACAACTGGTGTTAAAAAAGTCTTAGAAAAATGCGCATATGCTTCAAAATGTTTAAGACACTATTAACAAAGTGTTATTTGATGCAGGTGCTGCGAGGTTGGTTTATCTGAACTCGTGGAGAAATCGAAAGTGAAGTGCTAAGAGAGGCTAAAACACACAGCAAAGTTGCCTTTTTAACTCCTATGGGCAAACAATGATTGACTTTTTAATATAATTCTGTATCGTCAATGCCATGCTTTTACTGTTGCCTCTGGACAGATGTTAATCGACTGCCACTTCTCGCATGTCTTGGTGAGGGGTTTAAGCTAATTTCCTGGACTGAAGGATGTTAAAGTTTCACTTTGCTAATGAAATCAAGTTATTTCTGTCACTGTCTGTCTGAGGAGTCTCCAAGCAGAGTGAATCCGGGCTCCAACCCCTGTATGTGTGTGCATCTGCTTTTGTTCTGGTTTCTGTGTGCGTGTTCCAGCCTGGGTTGACTCATACTGTGTGTGTTTGTGTGTATTTCCGTGTGAAAACCAGAGCACCATGTTGTCCTAGGCTTCCAGAACACCATCACTGGGCTCAGTGACTCATTCATAGAGACAAAGGATTAATCTGTTGATGTTGTTTCCCATTGATTGGCTCCTAAAGCCATCAGCCCAGTCCAGATCGTCTCGCTTCTGACAGAGAGAGATAACATCTCGTGGAGCTGAAACTATTGGTTGATTATTTGAAAACTCTGCAGAGAGAAAATTGTCTGTCATTTCTCAGCTATCTGCCTTGTTACTGCTTATCTGTTTTGCGCTGTTTATATTATCTGAATCTGAGCTGGTATTCTGGTTAGCGGTTTGAAAAAAGCAAAACATTTGTGCTGGCATCTGTGTGCGAGTAGCCAGTCATTTTCATTTTGAATGTAATTATCCAACAGAATATTAATCAATAGTAAACATAGACATTAAAAGCAGCCTTTGGGCTCTACAGTTTCTGTTGTGTGGAAACTGATGGTGGACTTGGTCATTGCAGAATCTTAAATGCTCTGGTTGCTCTCCCCTTGTGTCTTGGGTCAATATGTACCGTGAAGCACCATCTGGTCAACTTTACAGCGTCTGGATGAATGGAAGCACGGGGAAGAGGCTGAAACTTCAGATTTGGGACGAATTGCTTCATCAGTAACCAGCAGTTCAGATCAGTTGGAAACTCTACAAATACAGTCACACTTCCTCCATGTGGTGATGAGCTGATGTTGCCTCCCTTTTACTCTTTGCGTTGCTTGAGTTGAAGATAGTCTTTGTTTAATTTTTGCAAATAATATTGCTCCACAACTGTCGTGGCTTTTTACGCTGAAGTTCTGGCCCTTCTGTTTTTGGGATCCATAAACACTTTGCACCTTGTGGTGAAACATCTGTATTTGCTCTTGTAAAGCCTTCTCTTTCTGGCAGACTCTGGTAATGATATGCAAACACCCTGGAGACTATTATGGTTTTGGCTGGTTGCTGTGAAGTGGTTTTATTTTACCATGTGAAAGATTTTGAGATCATTCACTGCAGTTGTCTGACGAGCTCACCAGAATGTTCTTTTTTGAAAATATATTTTTTTATCCATCAAGCTGTTGATTTCAACCAACCCTCTGAACCTGTTTGTTTGTCGCTAGTTCTGACATTATTAATTTTTGTCTGGATGCAATACATTCAGACATACATGGAATCACAGTCAGTCCTTTTACCTCCACAGACAAATAACAGAGGATAAGTTAACACTTGACTATGAAACTTTAGTTGCTGGACTTGGAAACGATCAAATTAGAGTGTAGATTTCACATTTGATATCATGTTTGATATATAGCTTTTGCATGAGTGTAAAGGTGAGAGGCTAATTTTGGAATGTCAAAGAATCTAAATAACCATTTCTCCCTCCATGTTTTTATATCTATGTTTCAGCCTTTTTCAGGCGACCAGATGGACGACTTCAGCAGTGAGTTATTCAACAGTTTCTTTGACGACCACCTATTAGAGCGACCCCTTCTGGCAGACAGGCCTTCACCCCTGCACCTGGACATGGACAGCAGTCCAGGTGGGTGCGACAAGATTATGAAAAGAATATCCATGCCATGCTCTCCACAGCTCCACATGGCACAAGATTTAAAGAGCACACGGAGGAGAAGTGTTGTGCGCCGCTACATCTCACAATCTGTTTGGATTTCAGTTTTTTTCCATAGATGATTATGAGCAGTGCAGCAATTAGCTTCTTCACTCCATCCTCAAAAAATACAGTGTCGTAAGTTAATTTGATCTGAATGTTTTGAGAAATTGTATGAAAATTCAACATCACGCTTACACCAGCTCTGGATCCTTCCACACCTCAGAGGTTAAATATCATCATATACACGGCAGCTTGTTTTGCAGAGACAGCCAAGCTTCAAACTAGAGAGACATGCATTAGCCTCACTTGGTCCTGGTAAATCTGCAGAGTTGGTGCACCACAAGCTCACCGAGTGTGTTATCGCTGTCGTCATCTCACTGCCAAGCCCATCGCTATAAATCATTGTCTCTGTCAAGTGTCAACATGGTCACAAAGATGGCAGAATGCTTGCAGAAGGGGATCAAATCTGACCTGTTTGGTTCATCTCATACTCCTGAGTCACTTTTACGTAGAAGTCTCCAAAGCCCTCTCACTAGGTTTGACATAGTAATATTTATGGAACAATTTCCCAGCATGAATCAACATGAAGGCCACCGCAGACGAGGTCAAATGCGCACAGGCAAAATTTAAATGTGCATCTCTTTATTCTCTCAAAAACCCTGTAATACACAAATCTAAAATGAATCATCTACACCAGATTATGAATGCAGTTATCAACATCAAGGGGAAAAGACTCAGCACATGGCCCGCCTTGGCTGAGGGAGGTCAGTCAGTGAAAGTATTAGTTTCTATGTGCTGTGCACCTGCATGAATATGTTTGGCTGTTAGCAGAGATTCCAATGAGCCAGCACAAGCACAATGTCGGAGCTGTGCCTGAACTCAGTCCTCATTACTGCAGACAGATGAAGCCAGAAATGTTACGTTTTCCATCCTGCTGAGAAGGGCTTTTTAATCTCACAGATATTCAAGCAGAGCACAGCTACTCTTTGAGTGAAGACTCCGCCCCTCAGAGCCCAGCCCTGTCAATCAAAATGGACCAAGAGTCTGGTGGGTCACTAACTTTGCTATTTTCAGAATTTTTTAGTTTATGAGAAGTGTGCCGAGCCAGACAAAACTCTGCTGCACGCAGGCCCCAGGTTTTCTGGTTTTGCTCAGTTTTTTGTCCTGTGTTTTGGCTTTCTGATTAAAATATGTAGGATGATTAGTTTAATCTGATATCTGTTCCACTGAATGAGCAGAAACTGGTTCCCAAAGGAAAATGAGAAAATACACTATTTAAACTCCTGCTTAGTTTCTATTAGCTTGTGTGACTCATCCTCTCCTCCTGTCCTCTCTCTGTCTGTGTCTATACCCTCTGTCTGTCTGTCTGTTTCTCCATTTGTCCTGGGGATCCTGCTGTCTGAGCAGCAGGATCCCAGTCTGAGTAGTTCTCCTCCAGCTAAGCCCTGCCCACCGAACACACACACTCACACATAAACACACAGACCCACACAACGCTATGACAAGCATATGGTTTTAAGTCTGCAGCTTTAGCCAGAGCCAGCGGAAACTCTTTCTCTTTCTGTCCTCGGTCAGGTTATCTCTCCCTCTTTGACTCCTGGTTTCTGTCTCTGGGCTTCTCTGTCTGCCTTAATCCATCTAAATCCACTTTATTGCTATAAGTATCAATTACCTGCTTTGGAAAAAAACACCACAAGTGGGGCTCACATTCGTCTATATTCATTGTGTGGACATTTTCAACACAGTGTGCTAGTATTGAATATTTAGATGATGAAGTATATGATTTCATGATGTCTGAATAAATCAGTGTAAAGTTGCTCTGGACTATGGTATGTATTTTGGTTAGAAGTGGTCCACCTATTTAAATCAGCCTTTTCAGCTTTCTTTTAGTTTGTCTGTGAAGCCCATTTGCTCTTCTCCTTTAACTTCCAGACAAATATCTACTTTTGTGGAATCAAGTTTTAGTTTTGCTATCAAAGGGCAAACATGTAATAAAGGTTTTTCAGGGTTTGTTCTATACATGTTTATTAGGATGTATTTTGTACTACAGGCATCTACATGTGCATTAAAGATAAAAGATGTGGATATTTAAGACACTTTTCCTGACAGTATAAATGCAGGTGCCCCAGTTCCTGGTTTTGAACGTTATGAACATCTGGCGAAGCTCAGTGCAAACTCAAGTGATATCAAGGGTCCTTGTGCATGCCGCCTTTCCTCAGACCCTCTCTGCATCCAGTGAGAGCATGACAATTATAGCATCTGCTCATTTGTCATGAGGACTCGGGAGGTTTTTGTCCTTTGAGATATCCCATTGTGCTCTAAAGGCAGGCATAAATGTCACAGTATAGAGTTATACCAGTACATTGAAATAAATTATTTGGAAATCAAGCTGGTGCTGTGACCATATACTATAGAGTGACTGTTTTTGGCAAAGTGTTGGTGTATGAATCAAAGTGAATTAGTACGGCATAAATAATACTAAATTGAATTATTATGAATATACTGTATTTCAAAATAATTATTTTCTCCTGAAATTGAAAATTTTAACGGTTTACCAGTTCAGGTCAAATTAACCTGCTGTGGTAGAACTCTGTCCATGAAACCACACATGCAGCATTAGATAAAACGGGCTAGATAAGATTGAATGAAAATCATCATCATTCAGTGGATTAACAGGGCAAAACAAAGATTTTCCAGAGTTGCAAATTTAGTCCACATCTTATCTATTATGACATGTTTGCGTTGTATTGATTCTGTTGCACGTTATCCTCTGTGTCTCACCATGTGGTCTATGTTTCTGTTGATCTAATCCAGTCAAAGAGAAGCCGTGTGTTTTACAGAAACTCCTATTGTGCTGATCCATCCATGTTTTAATGTAGCTGCTGCCCAGCTGAGATCAAACACAGCCACCACCTCCCTTCATGAGCCCCCTGTGATGAGTGCCTTGAGCTTTGCTCATTAACATAGGTTTTTTTAACTTGTGCTTACACAATTTCACGTTCACAGGGAAGATATCTGTTTTCTTTAAATATATATCATCAAAAACATCCAAATGAATGGCATAAGTTTAGGAAATGGTCTCAGACTTTAGGAGTTAACACCTACCAGAACGATGGAGAATCCATCTGTTGAAACCTCTCATAAAGGCATGGGGAAGCCAGACATGTACAATGCAGTTTGTCCCATCAGCTGACAGCAAAAAGCTTCTGGTGTTCATCAAAAGCCGCTGGTAGAGGGCTTCCAATCAGACCCTGGTGTAATAAGGGCAGGGGGCTTAACAAGGCTCAGGCTAGCAGCAGGACTGGCCTCATTAGGAGAGGCTTCAAAGGCATGCTGTGATATAGAGGATGTAGGAAACGGGTAAAAGCTGGTTCCACGTCCAAACTAAAGCTACTTCTGATTTATTAAATACCTCCATTGATTCTCCTCTTGCCAGGCACACAGATTAGTGACAAATGACAGTAATTGACAAAGAAGCTGTGAATTGGGCATCCAGAAGAAGATGGAAAAAAGGATAAATATAAGTAATAAGTGTTACCTCATTGTTTAACGGATGGCAGGAGGAAAACCTGGGTCCTTTCATTCATGTGGATTTTGTCACTGAACCTAAATTCTCTTTTGGGTTAACTCTAACCTCTTCAGGCCTACAGCGCTCCATGAAAGCTACTTGTGGCAGGACAATGTGCCTGGCAGCACAGAAAAAATGTTCAGGTCTGGTTTGAGCAGTGAGAAGGAGTTCATGGTGTTTACTTCAAAATCTCTAGATCATATTCCAGATGTGCATCTGTTGGACATGCTGGATAAAAAAGTCCCAACCAGTTGTGCGCCAACATGTTGGGAGCGTCACAGCTCTCAACATGTTGGTTTTTCTTGGTACCTGTACAGGGTAGCTTCAAGGTCCATGCCCTGATGAGTCACACTGGCTTTGGCAGTAAATACAGCACATTTATTAATCATTTTCAGACATTTAGGTAAAAATGTCCCCTCAGTCCAAATCCACTGGGCTGCTTGAGACGCTTTCATAAGGTTAACTTATCTTTTTGATTTGAACAGCACATCATCTTTAGCATTTCTGTCCACTGTGCTTTAACTGTGGGGCTAAAGTGAACAAAAAGCAGATGTGGAATTAATGCAGCTGATAATAATAAACGGCTCAATTGGCTCCAGCGCTCATCTCATAAATCAGATTGTGTTTTGGCAGACTCGAGGACGCTGCTTGTTTCTGATACTGACGGTGCACATTGTAATGTGCAGTTTGCTGCCACCGACCTGAGCTCGTCCTCAGGCAGCAAAAGGGAGCCACAGGGACTGGCTGTAAAGAGGGAGTCCTGCTGCGCTAATCCTCGCTCCAGTGATGGACAGAGTAACGAGGCAATCTACTCGCTCCCTGACGTGCACACACCTCCACCACCCCGTGCTTTCATGCAACACACACGTACACACAGCTTGTAAACTTTAGTGTTTTACCAGCACAATGTTGCTAGGGAACCAGGAGGTGATTAACGTGATGCTCCCTCCAAACACACAGCAACGGCTTTCTTTCAGCGCACCTTGGGAGCCCTCGTGGTTGTGTGTTGTGCCAAACATCAAAGCGTCTGTTCGTGTCTTAAATGCTGACTTGAATAAACACTCTCACTCTTCCTTTTCTACCTGGAGTTACCTTTTACTTGCTTTTTAACTCTTAAAAAACTGTTTTACTTTGCAAAGGTAAAAACGTTTTTATGTACAGCTTTTGCTTAATGAGGCTCCTTTGGAGCGGCTTACCTTTTTCTTTTTAAAGGGCCTCAATTCAAAGCAGATGCAGTTGACCACTTTCTCTGGTAGACTCACTGACTTGTTCTCTACTGTTTGCACACAAAGGATTCAATCCCCATCATGCATCTCAATTATTAAAAGTCTCCAATGCAGCCAAAGGCCTGACAACCTTCACATGTACATGGAGTGGACACCATTCAGCCTTCACTGCAGGCAGAGATGGTAACTTTTAAAATGATGACACACTCATTTAAAAGCCCCATAATGAGTAACTTCATGGAAAAATGGTGCTCTTGATTATTTTATTTGGGCTCGAGCTTACAAAAATAGAATTAGGTTAGAGCATTGTGCCCTGGAAACTCTGGACTAAAAAAATGACAGTCCCAAGTTTTATTCTTTGTTGTTACACAGTTAACTTAGTTATCTTTTTCCATGGGAAAAGCCCCAAGATGAATTGTGCTGTCTCTTGCCAAAATATATTTCCCTCAGTCCTTTTTGCAAAGCAGGATGATCTTCTTTATTGTCAGAGGCATGTTTGCAAGACATTCTCACGTGGATGACAATGAAGTGTGGGGTAGCCACAATTGGTATTTTTGCTTGTCAGCTTTGGCTTGTAAGATGTCATTTCAGGAGGTTTGATGTCTGTGGAGTCCCAGCGAGATTTTTTTGTTGACCTGCAGTGACATTTAGGTGCCTAAAAATACCCCCTGTAGTTTACAGTAGACTAAATAATAAAGTACCTGTGAGCCACTCCCAGCAATATATTCATAATGTGTTTTGGTGGCCCTCCTTAAACTACTGTCTGCATATTTTTTGTGTTTAAAGACGATAAATGTGTCTTTTCTCAGGAAGGATAATGAAGACGAGCTTCTGGTTCAGCCCGTCTTTTATTTCAGGGTCTATACAAACTCACTGGAGACAAATTATGCACCACAGTTGCCAGAGCGACGTTGTCCAGCAGCCTGTAATAACCAGCCCTGTCAGGAAGTGCTAAAATATTCTGGGGAAGCTCTTTCAAAGTGGGATTTATAAGATACTGGTTATTTGTCACTGGCAGACCTACAGCAAAGCCTCCCTGTAGAGAAACATGGTGTTTTGCTGAACCACCCTGAGAGATTTGACTTTCTGGGCAGGAGCGGAAGCTGCTGTTTGCTCAACTTCAGACAGACTTTTATAGTAATGAGGAGCTTTTTCTTTTTCTGCCACCCTTTTGTTATCTTTTGCATAAGTAACTTTTAAAACTGTATCTTACATTATTAGGGAGGGTTGTAGTTTGGCACAATGGGGAAAAAAACATGAGCTTAAACTGTTTTTGTCAGACTCTGCATTGCTGACACGCATGCAAAGAATAAAAACCTTAAACCATCAGACTGAGTTATCTGTAGTAGCCTGGATTTTAGAGCTACTCAAAAAGGTAATTTGGATTCAACTATAGCATCACACAACATCTTGAAAAAATCTGTAAACCTCTGTTTTTCTCTTTTTTTGCAGAATTTGAATGGAACTTCAGCCAGGATCTGTCAGCCATCTTGGTAAAACAGGAGGAGCCAGACGTGGGTCAGAGGTTAGATCCTCAGCCTCTGGAAGGCCCCCCACTCATATTAAGCCCTGCCCCTCCACACAGAGGATCACCATGGAAACACACGGTCGGTATCCATCCAGCCGTCGGCCAGCTGTGATGTCACCAATGTCCACCTTTAACTGTTTTGTTTGTGTGTTTGTTGTTCCTGTAGGAGCGTGATCAAGATGATGTGAAGCCGATGGCTATAAAGGATGAACCCAGAGAGATTGGACAGTACCTCAGCCTTCCCAGCGGTACACACCAAACCGCACACGCATGCATGCACATAGCCACATCAGTCAGTGGTATAACAGCGCCATTTATCATTTCAGTCCCCAGTGTTTTAAATATATGCCTCATATTAGCCTCAACTCAAAGAAAAGATAAAAGGTTTAAACATTTAATAAATAAGTCCCCAAATTCAGCTAAATTCTTTAAGCTCAGTGTTCTGGTGGGGGCTTACCCTTTGGTAGTGGCCTGCTACTAGAAACGCCGGCCACAGAAAACGCTTGACTCCCTGGCAACACTTCTGTGTGTCTAGTTTATGGTATTTCCCCCGTATTTCCTAGTATTTATTACAAAAAAAAACATACTCTTCCTTTAAACATTTTTAGTCTTTGAATACTTTCCTGCCTTTTAGAAGATGCTCTCCAGCTGCCGCCCACCCCTCCAAGTAGTAACCATGGTGACAGTGACGGATCGCTCCCACCCTCCTCCCCACACCTCAACCTGCCACCATCTTCCCCCCAACCACAACAGAGGCCAGGAGGTCGTGCCTCTTCATCCTCCTCCTCCTCCTCAGCCATTTCCTCTTCACCTCTCCTAACTGCCCCACATGTGAGTTTGAGTACACCTTGGATTCTCTCTGATTTGTTTCTCTTTTATTCAGCCCCCTCTACACCACATATGGTGGATTGCTGTGATTTCAAACACAGAGTTGGTTGTATATCAGCTTCCATTTGAAGGTTGAACTGTGGTCGGCTTGCTGTCAGAAAGGAGTTCACTCTAATAAAGTCATAAAATTGTTTCCATCACTGTCTATCTTATCTTGCAACTTTTTGTCCTCATTCCATAAAGCTAATTTTATGCTAACCCAATGTCTGCTTAATATTTTTGATTTGATAACAATACATTTCAACAGCCGCAAAATCATACCATGAATTTGACATTTTTTCTTGTTCCAGCTTGTAAAATTAGCCTGCAGTAAATGCACCACCCAATGAGGGAAAAATAAGGCTTTTGAATGTGCATGTGCTTAAAACACATGGCAAAAGCCCTGTGATCACCTCTTTTATTACATGAGTGTGCTTGGGAACGTGCTGGTGTGAGAAAGATTGACTTCCTATGGAAGTGAGAATTCCTCCACAGTGGTGAAGTTCTTTTGTTCCGATGCAGAAGCTGCAGGGTTCAGGGCCCCTCATGCTAACAGAGGAAGAGAAGAGGACTCTGGTGGCTGAGGGTTACCCAGTACCAAACAAACTGCCCCTCACAAAGAGTGAAGAGAAAGCACTGAAGAGAGTCCGACGGAAGATTAAGAATAAGGTAAACTGCACCTTGATTCTTTTCGATGAGTGTTTTGACTCGCAGTCCAAAAAATGTTAACGTCTGTCTCTTCGTCCAGATCTCAGCTCAGGAGAGTCGACGGAAGAAGAAAGAGTATGTGGAATGTCTGGAGAAAAAGTAAGGCTGGGAAAAAAAATCTTTGTTTCCATCTCTTTTCCATTCCCTTTAAGTAACAATGACATCTTTTGGCACCCTTTTTAACTTCTTATAGGTGCTTTTTTTTTTAGTCTGCCAAAGCTGTCTTGTGTGTTCACACCTTAATGTGTACGAGGCTGTCTCAAGTCAGCCCAGCTGCTGGAAATGCTTTGACTGTCAAAATGACAAATATAAATCTGATGAATGCATAGCTCCTTCCTGCATCTCTGAGCTGTTGTCTGTAGTCCAGAAGGCTGCCTTTTCAGATACTGAGGTTTTCCCTCAGTTGACTCCAAGCAGTCTTTTTTATGCACAACCCAAAAAAAAAAGGAAAATTCAACTGGCTAAAGTGGGATAGAGTTGTGTAATGCTGAAGTGAGTTTGGCAGTGGCTGTTCACTTTGGAGCCAGTATTTGTGTTTAGAGGTTTTCCCAACTGCTCCAACGGCTGTGGAGCAGTTAGACATAAGAGCTCAACTGGGGATTACACTGGAGGCAAACTCAGGTCCTTGTGGGGTCACAAATGTTTGATGTACTTAGAATCCTTAGAGGATGGGGATTTAATCAGGACCCAAGTCAATAGACACTTCTTTCCACTCCTCTTTCCTCTTATTGTAGCCATTCCTTTAAATGGCAGGCCTCCAGTAACCTGCTACACACATGGGCCACATTCACTGATTCTGCTGTCATAGAAAGATGAAAACATGGTCTGTTTTTGTTTCCTTTTCCTCACAACAAGTTACAGAAATCACATCCAGAAAGGTTTTTACAAATGGATACAAAATGTCACATTAATCCAGTCAGAATAAGGAAAGGGCTATGTCAGAGAGAGCAACTTTATTAACAATAATCCATCTCTGTTTCTCTCTTTGTAGTGTTTTTCCATCTTTTTTGGATACAAAGACAAGATTATTGACTGAAAGAAACAGAAGCAAACTTCAGAAATCAATATACATGAATGAGTAGTATTCAGAGAAAATGAAGACCAAGATCAGGAGGATTAGGGTTGAGAGGACTAGGTTGAAAAGATGGTGAGGTAACAATAGTTAGGTGAGTTTCAGAGGAGGTTACAAAGAGAAACAGAGAAAATTGATGAGAGTAATCCCCCACCCTCTATTAACCCGTGTCACACTTTACAGCTCCTCACATTACCAGACAATGAATCTTTATGGTACAAGTGATGATGACTTCAGTCACGCCGACACAATGAAAGCTTAACTGAGGTTTCAAATAGTGTTCAAGATTTTAAAGCACACACAAGACCAACTACACATGCTGTTTTTTCTTCACCTCTGGCAGTAGAAAAAGAAAAAAAATCAAAATCATTAGAGGTCATAAAATCTCGAAACACTAAATTGTTGATGCTGTGCCTTAATGGCCTGAATTAGAATAAACTAGCTGCCAATCATTATTTTTATGAGAAGTAATAATGCACAGACTTTTGGGTGTAAGGTTTGTTTGCCCCCTTTGTACAGTACTGCATTCTTACTCAAAAGAATAATGTTGCTCTTCAAGTTTAAGTGAACCGGAATCTGTCTGTGTCCATCAGGGTGGAGAATTACACCTCCGAAAATGGTGACCTGTGGAGAAAAGTAGAAAACCTGGAGACAGCCAACAGGTGAGCTTCATACACACAGAAACACGTGGACATAGTTCTTTTCTTCCTGTGATTCATGTATGATTTTTGGATTATTACTGAGGGCTGCAACAAGTTTGCGAAAGAATGCAACCTGAAGAAGTGGGAAACTGGATGTATCTGTGTCGCCGCGGGGATGCTGAAGCTGGTCTCATCTGTCTCTGATTTCCTCTGGTGCAGCCTTGTTCACGCTTGTATTTTTGTTGTGTTTTAAACCTTTTCAGACCGCATTCTTTATATGCAGAATTTGATGCTGACAGATTTCGAGGAGTGTAAACTGAAATTGATCTGCTCCTTAAGCAAGGAGTCCCGAAGCTGCTGCTGTCTCCTCTGTTATTATAACAATATGAAACCAATCTGCTATTATCCTGGAGTGGGTGGTTTGATGGGTGGGTGGGTGTGGAGTGGTAGAGGGTCTGTCTCTGTCTGAGGCAGCCTCAGTCTGTCATTAAAGTCGCAAGTTAAGAGCAGCTTTCATCATGGAAGGCAGCCCCCTCCCTACCCACTACACACACTGATGAATACGTTATTCCACCACACGGAAGAACAATGAGTTGGCACTAAGTGGGGAAACGTGAGTCAGCACACAGCATTAAAGCCCAAAGTGTGTGAAGTGATCTAAAAAAAGTTTGAAATGGTCTGACTAAATTTAAGCTCAAGCGTTCCTAAAAATGTCCCAAATGCAGTTATTAGTGGTCATTTTGTTCTCTGGGCAGTTTTTTCTGGTTAGTCCTCCTGCTTCATTACTTTTGCCAGAATATTCTCACTTTTTACTGAATTTAGAGTTAATTTTGTGTCAAAAATATACATTATTGCATGGGAGTGGATGCGGAGGGAAGCAGCTTGCTCGGGCAAATGCAACCCACAACTTAATAAACAAAAGGAGAAAAAAAAGGGGAAACTATTTAAAATTTAACAAACTTGTACTGAACATTAATTTACTCTCTCAGGCAATTAGCAGGATATTTTGCCAGTGTAGTATATTTTAAGCAGCAATAACTTGAGCTGTAAATCACTGTGGTTGGACTTCAAAGACAGAGTGATGCTGGTCAGTATTATCCCATGTGAGTTCATTACAGCGCCCTGCAGCATGTCACAGGCGGCAGTACGGAGATTTGAATGATTACATGTAGCGACGCACAGCCTGATTGTTTTTATTTGCTCCCCTGAGTGTTTGACCATGTAGTACATCAACTTAAAGTCTGCTCTTGTTTTTTTAATCAAATGTTCTGCAGGACGGTTTGAGGAGTTTGTTTGGCAAAAGCTGGTTCTCTGTCTCCACTTAGTGGCCGGAGCCTGTCCTCACAGCCTCTGACAGCTCGTACCATCAGAGCCCTGCTCTCCAGATCCAGCTGATGTACTCGCTCTATTTTTGTGCTTATATTGGCTGTCTGCAGAAAAAAACAAACAGTCAATCGGTCGGTTGAATCTCCTTTGAAATAAAGTCAACCAAATAGTGCGAGTCCTGCCCTGTCAGACGTTCAGAGTTTCCTTGATGTCAGCTGGGTGGAGAGTGAGGCCATGTGGGAGCTCACTATTCGCACAGACATCTTTTCAACAGAAGAAAACATTATCCACTGCTCTTTGACCTGCCTGTGATATGAGATGCTTTACACTCTCTCCTCTTTATTTTCAGGTCTCTCTTACAGCAGCTACAGAAGCTTCAGTCACTGATTTCAGGGAAAGTCATCCCTCGTTCGTGTAAAATGGCTTCAACTCAAACAGGAACGTGCCTCATGGTAAATGTCCCTGCTTGAAAGGTTTTTGTGCACATATATGTCCATATTTAATAGGATAAACTGATAGTAATTGCAGCCTCAGTTGGCTGAGTCATGATCTGTTCGACCTTCATGGAGATTTAGTAGATTTATAAAATACTTTTTCAGCACCTTTTTGTTTAGCTGTATCTTTAATGTGGGTGTTTTGCTCCTGTCTTTGCAGATGATGGCCCTGTGCTTCGTCCTGGTGTTGGGCTCATTTTCGCCTTGCCTCTCTCCCCTCTCCTTGCTCTCTCATTCTTCTTCTGTGTCCTCCTCTTCATCCTCTCAGTCCTCCCCTTCCCCTCATTCTGCTCCGTCTGCGGACCTCTACACGACCAGTCAGGGTAAGCGTAGAAATGGGTTCAGTGTCCAGCCTCGTGTTGCATCTGACCACTTTGCCAAAGCTGAGAGCCTTTGAAGAGGAGGCTGTGCGTTTTGTCTCAGACCTTGTAAATGAACTTGGGAACATGAATGGTATGAATACCATGAGCAAACAGAGGTTGCGTTTTATTTCAGAAGCATGAAAAAAGAAAGACATATGTCTTGAACTTGAAGTTCTTTCTGTCAAAAGAAATCTGGACAAAGGTTTTGACTTTAATTCCTGGCTGTGTTTAACCTCCCTATAAATTCACTATCTTTAAGCACTCACCCCTGGGAAACCCTTGCTGAAACCAGACATTAGTCTGCCATCATGTTAACTACCACTCCCTTCTTCCAGCAGGCTTCCTCTTAGTGGTGAGGCATGAGGCTTGATAGTCTGTGACCATCTAAAATGGACCGTACTGCCCCACGCCTGTTTGGGCAGAAAAAAAGTTATTTATAGTCAAAAGCCTTATGGCGTCTGGAGGCCACACTGTGTTACAACCTACTTTAAAATACAAGAAAACTGCCAGTCCTCCCTTTTAAAAAAAGCTTTTCTCAAATATTAGGAAAAACTAGTATTTCTGAATTTGAAGACTTTAGTCAAGGGATGACTGTGGCTAATTATAGCATCCCAAAAAACACAAGAATGAAAAATGGCGTGCTTGTGTGTTGCAGTCCGCTCCCGCAGCCTGCTTTTTTACGATGAGCAGGCTCCACTGGAGGAAAGTTTGGCTCCGTCTGAAGGCCACTCTCACGTCCAGACACGCCGACACACAGCGGACTCTCACAGCAACCAGACAGCTGGACCCAAGTTAGACCAAAGGTACGGGTCGGCTCCACGAATGCCGTTATCTCTGCACGCCACATGTCAGACATTAACCTGCTGCTTTTTTCTCCTTTCCTCAGAGAAACTCAACCAGGCAGAGTCTCAGAGTTTTTCTGACTCATAACTTCTCGCCTCTGTCCTACTGAGAAGCCCCAAAATGCTCCAGATTGCCACCATTAGCCGGTTCCAAGGCCATTTCCAGCTGGACCGAAACTTGCCTGTGTGTACGCCACTCGTCATCCCACTAAGTGAGCTTTGAACGAGGCTTCAGGTACTCCAGTCATCCCAACCTCTACATCTGGCATCCCTCCCTTCTCTGCTTAAACAGACTCTGTTATACTTGAAAACACTTGGATCTTTTTTTTAATGGAGGTTCTTGTTGGAATTTTCATTTTTATGCACTAAAAATCTACAAATCTTTGTATTCAGTTTAGATACACAATGACTATGTGGTTTATGATTATGTTTAAAAGGGCAGCCTTAAGGAGACTGTAACAAACCAATGCCATGCCTTTTATACAGAATTCTAACACCAATAACCTTTTAGGACAATCAGACTGAAGGTTGTTGGATATGAATCGGTGAACTTATGGTCTCATTGGTTCTCAGCAGGGCTAAAAATAGATGCTGAACATAGAATCTTTCTGCTTATGAAATAATTACTCCCCAATGTAAATCCAAAATTTTTCTGAAAATGTTGAAAAGCCCTATAAAGACTTTATGAAGATGAATATGGTCAAAAATCAGACATCCCCTGTGGGATTCTAATTTTTGAACTTTACATCCGAAGCTCTCTTCAAACACTTTGATTAGATCAGTGTTTTAATTCGTTCAAATTCTTGCAACTTTTGAATTTTGGATGACTTTTTGTGTCATTTTGGTCCCCACAAAATGATGAAAGATGTCCACAAAGAACTGTCATAATTCAAGCCCCTGACCCCCTTTTTATTAAAGAACATCTGCCTGTGTGTTGAAAATCCCCACACGCTTTACATGCTGGGCCATTTTAAAAGTGCCTTCCACATGCCGAAGCCCAGTATGACTGAGTTGTATTAACCTTCATAACTTTCTCTTAAAATCACCATTTGCTCATTCTGTTGAGGGAATTCATAACGGAATTCACATGCCTGTTTATTTTGGGCACAGCACTTAACGGCTTTGGTGCAAAGTTCACAACTCCTGATTCATAAACTGTCCATAATGAGGTTGGGAAACTAGACAAATTATTTTTTATTAGAGTATTAATTGTATATGTAATATATTTGGAGCATCCAAAAAGAGCATATTTAATTAATGCACCAAAAAAAAAGGAACTGACTTGGTTTATCATATTATTTTAGTTTTTCTTACAAATGTTTTTTTTAAAAAAAAAAGCAAAATATTACTTTTAATATATTCTGAGCATCAAAAAAGAAGCATATTTATTTTATGCAAAAAAAAAACTTTGTTTGTTTGGCATTTGGGATGATGTGAAGTTTTACACGATGGCGAGCAGTTCGAATTGGGATTCATCGAAGGTGAAGCTGTAACATGATCTAATTGTGTCTTAACTGTAATACAGTGACAATGTTTTACTGCTGTCGCATTAAAAAAATCCAGAAATTTCTTCAATTAAGCCACGTCAAAAAAAATCTACATTTAAACCTTTATGTAAAGGGGAAAAAAAGACCTAATTCAATTAGTCGAAATGAAATGGCAAACTTGACTTTTCTGTTTCTAATCCAAAATTAAACCTGTGACCAAGAAACAGAAACCATATCAACAATGCTACTAAATATGCTTCTGCGACAGCAGCGTGTGTTGTATTTATTCCTTGTTTGTAAAAGTGTGTATATATTGATGAAGCCAATCAGGGGACTGATACATTCCAGGAAGAAACACCACTAGTTCTGTTTGCTACATAGTTTGATTGAATGCTGCGACATTTAAAAGTCTTGACATCATCACCACTATTATGAAAACATGAGGAAAACAACGATGTCTCCGCCACCCGAAAACAATAGACAAAATTAAATGTCATGGGATTCTTTCAAAATACAATAATCACAACTTTTCTGCTTTTCTTGCTCATGTCTGTAGTCAGTAGATTTTTTTTCCTGTTTTGAGATGCCAAGAGTCCACAGAAACTTCTTGCTACAGCAGCCAGTTACAAAAATGCCACGCCATTTTCTCCCAGAATTCTTAAGGCACCAGTGTACATAAATGACGATACCCTCACATGCAGTTGTAAATAAGGGCCTTTTTGTATTGAGGCATAATCCAAGATTTTATCATATGGAAAATGGAGAAAAACATGTTACATTGGATATTTTTGGGATGGGAAGACAGAAAAAAAGAAATAAAAAAAGAAGCAGAGGATGGGTAACTTTTCAACCTCTACAGAAACTTGGATGACAAAGCAGCTGCCCACAGTTTGAATAGTTGAAAACATGAGAAGGCGCTTGATTATTCCAATCTCTCTTTATCAATAATTGGAAATTATTTGAATGTCCCGAACGAATAATCAAGCTCTTCCCACGGAGCTGAGTTCAAAATGTGATCAGATATGTTGTCGTCTTGGTTTGGTGTATAGTGTCCTGCATGTTCCTTCATATACTTCTATGTTATCTTAGTATAGTCCGTAGAGTAGAAACAAGCAAAATATTAAAAAATTGCATCAGCAACTCGGTGTCTGAATTTTCTTGCTTTGTGTGACTTCTGTGGTATTTACTTTCCCGAAAAAAAGGCATGATTTGTATATTTGTGCCAGCCTTCATTTGGTCCTTGTCCCTTTTTAGCTGAAGTGTTTGAGTATGAGCTGTTTTCGGAGCTCCTCTGCCTGGCTGTCTCGGTCTTCGGGTCTCTGTTTGAGGGTCTTGGGCTGTTCAAGAGGCTCTGTCCTCTCCAGAGTCCAGGCGTCTAATCCAGACTGCAGCGAGGCATTGTGGAGAACACAGCAGGCCAACAGAATGGACGAGCTCCTCTCCGGAGAATACTGCACATGGGAGAGAGCAGATGAGAGTGGCCCGAAGTCATAGTGATGATGCCCTGTAAGTCTGTTCAATTTACTGTCACAAATGCTGTTATTTGGTTATCTCAACAGGGATCGCTGAACAGAAGCAACACCTTTTCTATTAAATGCAACTTATTTGTTGTTCTATGTTAAATATGTCTGGAACCTTTAAAAAAACAAAAACCTGAAGGTATCCTTTTGTGCCATCTAAACATCTGAATCTGGTCTGGATGGCTCTGAATGTTCTGTCCACAATCTCATGCGTAGCAGTGTGGGCCAGATTGTATTGAACTTCTGCAGAGGATTCGGGGCTCTCCACAGGAGTCATCAACCACCGCCTTAAAGGATAACGCCCATCCCCTGGAAAACAGAAAAATATCATCCTCTAAATCTGACACCACATATTTAGATATATCTAAATATGATACCACATCTCACCAAGTAACCAGCCCTCCTCTGTGTCCTGCAGCTGTTTGTAGATAGCTGATCTTTCAAGAACAGCAGTGTCCTGGAGTCCGCCTGGCCAATGAGTCTCTGCGCTGAGCAACAGCCCCCGTGCGTCACACACCAGCTGACAGGCCACCGAGTGAAAGCCCTTCTTATTCACATAAGATGTGTCTTCGCTATTTGGAGCTTTGATGGCAACCTGGAAAGAGAGGTGGAACAGCAATAATTAAATAACATTCTTCATCAGCACTACTGTTAAAACCATTTATTTACTCCACCTGAACGCAGTCTAGAACCCCGAGGACTCTGGGAAATCCTGCCACCCTCTGAAACTCCTGGAAGGATTGCTCTCTGCTGGTGCGATCTCTGCTTGGAAAACAGTATTTATTGCTTTTATAAATCACTCGAACATTTTGGCCATCGCTGTATGTGAGGGAGTCAAAAGTAATTGTAGGATAGGACTCCAGAAAGTCACAGGGCCTCATACCTGTTGAAGGTGATGAACTGGGGAACCTTCTCCACCAAAGCCCTGGTCACATTGGACACGCATCTAGACATTGATGCCTGGCTGATCCCTATCGTGTCTCCCATCGAGGTCTGGAATGAGCCAGATGTATAGAAGCCCAAAGCAGCCAAGACCTGAACCTCAGGACTGATGGCTCTAGACCTCTGTGTCCGTCTGCTGAGAGCCTGACACAAAGAGATGAACCCAAGTTTTTACAAAGAAAGACCATCAGAATCCTTTACCATGTATTTACGACTGAAACCCAAGCACACCTCTCGTAGTAATTCCACCAGATATAGGATGAAGTCCCTGGGGAAGCCAAAACGTGTGAGGAGGAAATTGTCTGACACCATGTCAAGATCAAAGCGGTCCAGTGTTTTGTGAGCTCGGCCATGTAAGAGAAGGTCACAGTCCAAGATGGCTATAGGGATGGCCATGCTGAGGATTGTTTAACACAGCACATACATGCATTAGCCTTAAACAGAGGATTCATTGTTCATAGGCCTCTGATTGTATATATATATTTTTTAAATGCAGTACATACTTCAGAGAAAGAAACTGTTAAACAGCAAACATATAAGGCAACGGGATACAAATAAAAGAATACGCATTAAAAACACATAAAGGGTGGCATACATGCTAAAGTTAAACAACATTTAGTTATAATAGCAACGATGGGGACCAAATTTGGCACACGAAACACTGAATAGCCAGGTGCAACAAGAGATTATGTGAAATTAATAGCATTACCTATCTTACAAATATTGTTTTCTATAGAAATGTTGGCTCTGGGTTTTCCGTAGATGGCTTAAACTGCCGGAGAAATCTGCTCATCACAACCTGCTAACGAGTTAGCTTTCTTGTAATCTGTTGTAAACAAAGCTCTGGCCTTTTTTGAAGCAAATTCTAATGTTAAATTAATTTAAATTATTTTAATCTAACTCCGATCACTTCTGATTAATTTAACATAAGGGTCTACCTTATTACCTTTAGATGCGCAAGCCTGCATTTCTCAACCAAAACAAGTCACGTGAACGTTGCATGCTGCTTTGCGGTCTTTATCCGTAGATTCGACCAAGTAGAGCTGGATTTCTTTTGAATTTTTAAAAAAAAAAATTCGTTTGATTTTTAAGAAAAAAAAAATATTCAACATGAGAATAAATATCTAAACGTTTTTCTGAAATATTTACCTCAATTTATTCTATTAACCTATGGTTAAACGAAAGTGTCTGTGTGAAAGGGCTGCTATACAAACACGTCGACATGGAGAAGATAAACAGAAAAGTAGCACACCCGACGCTGACGTTGTGTACATCTGAAATTGACGTGTAATGTTTGAGGACACGTCGTTGTGTGTTATCCTAAATAAGTTAATTCGCTTTTGATTGAATATTCGTCGTCTAGGGTACAGCTAATGTAAGTGTTTCTGTTTTTATTGGAGCTAAAGTGTACGTTATTCAGCATGTTAGCTAAATTTAGCTACAGGCTATCGCTAGTTGTCCCAGTGCATCGACTCTGAGCACGAAACCTTCAGAAATTATACCAGAAAAGGTCTTGTTTTGACATTATCGTCATAAGGTTGTTGTAATATGTCATTAAAGGTTGCTGTCAGGGTGAAATTTGATTTAATGACTCCAACTGTCATGGAGAGAATTTCATATCAGCGGGGAGGCCCCTCTGCTAGCAAGAAGTAATTTCTGCTAAGACTAAAACAGCTGTGTACTGATAAAAACAGCAGTAACTGTCAAGTATTGTGCAGTTAATGCTTTTATCCTATATGTCGTATAATTCCTTCACAAACGGTCCACTAAATTACTGTGCAGTTAGACCCCGCACTGAGGTGTTTATTTAGGTCAAAGTAGATCATTTTTAATTGTTCAAAATACAAGGCGGAGCTGTAGTGTGTTATTTAAATGTATTGTCATGCATGAACCAGTTTAGTTCCCAGATTAAAGTTTTACTTATTTTTTTCAAATAAATTTTCTGGGGGTGGGGAGGGGTCAGTAAAAACAGAAGCGCATTGATGTGGCAGAATTAGTCTTTTATGAACCTACATGCACATAAATAAATGTATACTGATGTCTTTTGTTTTCATGGGTTCATTGCTGATGAACCCATCAGCAATGAACCTAATCGGTTGTTTTGCAGGTTTCTGCAAGCATGGACAGTGACTTGAGTCCACAGGATAAAAAAGACTTGGACAAATTTATTAAATTCTTCTCCTTGAAGGTGAGAAAATAAGATAATGCTGTATTTTGTGTTGCTGTTGTCACATTTTGGATTGTAGATTTTTTCTCATTCATGGTAAGTGTACATTACCATACAGATAGTTTCGGTTTTGTTCACAGTGATATGAATTACACAGAAAATAAACATTTATTTAAGGTGTTGTTATTCTGTGAAGACATTTGGAACATTTGTACAGGACTGCTGTGCGCACTGTTGCATTACGGTAATGTGGATTTTATATTCACAGACAGTGCAGGTGATAGTACAAGCTCGCCTTGGAGAGAAGATATGCACTCGCTCTTCTTCTTCACCAACAGGCTCTGACTGGGTAAAACAGCTCAGCCATTTATGATCTTTTGTACTTGTTTGCTTTTAATGTGAACTTTAAATCCAGTGTGGTTTAAGTCATTGTTTAGATTTTGAACGTCTCTTTTAGTTCAATTTGGCTATCAAAGACATCCCGGAGGTCACTCATGAAGCCAAGAAGGCACTGGCTGGCCAGCTTCCAGGCATTGGGCGCTCCATGTGCGTTGAGATCTCCCTGAAGACATCAGAGGTAGATGGTCATCTACGCGTCTGTGTCATTTTAAAACAGAACCTGACAGAATTACTCCTGTACACAAACATCTGTGGTGTCTCTAAAACTATTAACAATATTTTTATTATTACTTTTTATATCTTCTTATATCTCTTAGGGCGACTCCATGGAGTTAGAGACTTGGTGCCTCGAGATGAATGAAAAGTGAGTGATTTCACTCTTGTTTTCATGGACCTGGTAGTGACATTTTAAGACATACTTTGTGCCTCGATAACACAGATTTAGCCCTGAGGATGACAAATCCTTTATCTGTGCCGAATGAATCAGTTATTTCATGATTTGTAGCTTTAGTATTTGAGAATGTCTTGTTGATAAAGATTATTATCATGATGCCAAACCCACACAAAGTAAAAGCCTTCAAATATTTTGAGTTGTTTTGCATATCACTAAGCTGCTGGAGTGTGATATATTTTCTGGCTCTGCTGCAGGTGTGATAAGGACATCAAGGTGTCATACACGGTGTATAACAGACTCTCTGTCCTTCTGAAGTCTCTGCTGGCCATCACCAGAGTAACGCCTGCCTATAAACTGTCCAGAAAGCAAGGACATGACTATGTCATCTTATACAGGTGCACTTTCCTTTTGCTGCTGGGAACCATCAGTTAAGCCCAGTGATTCCAGGCTTTTCCCTTAACGCTGCCTTTCTTCTGTGTAGGATCTACTTTGGGGAGGTCCAGCTGAGTGGACTAGGAGAAGGTAACTGTAGTTCTGCGGACGGTCTCAAACCTCCTGCTGGCACATAGCGTTGTGACCTAATGTCAATACAGTAACGATAAGTCTAAAGTATGTGAAGCTATCGTTATGGTTACAGACTTTTCCAGTTTGTATTAGTTATCTGTATTTTAAGATCAAAACAGGATTTCAGATGTGAGATGTTCCATGTCTCCTGACGTGTGTTATTCTTTAGGTTTTCAGACGGTGCGTGTTGGTGTTGTCGGCACCCCGGTCGGCACAGTCACGCTGTCCTGTGCCTACCGCACCAACCTGGCATTCATGTCCAGCAGGTGACAGCACTCTTACTGGGATGCAATGGGAACGTTAGTACACACTCCTGTGAGTAACAAATTCCTGAATTTAAAGGTATTTGCTGACGTGCTCCTCTGCAGGCAATTTGAAAGGTCGGCCCCCATCATGGGGATCATCGTTGACCACTTTGTGGATCCTCCCGGTAGCAGTCAGCGACCAGCAAACATGGGACAGCCCTGCAACTACAGGTAGAACTCTCCAGAGATGACAGTCTGTGGCCCCAGACGGCTTTCTGCTTCCACATCCTTCAAAGCTTAAAAATAGAGATCTGTTTGCAGAGCCCCAGATGAGGACGATGGTGGAGTGTTTCCTGGAGTTCAGGACTCGCAGGAGGTCTGCACCACCTCCTTCTCCACCTCCCCTCCCTCTCAGGTGAAAGAACCCTCCGTTGCTCTTCTTCTCTGCCTTTTTCTTAACCTGTGTCTCTTTTCTGTTTTCACGCCTGTTTATCATTTCAATCTCTTTCTCTTTTTGTCTGTTTTCCTTTGATTATGTCTCTTTGTGTGTTTGTGTGGTCTCAGTGTGTGTGTACACTGAGTCCATCTCCTTCTAAACTGTCCAAGCCCCTCCCTCTGGACAGTCTGCAACTTCCATTGGGTCCTGGACTTGTCACTCACAATGTGAGTCTTTACAGGCCGTTGACAGATTGTGACTGTGTGACACCCAGATTTACCATTGGCGTTTTGCTGTTTGTTCATCAGTAGCTTTATTTCTATCACCTGTGTTAGAATCTCCCTTTCCTGTGGCTGCAGTTTGTTGCCCTTCAATAAACCCTTTTCAGCCATGTTTTTTTTCTTTTATCCTCCGTTAATTATTAACCCACCGCCTCTTTCGTTCTCACAGCACAACACCAGCCCACATGTCGCGGTGTTTGTTTTGTGGTTAATTATTGCTCTTTGCTCCTCAGCTGTATGCTTCCAGGTTGTCCTACCAACCTGCAGTTCTAGCAGGAGCTGCTGAGCTCTGTCACCCTGTGACCACCACTAACCAGGTAACGGCAAATCAGTGGCAAGCCAGATACTTTACATCCTCCTCCAGGTTTTTCTTTCTCAGTCTGTTAGAAAAACTGTCCTGTTTCCCTCTTCCTTTAACATGTTATTGAGCTGTCACACTGTTCTAAGCTTATGTAATGATATCAGCTCCCTAACATTGTCCTTGAAACCACACAGACCCTTAAAATATTTATATATGTGAAAGAAAAACAATAAAAAAAACGTTGCTTCTAAATGCTGAAGAAAGTTCAGGTCAAGTTATGTTCCTCTGCTTCAGATATTGCATGCTGGGAAAGAAGGTGGAGTTATTTTAGTTCCTGCCCAACCTCCGCATGGAGCTGACGCCCATCTGACCACAGAGCACGCCCCCAACACACCCACCAGCAGGTAGCTCCTTTCGGATGTTTTTTAGCATAGAATTAGTCCAATGGGGAGGTCACACGAGGGACATTTTCTGATGTCTCAGCTTTACATTTGCCAGATATTTAAGACAAAAAGTCTTTGGCTCAGGAATCAAACTTCCAGTAACATTTTGTGTGACCACTCCCCCAGCGGTGATGATGATGGTCTGCTGCAAAGCGGCAAAGGAAGGAGGGATGAAGGTGGGAGAAGTGTCTCTCCCGCCGATCCGGTGGAGTCTCTCAACGCTTTCACAAGAAAGGTTGGAGCTTTCGTTAATAAACCAAGCACACAGGTGGGTCGTGAGCTTCCTAAGCCGGTTTTAGTGTGGCTCTTTTAGCCGGCATGCTGACCGCTGAGGTGTGTGTGTGTCTGCAGACAACAGCAGCCAGTCTGGACCTGCCCTTCGCTGCATTTGCTCCTCGAGGCCTGGACTTAGAGGAGAATGACCCCATGGTGACTGCAAACAGAAATAATGATACACAAAAACCAAAAAAGAAAGCCTTTGTTCAGTTTGATGGAAAATACTAATCTGTGTCTGGGTTCAGGTCCAGCCTCCAGACTCTCCTCCATGCCAGTCCCCCCTGCAGGCGAGCCTTCATTCTCAGGGCTCAGAAGGCTCAGGGCAGCAGGAAGACTTTGTCATGGTCGACTTTGTGAGTGTTTGGTCTCACGGCTCATTTGGATCTCCTCCTCCACTCTTAAGATGAACCCGCCTCTGTAACGGCATCGCTGTGATTCACAAGCTCTTTCTGTTTGCAGCGTCCAGCTTTCTCGAAAGACGACTTGTTGCCAATGGACCTGGGCACCTTCTACCGGGAGTTCCAGAACCCTCCACAGCTGGCCAGCCTCTCGCTTCACATCAGCTCCCAGTCGATGGCCGATGACCTGGTAAACACAGACACTTAAGCTCTCTCTGGGGAAGTGATGGTGAGTCCCTGAGAATTGAGCCTCCAGGTAATGAGAATGATCTGTGCCTGCAGGACTCGCTGCCCGAGAAGCTGCGCGTCTACGAGAAGAACATCGACGAGTTTGATGCTTTTGTCGACATGCTCCAGTAGGATGAGCGGAGAAAAGGACAACCTGCGAGTGAAGGCACAATGCGTGGTCACAACAGAATGAAAGGGAGAAGCAGACTAGATGCTAACTTGTTGTCTCTCCATTTTGAATTCATTGGACTGAATCGCCAGATTTTTTGTGAAGCTCATAGTGTTTTAAAAAAGTCTGCTTCCTGTTCCTTACACATGCCAGCTTACAGATAGTCTTACTCACTGTAAATACTGTAGTATCAGACACAAACACCCCGTCTGCTCTGGTAGTTGTAATCAAACTGACAAACTTATATTTCCTGTGTGGCACAAATCTTGTCGTCAGATGATCGTGAGGTTAAGTCAGCCATGCAAACACACTCTGCTGAGCCTTGATACTGCTGTCATTCATCCCTTTTCTGTTGAACCCGACTGGCCTCTGATGGTCTCCTTTACGTCGCAGGGAGAGCACAGCGATGCCGCTCGAAAGTCAGTCACTGCAGCAAACAGTTAGCTGCTCAAAGCCTGGCGCTCCCAGCTGGTCTGGGGATTTAAAGAGTAAACTTCAAATCTAAGAAACGATCCCAGAGGAATTGAAAGTGAGTTTGCTGAGGCCCCCCTCGATGTACAGACCCTTACACAGTCATGCTGAGGCAGTGTGTCAAACTACAGTCAGGTAAGAGATGAAGCCACTACATCCTCTGTAAAACATCTGTTCAGGTGAATAATTTAGGAACTGTAGGTGGTCTTCAGGCAGTGCAGCATACAGTTACAGACTTCACTGGGACTATAATCAGTTTAATCACAAACTAATAAACCGTTTTCGATCAGCGTGGCACTTTGTGTTCGACATGCTTATCTATATTTTGGGGAAAAAAAGCTGAGAAACATTTCCAGTCATTTAGCCGTTTGAGTTTGGTTGAAAGCTTTAAAATAAACCCATTCTGTTGTGCTGATGTCCTAATAAAGCATGGCTGCTCAGTTTACTGCCTGGTGTATTCAGTAATGGAGCAGATTTGACAGGCGTTTGGCTTCGAAACACCTCAGTGTGCTGTGGAGTCATGTTTTGTTGGTCATGTAAATCCCAAGGTGGGTAACAAGGTGGGCGGGCACACACAGTATTTCCCTGATTGCTACTCACTTTTGTCTGTCTCAAGCTGAACAGCAGACTGCTACACCTGGGCTTTTTCCACCTTTGTGAAACCACAGTATTTAAGGCAGGTGGAACTTTTAAAAAAATAAATAATGCGATTACCAGAACCTTAAACATGAGGAATTTCATAACTAAAACAAGTGTTTGAGTTTGCTTTGCCAATACATGTGGCATTGAAAGTGGACGTCCTACGTCCAGCAAACAAAGTAGCTCAGCAGCTGTAATGAGACACCGGTTCCTCCTGAGGCCCATTTGTCAATGCAGCATTTGGCAGGAGCACTACATTTGTGTTTGAAATGAAAATCAATCGGAATTCTCAAATGTAATTTTATTGTTTGTCATTTCTGGAATTCCATTTCATACCTGCTGGGTCAAAACCATCAAGATGAGTGCACAGTGACACTCCTTTTACGATTGCTCTACAGTAAATGTTCCTTCACCTTATCACAGCCTCAGGATGTGACCTACAGTTAATGACCCCTCCTCACAGGACCCCCTTTACCTCCAGCTGCTCCAAGGAGCCGTGAACCGTTCAGCAAACATCTCATTTCTGGAGAACTGCTGTCTGGAAGGCTATGAGGGAAAGCTGCGTAGTTCAATGTGGACTGCCCCGGACAACAACAATGCAAATGTCCTAACTATGTATATTTCTATGGTTAGCCACTTAAACATGCCTTTACTTTTGAAACATACTCTGAGCTGTGGCAGACAGAGGCCATTTCCCCCCAGGTAACACTGGGAACATGGAACAAGAAAATAAAAAGGGAAAAAAATAGAAGAAAAAAAAAAAACTTCACAGGAGACAGGCAGTGAACACCCAGTGTGCATTTCCACCTCTTTTAGCAGCTCAGTCCACAAGAAGGTCCCATCCCCCACTTCCCTCCCCACAACACGGCCCCGCTGAGCCTGACAGTCCAATGAGTTGGGCGATTTGGTAAATAAGTCTTTGAGCATGACGAGTCACAGGTGGGGAAAAGGTTGGAAACGGAACGTCCAGACATTTAACGCTGATCAGACAGGGATGACCGGCAGATGCTTTACTTTATTCCCACTGCCTCGGAACAGGGTGAAAGTCCTACGACGTATGGCCAGTGTCCTCCATTGTCAATAATATCCAACCAGCTCCCCCAAGTCGGTTGAATGTAGGTGGAGTTCTATTATAGCAAGGTGGGGGTGGGGATGGAGGTAAAGCCGGCATCCATACACACTAACGATCAGAGCAGGAGGAGGGAGGGGGAGAGTGGATGAGATCCAGGAGCTTGAGAGAGCGGAAAGGTGACTAAAGGGGAGGTCGGGCTCAGGCAGTATTCAGTAGGTCCTGTATGGCTTTCTGCTGCGTCTCGTTCAGCGTCGACACACACTGCGTCCATAATTCTGCAGACACCTGAGGGGAAGACAAGGAGTTTGACCACTTTGATGTGCGCTCGATGGAGCTGAAAGAGGATGGAGCCTAGCAGCTACAGCTTACCTGTACTTGACGGATGACGTTTGCGAGTCTTTTGCTGCAGGCGTCCTCACTTTTGACCGATTCGTTTGCAACCCCCTCGGCTATGATAAGGAAAATTTTCGGAAGGTTGGAGTTGTCTGGCCCGAGGACGATGGGGTTGTTGCTTTAAGGGGGGGGAAAAGAAGAGTGAGCAGGAGTGGCCAGTTGTCTCAAAACACTAATGTTTCACGTCTAAGTGCTGGGGGTCAAGTTGTACCTTTCGATGAGGTCACACAGGAAGTCAAAGGTGTGGACGGCCTCCTCTTTGTCCTCGTTGAGCGGCAGCCAGCTGAGCCAGTGGGGAAGGACCTCATTCACGTTGACACACTCTGGCCGGAACCTCATGAGCTTTCCCACCGCGGAGATGCAGTTTTCCGTGGCGTTGACGTTCTCTTTTGAACGAGAGTCGGCTGCCTGGATGACTCTGACCAGCAGGGGGAGGGCCTCTGCGACGGGAACAGACCGGTTCAGTTCTCGGCTGGGAGGGGGGCCCAGACCAGACCAGCTGCGGGGGACGCACCTGTGCAGAAGGGCCGATAGCTCTCCCCGCCGAACTGAGCCATGACACCCACGCCGTAGGCGGCGGCCTGCCGGACCTCCGGGCTGGAGTCACACAGCGACTGCAGCATGGGCCGCAGGAAGTACTCGGCGTATTTGAAAGAGGAAGGACTGCAGTGCTCCACCACGTCGTCAAAGATGCACAGACCCCACTGCCTGTCCGCCCACGGCCTGTTGGGACACTGAAGACAGGGTTTTATGGTGAGCAAAGTTATTGGTTAGATGTTGGTTGAGTTTTTCACAAACTAATGATAAAAAAAAACAGGAAATTCTCACTATTAGCTGAACGATGAGCTGCAGCAGCTGCTCAAACCAGGGCAGCACCTTCTCTTTGTAACTGCTGAACACAGAGTGCAGGATGTCTGACACTTTGGTCAGGATGTAGACATCATTCTCATCCTGGTGAAATCAAGAAGACGAGAGGGGAAACAAAGTAAGAGCTGATACAGAACACCCAGCCAATTTAAGTCCAACTTATCCAGACGGTCACCTCGTCCTGTAGGGTTTCCTCCACTTGCTCATCGTAGTCTTCATCCTGTCTCTTGGCTGTGATAAAAAAAAAAAAGCTTCATGTTTTGAGTCCGACAATTTGTAATAAGCAGTTTAAAAAAAGAAAGGAGAAGCAGCTCTGTGTTTGAATATGTGCACAGTTGTAGGGCCTCACCCTGTCTCAGCTCCTGATTCTTAAAATGCTCCTCCAGTTTCCCTTTTAAGATGCCGCCCAGCTCCTCAAAATGCTCGTTGTTTAAACACCCGTCTCCCATCAGCTCGATGCACTGAAAACAGAAAAAAGCTCAAGTCAGATCCAGACTTTCCTGCAGTGTGTGAAAAAAGCATGGCAGACAGCATGACCCCCCCCCTCCTCCCCTTCCTGAACCCTGGTGCGGGAGGCAGTTACCTTTGCGAACGAATGCATGATTTCTGACAGGACGTCGGAGTCGGGCTCGGTGCCGATGGCCTTGATCAGGGCGTCGCACATGAAGTGCCACATCTGAGTGAGGTACTCTGGGCCTCGGACCCGAGCACACTCCAGCAGGAGGGGCATGGACTCCGCCGCTGCCACTCGCACACGTGAGACAGTCAAGGTAAAACTTCCCCCGTTGTCTTCCAGCACACAGTCTTAACCACCATGTACACAAACCCCTCTGCTCTGGCCTGATCAACTCAGATCAGATCTGTGTTAGAATACCGTTTCAGTACAGACTGCCCATACGGTTTTTGGCACTTTTGTGCAGCAGGTAGCTAAAGGATATCATCGTGGAAGTAGAACTTCAGCAGCGGAACCATCATCTTCACCACCTGCTCCGTGTACTCCACAAATCCCTCTTTCAGCTCTTTGGCATAGCAGACCTAGAGGAAGAGGAAAAACAGGACATCTTACAAAAACGACTGCTCCCTTTACATTGGGTGCAGGTTCTTGTTTCAGGGCTCAGTGGACTGCAGAGGAGTTTTTCTTGTGCTCACCAACATCTGGCAGGCTGTGGCCTTCTCCTCCAGGCCCGCTGTCTTGATTCCAAAACTCTGTTGGTCTCCCAGGTTAACAAACTCCCAGCCGTCATCTTCCGATATGTTCTCCATGTCCTGGGCTGCGAGACAAACACCGTCAGTACTGAAGCAGTGGCCTGCGCTCCAGCCAAAAAGATGCCGCCACGCTTTATGCAGTTTAACACACAAGTCAGGCTTCATTTACAACCCTCAGTCACCTAGATTGTAAGATGTCTGCTTGTAAGAGGTCTGCTTGCATGTGCAGCTGGAAGTCTGGATGACTTACTGTCCAGGAGTGCCACCTCAGGCTTGATGGAGGCAGTCTTCATCAGCGGGCCCATCACCACAGGCAGGTACTGCTGAAACTCCTTCCCCAGGATCTTGCACATCCTGGCCCAGGCTGATATCATGTATGAGATCTAAAGCACCAAGTGGAGCATGACAGGGTGAGTGCAGAGCCAAACCGCCTGTTTTTACCTGGGTGCTGTGGCGGGGGGGCTCGTACCTGAGGGTCGTCGTCTTCCAGGTCGTTGAAGTCTGTCTGGGTCTTGAGGAGCAGCTGCATGACTGCGGAGGCATCCGGCATGAACTACACCAGGAGAGAGGACATGTGGAGGCTGCCATGCGAAGACCAACCCCTCCCCGGAAAATACCACCACCACACTGACCTTCTCCTTGCCGACGGCCAGGCCGATCAGGCTGATGCACTCGATGGTTTTCCCGCGGAGCAGCCGCAGCTCCTTCTGCACGGCGTTCTCCACGATGTGTTTGAGCGAGGGCATGAACAGGTCGTAGTATGGTACAAACTTCTCCTCGGCCGTGTCCGCCACAGACGCGATGGAAGTCACCACCTGCTCCAGGACCAGCTTGGTGCCTTTCTGGATCAGCTGGTAGAAGGTAGAGACAGACTTAGCCCCAGCGTGCCGCAGACTACTGGACGCATGCAGGCCTCACACAGCCAGTACCTCCTGGAGCTTGGCAACCATGATGACGTGCAGATGCTGCACCAGGCTGTCCAGGTAAGGGATGAGCAGTGATTTGGGGCAGTCCTCTGTGAAATTGATGAGGGCGGCGGCAGCGTGCGCCTGCACTCGAGGGTTACTCTGATCCTCCATGGTCTGCAGCAGAGCTGAGATCACCTGGAAGGATGGACGAGTCGAGGCTAAGTGTTTTGGCAGAGACGCAGAGTAACCAGCAAAGCGTGTAGCAGCCTAAATTAAAAGTGGTCACTGCTGCACCACTTAAGTACCTTGTCATGGAATTTCTTCTGGAAGGTGGGGGCAAAGTCTGTGGCCATCTGTCCGATGGCATTACAGGCAGCGTAGCGTACTCTAGGATGCTGCGGAGCCAGGAAAAATGCTTGGTTACCATGCAACTAGGGAACAGGCCAAACGAAGCCACCTAAATCAGAAGTAAAGCCCACTGGCCAGGAAAAAATCTGTTAATTGGGCACACGCATGTTTACTGCACTGTGGTGCTTACAGGGTCGGAGCAGAACAGGAGGACAAAGCTGACGATCTCCTGGAGGATGGCCTCCATCTGCTGGTGGCATCCCTCCCCAATGGCCGACAGCGCCATCAGCCCTGCGTGGCGGTACTTCCAATCGGCTGACAACAGAAAGGAGAGACAACCAAGTAGTGAGTGTCTCGTCACTTAGACATTTCACTCAGAACGGGGTAAAGCTCCAGTAAATGCTTAAGACTTCAAATGAAGGCCGCAGGATTACAGACACGACGGCGGGTTTACTCACGGTTCTGCAGCATCTGCATGATGTGTTGTTTGATCATGGGCAAAATGATCTTTCCTCCCAGACCACAGGCAATTCTGTCCAGAGCGCTCTCCCCAGCCACAGCATTACTAGTGAGACATAAACGATCCCACTCAGAAAACAAAAACATATAAACACAGTTCAGGCTCCTTCATGAGCTGCTGTTTGTGGAGCATCTTTACAGATAAACAACAAATTTCTGGTGGAAATGAACATACCTGTCAAAGTCATCATCTTCCAGCTCGTCGGCCATGGCCCACTCATCATCATCCTCCAGGTCCACCATCATGGCCAGCATCTGGGGCACTGATGAGACAAACGGTGCATTTCAGACAGGTCTGCGTTTCTGTATCGGCTCCTCTGGTTGACCAAGACTCGTCCTCACCGCTCTGAGCTACAATGGCCGTGTGTTTTCTCAGCATAGCCGCTGCCGTCTCCGATAACGTGACGATGACTTCCAGAGCCAGCTGCCTCTGCATGTTGGTCAGGTTGGTGTCGGCGCACAGCTGCAGACAGAGGCCCCGTGTTGGCTGGAGGCCCACTTCACAATGCCAGGTAGAGTTTTAACATGAACGCGCCAACATACCTTCAGACAGAGCTGCAGCGTGGCCTCCAGGTTGGGTCTCAGGTATTTAGGTGCCGTGTCGGCAATTTCCACTAAAGACTTGAGCACAGAGTCATCTCCCTGGTAGCACGACTCATTCACCGCCTGAACAAAAACGGTCGAGTTAAAGCTGAAAAAACGCGGCGCTGCAGCGAAGGCCTACGGTAGAGCTGTACTGCTGAAACCATCAGGCTTTATTGACTTATTTCTGCAGCAAAAGAATCCAGCTGCAAGCATCCGAAGGGGAATTTTAAAATGTTTGGACCGAGACGGGAGGCGCTGCTTCTTACCTGCAGGATGCCTGGCAGCAGGTCCGCAAAGTGCTTAAGCAGAGCAGTGTTGCTTTCATTTGAAAGCACAAAGGACGCCGCAGCCCTAGCTGCCAGGGTACGAATCTGGAGAGGGGGGGGGGACCCGTTTAGTTTTCTGTTTTTAAGTTCAGGAAAAACTAAGACTAATAGTTTTGTTACCTGTGGGTTTGCCTGGTCCTGCATGCACTGAACGAGCATGCGCTTGATGACCTCCATGTAATGCTGCTGCTGGTTGCCAAAGATACCAGGGAAATTCCTAGAGAGGAGACACCCCCACCCCCCGTCAGCCAGCAGAACGTCGGCAGAAACGTAGCAGCTTTATTTGATCGTCCAAGTAAAACTTACCAGAATATATGCAGGGCCGCTTCTCGCAGTCCAACATTGTCCGAGTTTACGGAGTCAAAGAGGAACTTAAGCACCTCTGGCCACTGGTTATTCCCATCGTCATCTAATTCAGAGCAGAATAATGATTGAAGAGAGTCCAACAGTAACCATAACCATCGACATATCCAACACTGAAAGACTAAGTCACAAGTTAGTAAATGTCATTTTGCAGTTTAATCTCAAATTGATAGATAATATGATGTAGAGGCCTCTGTTAAATGTTTTGAGGCAGACGGACACAGAGGTTGTGAACCCTGACTTTACCTATGAGGTTACGGGAGAGCTCAGCTGCTATGTCGCTGATTTTTTTGCGGATGTTTGGCGAGGTCTCCTGCTGAATGCTGGTCAGCAGCTCTGTCTTAATGGCCGTCTGCATCTCCACCGTCAGACCCGGGTAGATTTCCTCAAAGGAAGAGGACAGCAGCCGGCGCAGCAGCACTGCCGCCATCTGTCTGACCTAAGTAAACAAAACCACATGTCTCCTTTATCACTACATAACTACTGAGGGCCACCATTAGCGCAGGTCCGGGTTTCTCATCCAGAGGCACCTTTTTAATATGGAGCCAATTTGTAGAATGTTTAAAACAATAACATTGTTGTTTCAAACTTAACTGGAAGTTTCAGCAATGTTTACGTTTGGATTGTATGTATCAAAGTATGCCGACAAAGCCTGCAGCATCTTAGAAAGGCAGCGTCACTCTCCGAGCCAAACACCCCTCGGCCTGCTCCCATTTCAGGGCTCTAAAAATATCTGGCTCGAGGTAAAGCAAAGGGGAGAAGCACGAGGGACCCAGCAGCTGGTGGAGTCACTGTAAACTTCACAGGCCAAATGGCAAAACCGAGTCACTACAACCGCTCGTTGTCAAGCTGTGATGACGGCTCACGTGTGATGAGATAAAATGCCAGAAATATTCCCCCAGCGACAGTCTTCACAAAACCAGCAAACCGTGGCGGTCTGAAGTCTGGTCAGGTTTTCTCCTGCTTCATTCCTTAGACGTTAGTGTGTGGTGTACGAACCTCCTCTGCAGCAGAAGCATCTCTGACGGCCTGCAGTAGGAATGTGATCTTGTTCTGTCCCGGGATGGTGTCATAGGCCTCCTACAATGAAGGGGAAAGCACGTTAAGTCTGATAAATGTCACTGTGATCACCTCAAAAACACAATAGCCTCTTGTTTTTTGTCCTTTGGCTTGCCTTCAAAGCCGACATTAAATATGTGATGCACATTTTGGCGCTTTCATATTGAGAATATAGAAGATTGCAGGAAACAAGGTATTTCCTTACTGTATAGTTCACAAAACAAGTTTGTTACGTCTTTCCTGATATACTGTGATGTCATTTGTTTACCGTTAGGCTGGTCTACGACAAACAGAAAATGTGAGCACATCTGAGCCTCTATGGGGAAGCTGCTGCACCTGAGGTGTGGACTCTGAGGAAGGCAGAAGCTCGGGTGGAGGCAGTGTTCACGGTAAACACAACTGCTCTCTTTGTCAGGTGAAAACACAGATGAGCCCAACAAGATTAACACCAGGAATTAAATGAGAGAAGGAAACCCTTTGGCACAATGGTGTTAAGAGAGAAATTTTACATTACAAAACACGACGACTGTGTTGTGTTGAAATCAGATTGTTCTGCCGGAAGATAGAATTTGAATGACAAGGTATTTCCAACAAACAAGTAGAACAATAACGAAAACGCAATCAGCAGCTAACACAGAAACCTGATTAATGGCTGCCTGAAACTTGCTTTTCAAATGCCAATGCCGATTTAAATAACAGGAACGGCTATGGAAGACAGACACACAAAACTGATAAAATGTTCCAGAGAAACCCCACTAATGGGATTTGTCTGGATTCATCCTATAATCTCAATGAAACTTGCAACAAATCATCATATTAAAAAGCTCAATAATTAGGTTATTAATTCAGTTATCAAGCATGATTTCAAATATTTCCCATTTACTGGCTGAGATAATCATCTGGTTGCCAAAATCAACTCCTGAACCCCAGTATGTCCACAAAGTTTTACCAAATCCTCGCAATAGCAGATAAATAACAAGATTAGGAATACTGTCAGTTTAGTCACTAAACAACCTCAAGGCTGAGGCTGAAAGTCCTGGTTTACCCCTTCACAAAACGTCTTGAAAGGGGCAAATGCCTGCATGTTCAGGCGCTGGGGTCTTTTCCAGCTAAAATAGGGGTTTAGGTCTTTAACACATGGATCAATTCCCATTATGTGCTTAAGTTATAAAGGGTGCGTTTCTATAAAAGAGGAATTCCAATGAGCTTAGCATCGCGACAGTCAGTCTGTGTTTAATAAAGACAATTGCTGACTGCTCATGATGGGGGTGTCCGTGATAAGATTTAACCACCTCATCCAAAAGAGGGAAACCGGCAACAATGCTTTGCGGCAGCAAGAGGCTAACCGTGGTGGGAAAAGTGAATAGGCCAGCTAGACGGAGCCCAAACTAATCCAGAGAAACTAATCCAGTGAAAGTGGACGACCCAGGTTGGGCTGTATATTAACGAGAAGTTGGCTACCTGGCTAACATTATGACACATTAAGAAGGGATCCGAGGGCTTTAAAACCGACTCAATATAAAATGTCTGAAGGCCATTGCACAAGTATATATTTGCATTTCTATCAACTTGTTACATTTCCACTACAGTTTACTATGAGCTTGTATTATATGGTCACCCCAATACTTTAGTATCTATGTCCATACTGAGCTCCTAAAGCACCCATGTTAAACCTTTAAGCAAATCAATGCGTTGTGTGCTAGCTTGGTAGCTGGCAAACCTAGCAACACTGTGGTAGCGACTTAGCTCCACGCTACTTCCTGTATTCCACTAGCTTGGTGACTAGCTTCAGTCAGCTGGAGATTTGAGATCAGGACCGGTCAAATGGAGCATTTCACTTTCTGTTGCAGCGCTCCATCGTCACATAGACACACGCACGTCAACACGGTGCCACGACAGCGCCCTTATCTGTGAGCTCTATATTATGTCTACACAACTACGCAACAAGGTGGTAGTTAGCGTTAGCTGACTAGTACTCAGCTTCACATCGCACGTGGGCTACCAAGTCTGACGTGAGAGTTCGCAGCGCGCGGCCAGACTGACTGGACCGCTAGGCGGTTAGCTTTTTGCTAACCCGACTTCTCGCTTTTCTACAGTCGCTCAACTTGTCAGCCACGAAAACGCCGTCCCTCCTTACCTCAGATTGTTTCCTGACATTGTTGTCAGCACTCATGAGGTTACCCAACAAGAGGTAGAACTGCTGCTGTTCCGCCATTGCTGCGAGATCCAAAAAGACCAGCCGGGTGGAGAAGCGGCGAAATCAACCCGGCAGACCCTGCTTCGGTCACACAATACAGAGACGTTACCATTGGCTTACTTTATCAACTGTACTCACAGCTCATTGGACAATGGGAGTGCAGTAGACGTACGCAATTGGCTAATAAGGATCCCTTTTGTCTATTGGCTGGAATCGACACGGGAAAGTGAACGTACCTTTCCTATTTGCTAACAGTAAATTATTAAAGCGCGGGAGTTCATTGCATCACTGTTTAGAAACAACACTGATGCTATTATAATAAAAGGGAAACTCGGGGTTTTTTCTTCTCAAAATTGTCCATCTTGGGCAACAGTTCGGTGCCTGGACGTGATCGGTAAATCTAAATAGATAAACTGTTAAATAAATACGATTATATGCAGTGTAATCTAAAAATAAATGAAGCAAGGGATTAAAAAATTATTAGCAAATTAAAATCCTGCACTTAATTGATTATCATTATCCACTGTCCTGATTATCCTGTATGGTGGTGGCAATTAAACTTTGTGCAGACAATAAAATTTACCTGCCACATTTTTTTTATTGTTTAGCTTTCATAGTTTATAAACAGATTATCATATAAACACATACTTCCCAGAATAATCTGTAATATAATCTGTAATGTGTATCTGTAATCTGTAATGAGGTTTTTGGAGCCCAAACATTGCCGATGCATGTATGTTCTCCCACTAGATGGCAGCAAAACCCTCTTCACAGGTTACTATTGCTCGATTTTCTTAAACTTTGCTTTGCCAGTGGATGAAGAAGACAGGTGAGGCATGTCCAGAAGGGAAGTGAGTTGAAATGAACGCACAGTTGTCTTTTGTCCATCTCCGTCCCTGTTTCAGCAGTCACACTACTAAAACCTGTTGCCTTGTTTTGCCTTGACAGTTTCTGGTGCTCTAAGCCTAAGGTAAAGGCTGAACACCGATGTGACCATCACCACAGGGAAAGCTACAGCCGGGCGCGTGGTGCGTTCACAGCCCCCTGCTGGCGGCGGAGCAGTGGGCAGCGCGCCGCAGACAGCCGCACACAGCTTCAGCCGGCGGGGATCCGGTGATGGCTCCAATGTGAAAGGTAAGCCCAACATTATTTGCAAGTGGTCAAGTTTCCCATATGGCCCGTTAACTTTGTTTCACTGGCGACTGTGTGAGCGAACCATATTTGCGTTTTTCTGCACCTGTGACGGAGGCATCAACAGATTCAACTGAGAAATGTAATGTTCGATGTTGGCAGCTTTTTTAAGGTACATCATCTAAAACATTCATACAACTCGTCGTAAATCTCCATACAATATTTCTGCGCGCCACTAAGAACGAAGTTGAATAGTAAAATGTGAACTGATATGTGATGATGTGAAAACATGCCCACGTTTGTAAACTTGTTTTCAAACTGGCAGACCTGGTGATAGTCAAGAAACCATACTTTTCTTTCAGATAATTCCACCTAAAAAGATAATAGCACTTTAATGCTTCTTTAAGCACATCCTCAATTCTTAATATTTAAAGCATCCAACTCAGACGTTGTCCATCCACCTGGTTTTAAAAACTGTGGGTCCTGTCTTTAGGAAAGGACGCAGTGAGGAGGCTGCTGCCATCATATGAAAATATTTTTCTCCAGTTCTTCCACCCAAAGACTAAATATTATTCTAGGTTTTAGCTGCCAACAATGAGGATCCAATGGCTGCATGCATAGTTTGTGGTAGGTCTTTGGTTCTGATTAGTTTGTCTGTTTTCCATTTACATAAATCCTCATACAGCTGAGTCAATGCTGACATTGTTTTAAAAGTTATGATCCATTTGATCCCACCCCATTGTAATTTTCGGTTGTTGTGGATTATTTTACTAGGCTTTGTCAGAATACAGAGTGTCACACATCCTCTGTGCTTAAGGTGGAGACTGGAGCACGTCTCTTGTGCTCTGAGTTCTTCGGGTCCTTGGATATGTCTGGTCTTCTTTAGGTTTGCTATAAAGATGACTACAGTGACACTCACTTGTCTGATCCGTTGATGTAATCGAGCCCAGTTGTTGTTCTCTTAGTTCAGATTCATGAATGGTGCTTTTTGTTGGGTGGTGTTTATGTGAATGTGTTGGATTATGGATTAATCTGTCAAATCTCTCCTAAAGAAAGTGCATTCGTCAGGCCACAATTCATCTGTGATTTATATTATTTCATAAAACTCTGTTTCACAAATAACCCAATCACAAATGCATCATTTACAGCCGGAGGAAACGGATCTCTCTAATCAAATTCATATACGTAGTACCATGCAAAGCTAACTAGGAGTCTGTTTCACTTGAAGTGGAAAGAGAGCTAGTTTAGGTCTGGGGTTGTGTAGGACTGGCTGGCAGTGTTTGCTTCACCTTTAATTAAACTACAAAGTGTGTTTAGACTTTATTTCTTTCATGGACACTTTTCTTGAAAATAGCAATTCAGTGTCAGCACATTTGTGTTTGCATCACCTTGTGCTCAAAATTATAATTAGTGTAAGGAAAACTGCAAAACTAACAACATTCTCCACTTGTTCATGGATTTAAACCAACTTCTCCTTTGCAGGTGGCAGTTTGAGAAAGTTTAAGGTGGGACGAATAACCATAAACCTCGCTCAAGAAATAGCCGAACGGTCTACCTGTTTCTGAAACCACAGTCCTTCAGTTTTGCATGTCTATTTCCACTTCTGTAAACAAACTAAATAAGAAGTTTAAATAAGACATTTTTGAGGGCTTAGAACAGCATGACAGCTTCGTGTTCAGCTGGTATCTGTGTGGTATGTTGTTTTAGCACATTTCTCATAGCCCTCCTCATCAGACCATTAGCCTGGTGATGGTGCAGCTTAATTTACCATTCACCATAAGTGTCTCTGGGCTGCATCACTAACCTCCATCATGTGTAAACAACTCGCGTGTGTGTGTGTGTGCGTGTGGGACTGTGTGGTTTTGATAGCTCCAGTCGAAAGGTGAACCTCAGGGACTGCTGGGTTTTCAAACACCAACACACTCAGTCATTTAACCGGAGCGAGCTGCACGTCTGAAGTGTTAAAAGTCAATATTTCTCTGTGACACGTGGGCCTGTTCCACAGAGGAGTCCTGTGTGCAGCACAAGGCGGCCATTGAAGGCTGTGACGTGGGGGGCAGGAGGTGGGGGTGCTGGTTTTGGGGGTTAAGAGTTGTTGGGTAACCACTGCAGACCTCTTTCCCTACTGGTTGGAGATTAATGGGGACATTGGAGATGGATGAGTGTTTTCAATTCATTAATGCAGGCGGGTTAGGCTGCACGGGTGTAAAAACAAACATTTTCAAGAACAAAAGAATATCTAGATATCTCCTCTGACCAACCTAATGTGCGTGGACTTTTTTTGTGTGTTTGCATTTGTGTGTGTTTGCCAGTAAGACCACTAAAAAACCATTGAGTTAAGTTTAGTGAACTTTGGTGCAGCAGTGACACTCGAGGCAAAGAGGAAATCACCAGAAAAAGGAAGAGCGTTATAAAAGAAGGTGTGATTGAAAGAGCCCCCAAACCACACTGATGAATTCATTCATTTTTTTAAAGATGATGTGGAAGTTACTGTCCCGGTGAGGTGACAGCTTTTCAGGCTGGGTTTTAGCCCTCCAGAAGTCCGGCGTCCATCTGAAAGCTGACCGTCTTTCGCTGGTCCTGGTTTGGCTCTCTCTCAGCTCTCCCCGGGGTCTCACTGTGCCTGCAATCTTTCAGCCGCGGCCGTGACAGGAGGGCTGTAAAAACAGAGCCGGAGGAGGTCATCTTGAAGTTTGCAGACGAACGAGCCATTCATACTCTCTGGGGTGTTTGGTGCTCTGCTGTGGTGAGACTGAGGCTGAAAGAGATGAATATCCCGCTCTGTAAAAGGAGAGGATGAGGCCTGTAAGTGTTATTTGTCTCTTCTGCTCTGCTGGGCACGCGGAGTGCTAAATGAGCCTGTCGTTTGTCAGTGTGCATGATTTATTGCTGCTATTACTTTCCGAATGGTGGGTCACTCTTTCACCTTATCAGATCGGCAGCCTCTTCTGCCGCCGTGCCTGATGGCTGTCTGATGACAGGATGAGGACCCGTCATGTGTCCTGCCCGTTACGACAGGTTGATGGAGGATGTCCACACAGTGCTGCAACAAAGTGTGTCTGCGTGTGTGTGTGTGTGTGTGTGCAGAATGCCATGCATCCATTTAAACCTTGTTAAATGTGCCTCTTCAATGTTTAATTCTGTTTTCTGATACATGTGCTCCGTTTAGAGCAGAATATTCCAAACACATGCCATGTTTGTTCAATGCTTTGCCTTTTTAAAGAGACATCTTTGTCGGTTAGATACAAGCAGTATCTTTGTGGGATTTGTTTCAACTGCTTAAACAAACATCACACGTGTGTACCAAACCAAAAAAGAAAACTCCAGAGGAAGGAGGAAAAGATGCAACAATACACAGAAACCTGCAATATGTTTGATTGACTTTTGTAACATTTTTTATTATTCTCTTAAAAAGAAGCCGTACAGAGAGGATTTAAGAAATACCAATTAATCCATCCAGCCAAGGTCAGGCCGCAGACGCAACAGGTTCAGAAGGAAAACCCAGGCCTCCCTCTGATCATCAACCTAAAACACATCTATGGGCAAGTGATTTGTTTTCTGTTGGCTATCACAAATTACCCTGCAGGGAGTTCTAGATTTAAGGTGGCTTGACTCTGCCTCATCTGCTCTCAAACTAGTTTAAAAAGATTCTTCTTACAGTCTTGTTAGGTTTCATACAAACAGAATGATTATAGCTCTTAAATATTAGTTCATTTATATATGAAATAATTTTAGGGATAATAAAGTATCCTTAAAGTATAATAATATGAATCTAAGCTTTGTTCATGGCTTCTACTGGCTCATTCTAGCTGAAGCACAGTGAATCCCAGGTTGAATCTATTTCTGTATAAAAATACACTTGCGTTACACACATTTCTCATTAAAATATTCAGAGTGGTTGTAGCCTTTTGTGAAATGAGTCAACA